TTCCGGCGTACGGTTTTGTGCAGCTATTTGATATTTGCCGCCTTGAAAGGCATTTGATTGCATTTTATTGTTATTTAATTTGCACTGACCACCGGCACTTAATTGAATTCAGTTTTAATCTGTCCATTTGTTATGGTTATTTGCGGTATTCAATTAATAAAAACGTACTTTTCACACTTAAGAGGACAGAATTGTTGCGATATTTTTGCTGCCAATTAATTCGATTAATATATTGGCTTACGGAACTTAATTTTTATTAAACAATCATCGACATTAACATCGAATTTAATTCACCAGCGGCTGTGGCACATAAGCCATATCCATTAGGGTCAGGTCAGCTAACTATTCCGCAAGAGAACCCAATTCCAATTCCAGGAGCGGAAGGGATGAGGCCTTCACAACGCCCCGAGCCAGGAGCAGGGCTGGTCTTGGCAAATACATAAAAATACTCACAAATAACAATAAAACCTAGGAAATTATTGATACGAGCCACGGAGAATGGAGCAGGGAAATTGCTTACCAATGCGCAGATCCTCCACGTCCTGCGGTGGGGGGCCAGGACCCAGACCAGACAGCTGAACTAAGCAAATATGAATAGACTAGATGGAAGGCATGTCATGCATGCTTAGGACCCACTAATATTAAAACAAATATGCCCGGCCCACGCAGACAAAGTTTTATGCCAAATACTTTAAGGCAAACTTTATTAGCTCGCAAATACCTGAGATTTCACCCCGTCTGAGTTTGGTGGTTGTGCGGAAAATAGAAAGCACTCCAAGAAATGATTCTGTACTCTGACTTATTTTGGGAATTAAATATTTGGTAAACCGACTGTTTTCATTTCAAATGGAACCGGAGAGTAACAAAGTGCCAGGCAAATAACTTACTTCCTGCAGGAGGGTTCAAGAAGGCCACTTGCAAAGTGCCCGAAAGTATCCCAAAAATATTTACTTATATAAATATATACGAACACAGAACACAAGACAAGAAGAGTGAAAATAAACGAAAAGCTTGCATTGAACTTGAACCTTGTTTTTCTCGAGTGCAGACAAGACGTTGTAAGCCGAGGGCCAAATGAACCCCTAAACAAAGGCGTCTCCTGGACCGGAGAAAAGAAGAAAGTGCGGGCAGCTGTGCCTACATTAGAGAAATGTAATTGATTTCATGTGTTTGACGCGCTTCTCCCCCGGGGCCTCTAATAATCCCATCTAAGCACGCAGACAAACAGAGTCGAAATTGAAGGGAAGCCATAGCCATAGCCATAGCCCTTAGAGGAGCCCATTGAATTCAGATTGGCCCTGTGCTGGTGCTCCGAATACGAAATTCGAATACGAAATTCAGGAGTAGAAGTCATCTGATTGATCATTCACAACAGACCCTGCAAATTCCATAACCTCTGTGGGGGGGCTGGGCTGAATGTTATTGCCCGTAATACATCTGTGCGATAATAAAATTAAAAAATTTATTCACACAACTGTCACAGAATTCAGCAGAGCGTAGGTGAGGCCTTGGCAATAGCTGCACATGGAATTTGAAATGTCCTGATTACCTGAGCCCTCAGTTTCCCAGTTCCAGAGTTTCCCCCCGACTTACGGTAACTTTCTGTGTTTCTGGCATGTCAACGAAATTTATCACAGACTCACATTTGTTACTCCGCTGTCAGACATTTGCATGTCTGCCTCCCCGAATTATTCATATTTTTTGGGTGCGAGTGGCATACTTCTGGGGCGCCGCACCTTTCCTACATGAGTTACTATTAATTCCGTGTTCCTGCCGGCAAATTGAGGGCGACGCATGATCCTAGGGGCCAGGACATCATCTGCAGCCAGGGATGATGTGATGCTCAGGTGTGTGTTGGCAGGTGATTGAACGTTATTTGATGTGAAATTCGTTTTATTGTTCGGCCAGGCATTTATGCAAATGTCGCAATTCGGCGGCTGTCACAGGAATGCCAGCAAATGGGATATGAAATTAAAGTTCAGAGATATTAAAAAATCAATTTGTTGAGGAATGTTGCAGAATATACTTAAGAGTTATTACAGGATAAAAACAAATAAATCCATCTCTTTCTCTTGTCCCTAGAATAAATTCAGGAAAGCAATTAAATTATTTGTGATTCGCAAACCCAAGAATTAAGTACTCTTTTTGATTGCTAATTAACAAGCGCATAGAAACCACTTTCCACCGAATTTTCTCTTAATTTTACACTTGATTTAACCGAAATATTTCCTTTGAATTGGCGAGAAAACTTTCAGTGGCACTTGAAACAAAAAACAGTTGCCAGTATTGCCATGGACAGTCACAGGAATATATTGCTTCGAGTGGTCATCGAATATAAATGTAAAAGCATAAAGAAAATTCCTTGCCACTCGAAAAATTGCAATGCTCGCTGTCCCCTTTGGCTTAATTTATGCCAAAGTGATACTGCACACTATATATATTCGCCATTCTGAATGTGGAATTACCAGAGTTTGACCTTCGTCGCGTCGCTTTGTACAAACACTCGACAAAATCGTCAATTTTATACGACTGTAGCTCCTATCGATGGAAATCAATTTGCACAGCCGAGCGAGAAGGAATGAATTGAAAAAGCCAACAAATTGATATCGTCTGCTGGCTGGCCTTAAAGCCCGAAATGGCTTTGGTCTGGTCTGGTCGGCGTTACGTTATATATATATATATATATATATATATAGTATAAAGCGACAGAAAAGCGAAGAATTTAACGCAAAATTCAAATCAGCGAAAAAAAGGACAAGGCGAAACGAACAAAATGCTCAATCAAATCAAAGTCCCTATACAAAATGCAAAATAAGACAATGATAAAGCGGACGATGGTGGCGGCAACAGGAGTGCCTGGAGTCTGAAATGGGTTGGATTCGGTTGGGATTGGGAATGGGAATGGGATTGGAATGGGATTGGGATGGGAATAGGATTGGGATTGGGATTGGCTTGGCCTGGTTGGGTGGATCACTCCCTGCTACTGTTTTCGGCATCAACATTGTCCAACGAAACACGTTGAGACAAGTGTCACTGACAGCTGGAGGCGCTTTTCGTTATGCAAAAAATGTTCAAGGCAGCAGAATGCCAAGCAAGAAAGGAGGAGCATTACGTGCCCGGTTCGGTAATGAAAATATTTTTTGATTATGTCCATAAAGGACGGGAGATGTTCTTCTTTAAGATTTTGCAAACGAAACTAACAATGTAAATATACAAAATAATATCTATAAATACCACCGCGAGTGCTCTGTTACAAAGGTTAAAAACACACGCGAATGTGTGTCAGGGTAAAATTAGCTTTCTTTCGGCAGGATTCACGGCCCGAATCTGAGCAGATTAATTGCCTGTAGTTGTATTTGGGCAAACACAATCGACCTGGCTCGGAGTCGTAAGGACTCTCGTAAGGACAGTGAAACGACAAATGTAATCAAAATAAATTACGAGCGTGTAAGCAGCCTCCGGTGTCTATTACGCACAATAAAAAGGGAAAGGCACCATTTGTTTAACGCAATCTCATTATTCGATGCGCCCCGACAGCCGCCAGCGGCGCAGATGCTGCTGCTGCAAGGAAGGACACTCGTCCGCAGGATACCGCCCCTTCCACCATGACAGTGACAGGCATTGAGGGCATTCATCCCAGCCTCCATGCCAGCCATGTCATTCCGGGTTACCTAAGGTTGATAATGCCGCTGATTACACTGATGATAAGTAATTCTGTAAACTCCAACTGCAGGCCGTGTCTAAAGTGGCGTTAACGCGTTTGTTGATTAGTGAGGCGGGGAGGGACTCTGAGGAAGGGGAGTAAGTCGGGGTGTAAGGCGGGGAAGGACTTGGGACCAGCGACAAGCTCATTACGACGCCAACAATTTGATTAATTACCGTTGGCAACCCGCCGGGGGACGGGACTTTACGTTTCTTTTTCAAACCACCCGCAGCAAAAGGATTTCTTGCATTTCTCCCCTTATTTTCCCTTGACTTGCGGCGGCGCGTAAAATTTTATGCAAATTTAATTTACCTCAGGGCAATCATTTTTATGGGCAAATGCCTAGGGGCCGCTCCCACCAAGTGGGCGAAGGGCTGACAGTTATAATCTTGGGGTTCCCGAAAACCTTTTGGGGGCCTCGGCTGACATCGAAACATTTCTGTTAAAATTTTAATGCAACCCAAAAGTGAAATTGGACAATTTCATAAATTGGAAAACCCCACAAAAATTATTCATTTATTTAACGGCTAAAAGTATATAAACACAAACAGGGAAATTAAGGAGAAACTTAATTAGTGTTAGGTTTGAAAAACAATGTTTAAGCTTTAATTTTCTGTGACGTTCTAGAGGGAAGAAAAAAAATTAAAATGATTTAACAAAAAATGAAAGTAAATTATTCAAAGCTCAAAGCTAAATAATTATAAATGTACAAATTAATATGAATTAGGTGTGATACTCTGTTTACCAAATTAATTGATCAAAGCCCTAATATCTATGTTCTAATAATAAATAGATAAAACCAACTAATTACATGTGTTTATTTAAATTTGCAATAATCCAAATAGAATGATTATCACAAACATAAATCTGTGACTCATTAAAGCAACAAATATGTAAAGCCCCGAATACAGTTTTTTCTTCTTGGTTATATTTGCTTTAATTTCAACTAAAATTAAAACGAAATACATAAACAAAGGCAAAGTGTTTAAATGTGTTTTTCCAATGTTTAGGACTGCAAAAATTAATTGAAACTCAGTGCAAAAAAGAAATAATAAATTTAACGTTGTGCGTTGTGCAAACAGCCAAAATGTTAAAGCGGAAAAAAGAGCGATAAATTGCGTATAACTGCGAAGAATAGCGAAAAAATCAACAGAAAGCCCAACCGAAAATATGTGCCACATATCCCAAAAAGCAATTAAACTGTTGGCTAATCCTGAACATATCCAACCCGAATCCACGCATATCCAAATATCAGCGACCTCAAACAAATTCACAAATATATCGGGCTAAAAACTCGCAGTCAGGGCCAATATGAGAGCCACCTCTAAAAGCCAATGGCTGCTCCAATTTTGGGTGCTCCTGCTGCTAAATGTCCTGCCCACCTGGCACCTCTTGCAGGCGGAGAGCCAGGTGGTGGGCGACATAGCCTCCCAGGAGACGCAGGTGGAGCCAGAGGAGCACCTCCGTCCGGAAAGTCATCATCGCATTAGTCACAATCGGAATCACCACCAACACGAGCACCTACATCATCGCCAGCGACAGCGAGGAAAGCACTTCCGGGGGAAGCACATCAGGAGCCATTACGAGATGCTGCAACTGGAGCAGCAGCAGCAGCAGCTAGGCAAACACTGGCGCCAATGGGTGAATCACCTGCAGCAGTCACCGGATTATGCCAGCGACGATCCATCATCTTCGGCCGGAGTAGAGCTGCCCCAATTCGACCTCTTCGATGTGGAGGATTACCAGCGGTATGCCAATATCGAATTGGCGGCTCCACGCTCCGGACGCCATCGGGGGCGACACTTGCCACTGAACAACAACCAATTGGTGGACGGCAGCGGCAAGTTCCTGCGATCCTTGCCGGATTCCGTGAACTTTCAGGACCGTCTATATGCCACCCAGCCCCAGAGACACTGGCCGGTGAAGCGGGAGGCCATTGTCGAGGGCGATGTGATCCTCGGTGGCCTGATGATGGTCCATTCCCGTGAGGACAGCATCACCTGTGGACCGATAATGCCGCAGGGCGGCATTCAGGCTCTTGAGGCCATGCTCTTTACGATCGATCGGATTAACCGGGAACAGCTGTTGCCCAATATAACCCTGGGTGCCCACATACTCGATGACTGCGACAAGGATTCGTATGGCCTGGAAATGGCAGTGGACTTTATTAAAGGTATTACAGAAATTTCTCATAATTTCAAGTTGAAGTTGAAGGTAAAGCTTTTAAGTAAGAGCATTATTACAGGTTCAAGTATTTGTAATTAAATAAATATATACGTAATTGACTTATAAATTACTCTATTTTAAGGCAGGCTTATTTAACAAGTGAAATTGTGTGAGAGCAGATAAGATAGAGTGTCTCATTTCCTCTAGAAATAAGCTTGCATATTACTCATACGCCGTGTGGCACACCGCCTTTGCTGATGCTCACATTTACATGCAAATTGTGTATACATTTGGCTGTGGCTGTGGAGCTTATTGTGATACTGGTATTATTCTGAGCAAAAGTAGTTGCAGTTTCCGTTTCAGTTTCCGTTTCAGTTTCAGTTTATTTGCAAATGCTGTTGCACAATGCAATGCAAATGCAGGTGCAAACAGTTTGCAAATGTATTCAGGCAAATGATAAGCCAAATGAAATAGGCGGCATTCCATGGAATTTAATATAATTTCAGAACTTGCCTCCAGGCAAAGATTTATTTTCTCGCTATAAGCCTTGAGCTTTGAGCTCGAGAATAACTCTTTGCCAGGCTTAAGATACACATTTTACATTTAACATTTGCCTTTACCTTTCCTTCCTTTCCTTTCCTTTCCTTTCCCTTCCTTTTCTTTGTAAAGATTCCATTAATAAACTAAATTAATAAATAAATTACGGGGATAGCTTGGGGAAAGATTGTAGCGACTAAATATATGCATAATTCCCCTAAGACAAAACGGCGTGGCTTATTGCCGCACAGCAAGTGTACAGCGCACAGAGGGAAGATCAAGGACGGCACATAAAATGGCGCTTATTACTTTTATCGGGCCAAACAAAGAGGCACACACGCTGCCACAACAACAACAATAACAACAACACCCACTAGCACACACACTCGCACACACCCAACGATCCATAATCAATTGGGCACAGAGCCGGCATCCTTGTCATCGTCCCTGAACACTTTCTAATCTCCATAATTTCATTATTTATGTGCGCGGCAAGGATTTATTTGAGCGACGTGCAGCGCGCCTCTCGCCTCTCTTTCCCGCTTCCCATCGCGTTATCTAGCTGTCTCTGTTTTTGTCGGGTATGACGTATGAAAAATATAATTTTCCAAGTCACTGAATTATATTGACAGGATTAGGCAGGCCGTAAACTATGCCGGCTCCATGCGAGGCTCCACTGTATGGTGGCGGCGGACACCCCACTTGCTTATTTCGGGTAATAATAATCTAGTTAGGCATCAATTGGATGGGCAGAATGAAGCCACTATCCCACCCGGAGAGAGTTAATTAATTTGCACTTAGGAGCAGCATCAGCAGCTGGCGGCACTTGGGATCGGTGGGCGTGGCATGGAGTTCGATTTTCCCAAACACTTTGTGGTTGGTCAAGCAGGGAAACTTAGGAGGGTCCACCCTTTTATTTTTAGGCATTTAAAGCCAGAGAAGAATATAACATCCATTTATTAGTTTGTGTTCACTTATTTCAATCTATTAAATAATTTCATTTAAATATGGGAATTTTAATTTAATTTAATTTAATGAAATTTCGTTGGCTTTTCCATTTTTAGTACGTTATAAATTTAAACTTTAGCCTCCCTCTTTTTATTGTTGTTACTTTTCAATTAAGAGTTGTTTGTAAAGCACAAAATATCACCAAAACATAATTCCACAAAAATACGCTATGAATTTATGAGAGACCACTTAATTTACTTCCGCAGAATTTTCAACGAAATACCATTGAACCTGAGGTGATTATAAAAAATACAAATACAAAATTTTAGACTGATTGTAAATAAACAAAAAACTAAACTAAACTTTGGACAAACGAAATTTGTATGCCCTTGCAGTTCTCTATTGAATTATAGGTTTGAATCGGAAATCGAGCTTAGCTAAGCTTTTCTTTTGTAAACGGACAAGGTTAAAAAATAGCATAACTGTGAAAATAATGCATTAATTTTAATTCGGAAAGCTGTTCTATGTTAGTTTTTATTATTTATATTATTTGAAATTGCAGGAAATTAGAATTTGTAGCAATTTTTGAAATTTCGACTCCTTATATATTTCGAAAAATATTAATTTTACCCAAACATAGCTAGATCGATTTGCTTGTTAATGCCAATCAAGATATATATATATAAATAAATAAATATATGTACATATATATGATTTATAGGGTAGGAAATGACTCCTTCACATCGTTACAAGCTTCCAACTAAAAATATAATACCCTAGAAAGGTATAAAAATAGTCTTCGATTTAATGACAAGTAATGACAGTTGAAAAGCACGTTTAGCTATAAAATTGTCGATTTTGATTGATCGATTCCGACATCGATCATAACTAACATTTCATTTAATAATCTACATACTCAATTTAAAATTACAAAAAAATTAAATTTTTATCAATTTATGAAAATCTTAACGATGTAGCCCCTTATAAAATTACTCCTTCATATTGTTACAAGCTTCTGACTAAAACTGTAGTACCCTTGCAGGAGTATGAAGGCCAGATTTAAAGAATCCTGAAAATGGCAAATCAATTAGTAAAATCCCAAGTTTTTAGTCGAAAAGTATTTGTTAAGAGTTGCCCTGATTGATATAACTATAATATTTACATTTTCTCCTTATTTCTAGGATCCATCAGCAATATCGATGATGCCGAATATCACTGCAACAAAACACAAGTGCGGAAGGTCATCTCGGGGGTGGTGGGCGCAGCCTCCTCGGTCACATCCATTCAAGTGGCCAATTTATTGCGCTTATTCCGCATTCCTCAGGTGAGTGCTGAGGCCCCTTAAAACGATCTGTCACGAGTGAAAAGGTCAACGCAGAGTGGAATAGAAACTATAGCTTTCTGTTTGAAATTTGCTTTATGCCCGCATCTATTCTCGTACTTCCTGTGTGCTTTGAATCCACTAACGTTCCTCGTATTTTGCAATTAAAATTTCCCAGAAGCCATATGCTAGTCGTTGTAATGGCCGGCGGGAGCTTTCGGATAGATGACACTGCCGGACTCTTAAGTGTCGGCACGTGCCACTAAATTAGTGAAAGCCCCAAGGGCGAAAAGTCTAGAAAAGCAGCATTTGTGCAGCATTTGCACAAGGAAAATTATTGCAAACAACATTTGACACTCAATATATTTTTATATGTTAAAACGAAGTAATCCAACAGCTAAGCCCGAATAAAATTTAAAGGGGAAATCCGTTTCAAAATGTAAAAAGTTGACGAATCTTTCCATTTTCATTTACAATTGCCCAATCAATTTTTCTTTTAAATTCACTTACCTTACACCGCTTTCCAGTATATGACTAATGACCTGAGCTTTTAATCTTCAGAAGCGGAATCTAATTTTTGTAAGTGCACGCATGAATCACGTCTTTGATCCTGAAGGAGATTGAGTGGCCAGTGCTGCTGCTGCAGGAACTACGTGAGCCAGAGGCCAAAAGTCAATACGCGACAATAACTAAGTAGCCTGACTGCCAGGTCCTGCTCCTGCTCGTGCTCCTGCTCCGCACATGGAGCACTGAATGCCATTAAACGCACACGCAGTGCCACTGGCAACCAAAAAAAAAAAAAAAGAATGAAAGGAGCAGCAGCACCCAGAGCAGTCGTTTTATGCAGGCCCAGGCAAAGTCCCAAATAGAGCTCATAAATCAGCCATAAAGATTTGATTGCATTTCGGCGTGAGCATGGATTCGTATAAACAAGGCTCTCCAGCAAATTTAGTGTGTGTTCTGCAATTGAAATTGTGGTCGAAAGCGACTTGGCCAGAGGAGGTTAGCGTTTGCAGTGTCAACTATATGCTAAAATAGCCGTGTAAATAAGACTAAAATTAAGACATTCTGGCCATTTATGGCTTACAAACAAAGGTTATTTAAGCTTCAAGCTTCAGATATAAAAATCAATTATCATATATACCCAAATATATTAAAATTTGAGGGCGTTGCAAACTAGAAACTAAATATACCATCCATTTCAATTAGCTGTCCTTTTTGCCAGTACACTTGACTATGAGCCCTGTTCAAGAGAGCAAACACTTGGCCCAAAGCTCTTGACTAATGGTAATGACACTTAATTAGAAGCCAAGTAGTTTGTTAAACACTTGCACACGCCTAGAAGTGCATGTGCAGGTTGGGTTTTCCACTCCCACACAGTGAATTGTCGAATGGAAAACCATACACACGGGCTAATTTGTGTGTGAAATTGGGTTTTCCGGTCTTAGCACCAGTAACCCCAATTGGCTTATGCTGCAGATTTTGCCAAGTAATGCTGTGTTCTTATGCTTTCTCTGTCTCTGGCTGCATTTGTTTGTTCTTGTTTCTTTGAAAGCAGAGCTAAAAATGTTGGGGGAAAATATGAATGTGAAAAGCTGCGTAAGAAGCTTACGAAAGTGTTTTCATAACTGTGTAGCTGAAGAAAAGTGAAAATTAAATTGGGAAAAATTTAAGCAAAAAGTGATTTTTTCACTCTGCATGTGAAATATTCGATAAAAACACACTTTTGCGACTTTGTGTGTGTGCACCTTATATGGTTTTACGCGAAAATATTTGTGCATCATAACATAATCCATCGCCTGCACTTTTTAACATTTTCCCCCATGGTTTTTCCATTTTCTTTTCCAGGTGTCCTACTTCTCGACCAGCCCCGAGCTGAGCAACAAACAGCGATTCGAGTACTTCTCCCGCACAATCCCCTCGGATCACTACCAGGTGAAGGCCATGGTGGAGATTGTCAAGCGGATGGGCTGGAGCTACGTCTCGATTATCTACGAGGAGAGCAACTATGGCATTAAGGTGGGTAGTCTATTGGGTGAATATATGTTTACAAGGCTGTTACTTTGAAACATTTATATAAACGGTGATTGGTTTTATGTAAACTTGTTATCTGGTTTATTTACAACATGTTCATAGCTTCCCTTCAGTTCGAAATCAAAATGAAGAACCACTTAAGTTTTCATTTAATACTCTTCAATTATTACCCCCTCACTTTATTCGTTCAACAATTGGCACATCCTTCTTTAAACTTTTATTGCTTTGAGAGAACAACTATTGTTTTCTATTTATCTTGAGACACGGCACGCGTGCGTATGTACATACCTGTGCAAAGAGTTTACCTTTGCCATTCCCCACAAATGGGTTTTATTGCTCCACTCAAGAGTGCTCTTCCTATTATTGTTGCCATCCCCACCGTGCAGGCCTTCGAGGAGCTGGAGGAGCTGCTGGCACGCCATAACATTTGTATTGCCATCAAGGAGAAGCTCGTGAAGGATTCGGGAGTGGCCGAGGACATCGCATACGATAATATCGTGCAAAAGCTGCTGACGAAGCCGCGGGCCCGAGGTATGTGTAAGCGGTGGAAAGTTGGGAAAATTGCGAATGCAAGCTGCCAGTTAAAATGCAATTTAAATGAAAATGTCAAAGAAAGGCTCTTTGCAAGTGCGAACGGAAAGGGCCCTGGAGTCGGAAGTCATCTCGAGAGCTGGGACAGTTTTTATTTGTTGTCGGAAATTGCGTAAATTAAATGAAAATATATAAAACACTCGGCGGCACGGAAATTAAAAAGTTCATTTCCAAGTGGGATGCGTTAGTACAGTCGAAATCCAACCGAAAAAGTTACGTTCAAACAAATTGTTTGCCCATAAATTGAGAGATAGCCGACAGGGAGTGGACCACCACTGATATGCCAATCTGCTGGCATCACAACCACAAGAAAAAATACAAAAAAAGAGAGAAATGTGTGCATTTATCATCGCTGTGAGTAAGCGGCACCGAAAATGTTCAATAAAAGTGCGCAAAACACTGAGTTTGGAGGCTTTGAAGGACAGGGACAAAACTTTTCTGACATGGCAGAACCAATTAAAAGGGCAGATAGGAAACGACAGGGAAAGGAAAATTAATCAGACCGATTTTTCAAGCTAAAAATTTTAAATGGAAATGCCTTTTACGCCGACGCAAACATTGCCTCAATCCATGTCAATCATACGCCCCGTGCGCCGAAAGTGAAATAAATAATAAAAAATAAATGTCAATCAATTTGGCTTTAAACTTATTTTTTATCCCTCTGTCGGGAAGATACTGGCGAATATTAATCAACTGCCAGTTACAGGCGCGTCTCTACAGAAAAAAATATATATATTTGTTAAAAATAATTACCGCCTAAACCTTTAACGCATATCATTAATCAAGAGTCTTTCGTCGGGGTGATCGGGATAAGTGCCAATAAAAAGCACATGGGGGCCAACCAATAACAATTGACTTTTGTCTGGAAAACAATTTTGATTTACATAAATGCGCCATCAGGAGTCGTAAAGCAGGCCCCTCCCCTCAAAGGAAAGGGTTACGTTCCTTTCGTTCCGCAACCATCATTATTTATTGTGATTTGTGATTTGACGCCGTTTACTGCTCGCTCCCTCACGACGATTAATCAATTTGACAAAGTATTTTCTTCGGCATCAGTTGTTTAATTTTGCATATCGAGGGTTCGGTCTCGGGTTCGAGTTTGGGTCCGTTTGGGTCTCTGAAAAATGATGCCCCGCCAAGGGATCCGCAACTGCGGCTGGTAACTGGTAGCTGCCAACGGGTCCAACTTTACGTTGGCCGGAAGCCCCGTACACATGTCACGTTCTTGGGAGGGAAGGAAATGCGGATTTGCTTCACAAAAGTGCAAACGATGGAGGGAAGGAGGGAAAAAGTGCCGACATGTTTTTGCTTTTTATCGCAGTTGTGCCAAGCTGAGGCGATTTCTTATTCTCACACCCAGTGTGTGCGTGTCGAGTCCCTGTATCGTTGTAGATCACTTTCTGCACTCGAAACTCTTTAAAGTTTGCCTCCTAATCTGCGTAAATATCCGGCAGAGTGTGCTCTAAAATTAAATTTCTTAGGCAGACAGGAAGCTCCTGGGTACCACTCGATTAATATATATGTATACATACATGTCGGGACAAAGAAGCTGCTGAAGTGCAAATCTAAAACAAAGTGAAAATCCTTCACTTCATGAAAGTATCGACAAGCTTTACTGCTGCTGCTGCTGCCTCTGCGTTTGATTAAGTTTCCTTTTACTTTCAAGGAGCCGAGGCAAATCGATAGTAGGACATGCTTAAGGACCCAGAGCATGGGCAAAGACAAAAAGCCAGGAAAGAAGTGACAGCCACAGCACAGTCTCGATATGGGTCCTGGATCAGACTTAGGGAAATTCCGTCAAGGGTCAAGACTCGGCACCGATGTCAACACCAACAAAGGCCCATTTGCCGCATCCCAAGAATTCTGGCTTAACTATCATCCTTTGCAATTAGCCACTGTGTGGAAGTTCTCCCTTCAACAAATTCCAGAATTCGCTATGCCACCTTGCCATTGATATTTTCATACTTATTGTGTGTGAATTTACATTCGGTCTATATTGATTTTTGAAGCCAATTAAAAGAATGTTATTGTTTGAAATTGAAGTGAATGCTTGCGGCTGCCAATCTAAAGTTAGCCACTGTTTGAATTTTTATATGAAATTGTGAAAAGGTATTTATGTGATTTATGTGAGTAGGTAAAAGCCATTAAGTCGGGGAATCTTTAAAGCAATACAGAACATTTTATTTCAAAAGAAATGCAATCTAAAGTCAGTGGCTACTAAATCATAAATAAATCATTAATCATAAACAGAAGTCAAATTGTATTGAAAAAAGAGAGTTAATTCCAGGGAGATCTTAAATACCTGTCGGCACCTGCAGCTTGTTTGCAATCCGCTTTTTCGCAATTTAAGCCGCTTATTTTTTTATTGAGTGCAATTAAAATTAATTTCTGCGCTTTCTCCTTTGCCTTCCCATAAAAATCCTGCGTCGCACAGGGGCCATTATCTTCGGATCGGACCAGGAGGTGCGGCAGGTGATGCGTGCGGTGCGCCGGGCAAATGCAACTGGTTCCTTCTCCTGGATAGGCTCCGATGGCTGGAGTGCCCGCAATCTTGTTTCCGATGACTACGAGCCGGAGGTGAGTGAACTATTCGTCAGTCCCGGTGACGTGGCAATTCCTGTCGTCCGGAAATTATGAGCCTAAATGGGCGTTTGATTAATGGTTCGCCGGATTTTGGCCACGCATACACCGGCACGCCCACGCACTGGGGCGTGACCATGTGATATGACACCCACAGAAGAAAAAAACCTATTTATAAATGATTGCAAACTGAGTATAACACTTTCACCCGCTTTTCCTATGATGAATTATGGCTTAATGGAAATTAATCGTGCGAGTGTGCCGGTGTGTCTATGTGTGTGTGAACGGCTTAATTAATTTTCCAAGACCCTTCAAAGCCAGAGATGAGCGCGTGCTTGCCACAGTGCACTCACGGCCCATCTCTGGCCGAAGCCACCTAGAGAGCCACCCATTAAGTATACGCCACGTGCGCCCCGGTGTCATCAACAGGTTGAAGGCACGTTGTCTGTGCAGCCGCAGGCGAATCCTGTTCGCGGATTCGAGGAGTACTTCCTTAGCCTCACGGTGGAGAATAACCAGCGGAATCCCTGGTTTGTTGGTAAGTGGTTGGCTTGTTATACATTTTGAACTATCTTTAAGCCATTGGAAGGTCATTGTAATCTTATTCAGAAAAAGATAAAACAGTGAAGGAGTTATATCCGACACTATAGTCTTGATCAACATTAACAGCCGAATCGATCTAGTCTTATCAGAAGGAACAATGTTTCTCTATTTTAAAAATAAAGTTAAAGTAAATCAACTAAATTTTAAATAATAAATTTCATGTTGCGTTTTCAACATAATAAAGACTAGCACGACCAATTTAATGTTTTTAGCAGAGATATATAAACTTCGTCCTTTCGTAGCTAGCTTCCTTTATTTTTCTTTGCTTTGCAATGAATAATTATGTTTTGTGTCGCTCTCAGAATTCTGGGAGGATCACTTCCAGTGCCGTTATCCTGGCAGTACCAGCACTCCATACAATAACTACACCAAACAGTGCACCAAAAAGGAGCGACTCTCGCGCCAGAATATGGACTTCGAGGATCAACTACAGTTCGTCAGCGATGCGGTCATGGCCTTTGCTTATGCCCTGAGGTGAGTCTTTACAAGTATCCTTAATTAAATGAAATATTATAATTATTTAAAGGCCCTTATAATTTTGAAAGAAAATCTAAAGTAAATTACAAAAAATCGATAAAAATAATTCCATATTCATGGCCAATTTCAAACTATACTTTTCCATTTAAAGTCTTTTAATTTAACGTTAATAAAGAGCAATAAAATTTTAATTTTATTGTTTTCCTTTTATGTTGTCCCCCCAGGGACATGCACCGCGACCTGTGCGGCGGAGGACCTTCGTTATGCGAGGCCATGAAGCCGACCAAGGGCGCTGATTTACTTAAATATTTGCGGAAAGTGGAGTTCGAGGGTAAGTAGAGACTAAATCCCGTCGAAATTAACGAGATAACTATGGCGCCGAGTGGGAACGCTTCTCAAGTTCTCCTAAAACATTCTGCGAGACTAACTTTGCGAGTTCCTTGCCCTCGTTTCATTGGTTCCTTCAGCTGGCAAGTGTTGTGCAAATAGTTTAAGTGGAAATATCCTGGCAGCCCTGTTCCGGCAAAAGACACGCACATCTGTGTGCAAAAGCGAATGTCCTATAAGGCGCATTGGCCATGCTCTCGAGTGGAAAATTGACTTGCTTGTCGTCGTCATTGAACTCGATTTGAAATTCAATAAATTACACAGAGAGACGGACGGCCGCAGCCACAGGCTTCCTTCCTGCCGGCTGCCTGACGCAGATTGTCAATTTTCTGATAGGGCCAAGCGGCGTCGACTTTGGCAGGCGTGCGAAGCCATAAACCCATTTAACCTCGCCACCATCAGCTGCAATCCAATTCATTTTGATCCATACCCATCCGCAGGCCTCAGCGGCGACGAGTTCCGCTTTGACGGCAACGGTGACGGTCCGGCGCGGTACAACATCATCCATTTCAAGCAATCGCAGGCCGGCCAATACCACTGGGTCAAGGTGGGCGAGTACACCGAGGGCGAGCTGCGCCTTAACATGTCGGGTAAGAACTGCTGGACAACTTCTCAACCTACTAGACTTTCTGACTGATTGCCATCTCCCCTTTCAGAGGTAAAGTTCAAGCGCCTGAGTCCTAAGCCGCCCGAGTCCGTCTGCAGCCTGCCCTGCGAACTTGGCCAGGCCAAGAAGTACGTCGAGGGCGAGAGCTGTTGCTGGCACTGTTTCAATTGCACAACCTATCAAGTAAGTGAACACTTCTCCTGCAAACTCAGATGGGCCCGCAATTTATATGCCGACGAGATTGAAATGTTGCGTTGTTCCGCTCCAATCTCCTCCTCTCCTATCCGCTCCCGGATAATGGAGACTAAGAGTGAAAAACAATTAACTCGTCCGGCCTGAAAGGGGCTGCAATTGAGTTGCAAAGGCGCGCGTTAGGGTCGTCTTTGCGCCCCTCCACTCACCAAGTGCTCCTCTTTGTGCCGCGTGTCCATTGCAGATCCGACACCCGGATGATGAGACCCACTGCAAGCTGTGCAAGCTGGGTACGCTACCCGATGCCCACAAACAGTACTGCCGCCCCATTCCGGAGATATATCTGCGTCCGGAGTCAGCCTGGGCCATTGGAGCGATGGCATTTAGCGCTACCGGCATCCTGGTAACGCTCTTTGTGATGGGCGTGTTTGTCAGGTGAGTGGATAGGGGAAAATATAATGGAATTCATACTTTGATACTTGTATAAAACAAGATAGGAATTTAAATTTCAGAAGGCAAGTTTGTGTACCCTTGCACTAAGCTATAGAATCATAATCTTAATTAAGCCAAAATTTTTAAAGCTTTTCTGTGTTGGCTATAATAGGACACTATTTATAGGGTCGGAAACGACTCCTTCACTGCTTTGTAAGCTTCTGACTGAAATTATAGTACTTTGCAAGTGTATAATAATAAAGCAAAACTTAACGCTTAATTCAGGGTCAGTTTGAAACTATCCTAGGGTTAAAGAAATAAATAATTGATCATTTAGGCTGATAACTTTGAGTATACGTTTGTGAATATCCCAAATACAAATTGCTTTATTACTTCAAATTAAAAGGTTAATATAAGTGGTGAATATTTACCTCTGAAGAGGACACAGTGTTCTCCTTTTTTGCCAATACTTTATTCCTTCCTGGGTAGAGTTGTATTCTTGGTGACATCAATTAGCTTCTTCCTTGGTTATCCAGATGTATTGCACTCGTCATGTAATATTGAAGAGATCGAACGGTAATCACTATCACCACCACTATCACTTATCACAATAGATGTAAACAGCGGGCCTCCCGCGGACAGCCCGCCGCCAGTCCCAGTATTTATAGTCTGCGAGTGAAGAGCAGAGTCAGTGAGAGCGAGAGAGTAAGGGATATGTTGCTAGAGCTAGGTAGAGAGAGACGGAGAGTTAGGGGCATCCCAACTGGTTCACACCGGGACAAGTCAGCCGTAGTCTTTTTACCATTTAAAAATGCAATAAGGTATAAATATTCATGTTAAAAATTAAGAAAAGTAATGTTTACTTTCATTACATTTACCAATACATATTAAATTTACATTTTTACAATCACAGTTTTGCATTTTCCTGTACAGTTAACCATTTTTTATGGCAACCATAAAGTCGTCCGATTTTAATTAAATAAAAACCGAAACTAGAGGGAAGTCACTCTAAGGATACCGAGCATTCCAAACATTAGCTTGATTATTATGCTTCTTTTAATTATTGTCTTAAAATCTGAAGGAACTAAACTTTAACAAACTAAGCCCTTGAGTATGTTCTGTAATTTATCATTGATATTATTTGACTTTAAACTTTCAACTCTTGTTACTAGTTTGTACCTGTAAAATCCCGGTTTTTCTCGACTTATCCATTGGCACTATAAAGTTTGTTTGTGTCGTTGATATGGCGCAGCAATTAAAAACTTTTCCCCTAGCCCCAGATGCTAACTTTGCCACAAAATGTACAAGCAGATACATGCGTAAAAAATATGTTCTAATTGGTGCAAAAGATTCAAATGGTTACGATGTAAGTTTCTAACTTCAGTAATGGTGTTTCCTTTCGCGTCCTTCCCCTTCCAGGCACAACGACACTCCCATCGTGCGGGCCTCGGGCCGGGAGCTGAGCTACATCCTGCTGGCCGGCATTTTCATGTGCTACGGCGTCACCTTTGCTTTGGTCCTGAAGCCCACGAACATAGTGTGTGCCATTCAGCGGTAAGTGTGTAAATTGCAGAGTGTTGCCTGATTCCAGCTTTCCAGATTTCACACCTTTTTCTGTCATGTTTACAGGTTCGGCGTTGGCTTCTGCTTCACGGTCGTCTATGCCGCACTATTGACCAAAACGAACCGGATTGCGCGCATCTTCAAAGCGGGCAAACAGTCCGCAAAGCGACCATCGTTCATCAGTCCCAAGTCCCAGCTGGTAATCTGTACGTGCCTGGTCAGTGTGCAGGTGAGTGTGGTTTTTGGTGGCACTCCGCCAGGATGCGGATGGGGATGTGGGTGCGGATGAGGATGCGGGATGTGGGTACCGCTAACAGACGTCGTATGAACTTACACTCTGTCTCTCTTTCTACCTCTACTCCAGATACTCATCAACGGCGTTTGGATGGTAATTGCACCATCACATGCCATGCATCATTATCCCACACGCGAGGATAACCTGCTCGTCTGCGACTCCTACATCGACGCCTCCTACATGATTGCGTTCTCCTATCCAATATTCCTGATTCTCATTTGCACGGTTTATGCGGTACTCACGCGAAAGATTCCGGAGGCCTTTAACGAATCGAAGCATATTGGTGGGTATAATTTGGACCTAATTAAAGTGATTACTTAATTGCGAATCTTTGGGTGTGTTTCGGAGGTCAATAAATTGGAATTAAATAACAGCAGAGCTGTATTTAAAGGAAGTACTTATTTTGCGAGAATTGAAACGTGTATGGTGCCTATGTATATGAATGGAGTTTAATTACCAAAATTCCCTATAAAATATTCAGTTGATTTTATATCAGTATTTTTGCAAACAATCACTGGGGCATCGAAATTCATAACACCTTAATTAATTCACTTATGTGAATATCAAATTGGGGCGAAAATATACATTTATTCATGATTTTACACATTTAAAAGCTTTATAAAATCGAGGATGATGGGTTGCACGTCAAATTTGAATAATATTTTTGATATCTCAATATGTGTAGATATTAAAGGCTACAGATATAGTTAAACTCTGTTATATTTATTTGATCTCTTTGCAGGCTTCACCATGTACACGACCTGTGTGATTTGGCTGGCGTTTGTGCCACTCTACTTTGGCACCGCCAACCATGTGCCGCTCCGTATTACCAGCATGTCGGTGACCATCAGCTTATCCGCCAGCGTGACCATCGCCTGCCTCTTTTCACCCAAGGTGAGTTTGCTTAATTGGGAAGGTAGTAAGAGTGGAAGTCGGTGTCCTGAGCGTGGGTGTGGCCATAGATGGCTCCGGCAATTGATTGCCAGACGGGCCATCGGTAATTGCGTTATGCATTAATTATTGCGTATTTTACTGGCGCCACGTTAAATGATTTTTGGGTGCAGCACGCAGCCACTGCCATTGGCCATTGGCCATTTTCATTCCGCTTTATTCGCTCCGGACGCGAAGACGAGTGGTTCATTAAAATGCAATAAGGCCGAAGACGACGGAGAGCGGGCGCTAAGAGGTTTTTAATTCAGCAACCGGATTCATAATTTGCGATGTGTTGCCAGCCATATTGTTTTTAACGTTCTCCGGCAACTTGCTCGTGGTGCTTGTGGGTCCTTTGCCATTTCATTATGTTTAATCGGGAGAAAGTTGAAATGTCAACAAGCCAAGTCCGCGAAGCAAGCTGCTCAAAAGCTCCACTGACCCTGAGATCCCATCCCGCATGGGATGAGGGGCGAGGCTACTGTTTTTCTGCGTTTTTATGTGCTCATCCTTAGCTCAGTTGTGGCCATATTTTTTAATACCCAACGTTATTAGCCATTAAGTCGCAGGCAAACTGCAAGCCAAGCCAAATATCGGCGGAGTCAAGGATGCAGCTGAAGGGAATTTTCAGACGAAAATTCAACTGCCAAGCTCAGCAGCTTATCCTTGCATCCTGCCATGCTTATGTTCCTTAGTTGAGAATGTTTTTCGCTGGAATTTTAGCAGCATTAAAGCGATACATCAAGGAAGTTGCATTTGCGATAGAGGAAAGCATGAGAAATGAGTATATCAGACCGAAACCGGATTACAAATTGAGCTAACACAATTGTACCAATCATAGTCATGGCTTCTGGAAAACCAACTTAAATGGTTACATTTTATGGGTCTGCTCCTGTCTGCATATTCCGGGCACAAAGTGGCTGAAGGAGACCCGAGGTGTATGGCATGGGGTCATAAACACTCGGCACAGGTGCTATTATTAAATGTCAGAGCATAAAATACTCCTTGGGCCACTGGCTGGCTAACCGGGCCAACTGTCCGCTATCAGATGTCACCTAATGCACGGTTACAGTAACACACACAACACACAATACTAGACTACAAGAACACACACAACAACTCGGGCCATAAAAATGCAATTTACAATCGCTGGCACTGGGGCAAAAGGCGAAATAAAACAGAAGAAAGTGGAAAGGTGGCATGCCGCAAAAGCGACTGGGGATCACTGGACTAAAAGCCAACAAACTAAAGCCCGGCCATAAAGGTGCCAACTGGGCGGGCCACGCCCGCTTCCGGCGGAACAAAGGCGCACCGGACTGGTAAGCAATTTTGACTTCCGACTGCCATTCGCCCATTCCTTGTCCGGTTGCGCCTCAGTTTGTTTTTCCCACTTCCCACCGTTTGTTTGTGCCACATAAGAGAGGGGAGAACAAGAAAACAATAACAAACGGCGTCCAAATGGCAGCCAAACAATGTCAAAGCACGGCGGAAATGACCGTACGGCCGTACTGGCTACGTAACCCAACGCAGCGTAACGCAATTGGAAACGTAACGGGCACTGTAGAAAATTATTAGGAATTTGTAAACATATTTTTGTTATTTTGTTACTATACTCTTGCAAGCTATTTAATTTCAGTCAGAAGCTTATAACCCATTGACCGCATAAGTCATATATACTCTTGATCAGTATCTTAAGCCCAATCGATCTAGCTATGTCCGGTTAAAATTTATTTTTTTCAAAATTTTCAAAAATTTTACAATTTCATAAGGGGTCACTTCATTAAAATTGTCAAAAATTGAGAAAATCTGAAATTTTTGAAAACTTAAAATTTAGTTTTGCAGTTTAGCACAGCACAGCTTTCCGAATTGAAATTAATTCTGTTTTGACTTAGTTAATAGCTTTTTAATCTTTGGTTTGCCCACCAAAAGGGTATGTACAAATATTTATAAATACCGAATATTGAAAGCTTAATTTTGATCGATTTCCGATTATATTATTAATTATAATTTATAAACTTGTTTAAATACTGGAACTACTACTTTTTGAATATTTAAACAATTCTGCCTTAAGACACACTTGGCGTATACTTAATTTTGAGGGTTTTTACGGTAAATATACGCTATGTATGCTAAATTTATTCTACCCTTGCAGGGTGTTTATTTTTTCGTCAGAAGCCGAAAGGAGGCGTTTCCGTCCCTATAAATCATTTATATCTTTGATCAGCATAAGCAGACAAATCAATTACGCTATGTCAAAATTTGATAAGGGTTACATCGTCAAAATTGTCAAAAATTGGCAAAAATTTTAATTTTTTTAAATTGTTAAATGGGTATGCAGAATTGTAAACCTATTAAAAACTAGCACAGAACAGCTTTCCGAATTGAAATTTATGCTTTTGTGTAAGTCAATTGCTATCTTCAAGGAAACATTAACTTGAGCTTCTCGAAGTTGGTTACCATTTTTGTAAGATTTGAATTCTAAATTGTTTTTAATTCGAAAAGAGTTTGATTTAAAAATCATTTTATTTTTGCTTATTTTGAATTTAATTGGAATTCGATAAGAATTTCTTTCTGTGCTTGCATTTGACTCAAGCCGTTGGCCTCTGTTTGGCCCACAATTACTGCTGGTAAGCGAAACGGGAAATGGTTAATGACACTTGGACTGGGATTGGAATTGGAATTGGTTGCCAGTGGGCGGCATCAGGTCACGCACTCAGCTCTAATAAAAGCCACGAGCAAGAGTCAGAGATAATCCAGATAAGGAGACTGAGAAATTAGATATCGCTTCCGAACCGCCATTCCGTACAATGGGTGGTATGATTAATGCCTGAAAGCACATCAATTCCTGGGTTGATCGAAGAAATTAACGTAATTGGAAGCACACTGATTTTTCCCACTCGAACGCACGTCCGTGTCTTTTCAGTTGTACATAATACTCATACGCCCCGAGCGCAACGTGCGCCAGAGCATGATGCCGCCGCGCTATGGCAACATGCACCGCACCGCTGGAACAGGTCCCTCCTCGATGATGGCCGCCGCCGTGGTGACCGCTGCCACATGTGCTCAGGAGGAGAAGATCCAGAAGCATATCACGCCCACAAACACGGGTAAGCAGTTCGTGGGGGCCTTGTTACCTAGGATACTTGGTCATGAAGTCTGGTCCTCATTATTTGTCACTTTAAGTTTTTAAATTTATACATCATCTATAGTTAAGACATATTGTTATTTTTCCCCGTCTATGCCAATCTTACAGAGCACTCGCTCAAGACGAAAAAACTTTGCGAAATGGCCACGCAGACGATTTCTAGCATTATTACGTCACTGGACATCAACGCATATAACCAGATACCATATGCCGATCAATATGTGCCAAACAATACCACAACGGCCACAACCACGCCCACGGATAAGGGCAGTGGCAACGTCAACGTCAACGGCAACGGCAATAGCAACAGCAATGGGAGTAACAATAGCAATAGCAATGACAACGGCAAAGGCAACACCAACAGCAATAGCAATGGATGTGGCGACGAGGTTGCGGAGCAAGTGGTGGCCAACAACAACAAAATCAATCAGAGACAACATGGCCAGGCGATGGTGGGCTTTGCCCTTGCACCATCAACGGCTAACAATCACATAAGCGGCCCAGCAGCAGCAGCAGCAGGCGTTGCAACAACAGCGACGGCAACTGGCGATGATGCCGCAGTTATAAAAGCAACGGGAGCAATGGCAACATCTGCGATAGGGAGCGATGTCAACGAAACCGCATCCCTGGGGGCCAACAATGTGAGTGGAAACGGAGGGCAGCGACCGCCGGTTTTGCAAACAAACTTATAGCTAAACGCACAGCAATTGCAGCAGCAGTTGCTGAAGGAGCAGCAGCGACAGCAGGCCGAGTTGCAGCAACAACAGCAGCAGCAGCAACAACCTGCAACACAGAGCTCTTCCAGCGATGCAGGCAGTACGGGCAGCGGAAGTGCCACAAAGAAGAGAGCCGCCATTCCCGTTTAGGCTGCCATCGGGGGATTCCCTCCCCCAAAATAATACGTAAGTGAAAGCAAGCGTCTACAGAACGGAGATATTCTAGTTGTCACTGGAATATCTCTTCGATTGTAGACACTTTCCATCTCCATCAAGTTTGAAGCCATTTGTTAAGTCTTTCGATTAAGTGTTCCCTTGGCTTAACAATAAATAAATATTAATTTGTAAGTAAACTAATTACTGTGGGTTATTGAAACCACTTGTGGGAATGTACATTTCCATGATCCTTGTAAATTGGAGACCCTTGAGCAGAAAGCAGGCACGAGTGAACTGAATTTGTAAAGCCCAAAGAAATATGTACTAGTCAGCTAATTAAACATTTTTTCGTAATTCTTCCCCTACTAGTGTAAGCAGTAAGGCCAGAGATATATAGATATGTAAAATAAATGTCAAAGCAACTTGTCATCCCTTTAAAACCTATCTATAAGTGTTTAACTCTTTAGCTTATCTAGTTTTCTAAGCGTTGTTTCAAAAGAGTTCCGAACGAAACAAAAAAATGCAAAAAAATGTGATATAATTTCAAAAATGTGTTTTCTACAAACAGAGCAACTAGCGAACTATCTGAATAAAATGAAATTACGTAGCATAAGCCAGGCAAACGATGTACAGTGAGAACCGGGAGTGGAGGGATTTTTTTGCGAGGGCGCAATTATGTTGCAAAAGGGCTGGTGGCAGCCCCTCTGCAACATAGCGGCAAGTCGAGTCAGCGGATCAAGCTAGTAGGTAGAACAATTACAATTGCATTTATTGTGTTGTTTGAGCCCATCAACATGGTAGATTTAATTGTTGTCCCACTGAGTTGTAAATATTTTACGGGGAAATGGAACACTACCAGTCCCAGTAGTTATTTATGTACATGGATGTGAATACGGATTAATGTTAATTGTGTGCCGCTTAGCCCCCAATCGAGATATAAACCGCATAGTTAAATATTTGTTAAAATAATGCCAGTAATGTCTAGCCAAATCATGGGTACAAAAACTAGCGAAATATATTCGTTTTCCGTGTCTGTGTGTTAAGTGTAAATACTCGTTAATGGATGTTACGAAGCATTCAAAATATTTCAGATAATTACTTGATGTATAGTTATTAATACTATTGACAAACAATACGCTAAATGTTATTTGGCAGCATATATGTATATTTACGAATAAAGATGAATATCAAGGAATTCCAAATTAAGTGTTTACGGATATATATAATATTTGGAAGTAAGAACCGTGGCCTCGGCGGGCTGTAGAGTAAGGTTCCCATACCACACACTATTTAGGAAAAACGCAATTAATCTTCAAAGCTCCATATGGGTGATGGCGTTATTACTTACCCCAAGGTATTATCCGATCCCAGACTCTTAATAAGCAGTTTATAAGCGGAACGATCTGCGTCTAGATCAGGCAAGTACACGCTTCCTGCAGCCGAGCCAAAGTTTATAGCCAGAACATATTTGGCTTCATCGCCATACCTCCTTTAAAGATAAGATATATAAATATTCATATGCTTACACCCAAAGAATGTAGTCCCTACTCACCTTTGAACCACAAAGATATCCTCCGCTATAACCCAATACCTGGTAGATCCGTCCTGTAGGGTCTTGGATGATTTTCGTAGGGCCACCAGTTCCTTGTAAATCTTCAAATGAGATTCCTCTGCCACCAACTCTGTTTCCACGTTCACCGTCTTGTAGTCAGCCGCCAGTGGTAGCCACGTGGTAGATCCATTGGTAAAGCCGGCATTCGCACCCGAAGTCCATTGGAATGGAGTCCGCTCCGGATCCCTCGTGTACTGCTCATAGATTTCAGGGTTCGAGTTGCAGCCCCACGGATCGACTGTGTCCTCCCAGCTGATCTCGCCGTCGGTCATGCCGATCTCCTCACCCTGGTAGGTGACACTCACGCCCGGCAGGATCATCACCAGCATGTTTATGGCATCGATGTACTCCTTGCCATACCGACTGGCAGCCCTGCGTTTGTCGTGGTTACCTAGCTGGAATGTTAGGCTTATTAATATCTGTGGAGTTTGGGTTACCAGCTGCTAGTACTTACCACCCAATTGGGCGTACGACCCGCCGGCATATTATTAAGCCACAAATCGATTGCCTCCTTGACGTTGGCGGCACTCAGACCCTTCTCCTCCATCACAGTGATCAGATTGAAGTTGAAGGGCAGGTGGGCTCCCTCCCTGCTCCGATTGCCGTAGAACTGCATGGTGAACCAGGCGGGGGAGTACGTCTCTATCAGCAGAACACTTGAGTTGCCGCCGTGAATGCGCTGATAATCGTCCAGCACAGTGCGCCACTGATAGACCATATCGATAGTCTCCGGTTGATTCTCAATGTATTTCACGGTCAGGTAGTTGCGATCGTCTACGTCCTCTGTGGCCCCGCTTACGACTTCGTCGGGATACTGTCCCTCGGCATCTGGCAGGACCTCGAAAAGCGGCGGCAGGGCATCGCATCTGAATCCGGACACTCCCTCCTTCAGCCAGTAGCGTAGAACCCGCTTCATCTGCTCCACCACTGCGGGGTTCCGGTAGTTGAGGTCAGGTTGCTGAACGGCGAACTGATGGAGGTAGTACTGCTGCCGCACCTCGTTCCACTCCCAAGCACTGCCACGGAAGTACTGCAGCCAGTTGGTTGGCGGCTCCCTCTCACCAGTAGTTGCATTTACCTTTCCGTCGTGCCACACATAGTAGTCCTCGTAGCCCTTCTCGCGAGCCACCGACTTCTTGAACCAAATACTCTCATTGCTCGAGTGGTTGGGCACAAAGTCCAGAATGATTTTCAGGTCCAACTCTTTGGCTCGTTTGATCAAGGCCCTAAAGTCGTCGAGGGTACCGTATTCCGGCTGAATGTCGAAGAAGTCAGATATATCGTATCCAAAGTCCACCATCGGAGAAGTAAAGATGGGGGACAGCCAGGCTGCTGTGACACCAAGATCCTTGAGATACTCCAGTTTGCTGGTGATTCCGTTTAAGTCACCTATGCCATCGCCATCAGAGTCCTTGAAGGAGCGCGGGTAGATCTGGTAGAACTGTGCATTCTGCCACCAGTCCTTCTTAGTTGCGACTGATGAACACTCCCCATGGCCGATGGCGAATAGCAAAAGTGTGAGGAGCGCTGTGAGCCCCATTCTTGCTTGTTAGAAATCCAAAGTGTTATGGGCGAAGCTCGGCAATTGTTGGCCATTTTATACGTCATCCGCTTTACCTGCTTGATAAGGCTGATAAGCTCTCTTTAGGTGAGCAAATCAAAAGTAAAGGCAATCAAATTGTGTTGTCCGGAACTGATATAGGAAAAGTTTTTCCCCTGAAGTGCCTTCTCAAGTGTTTTGAGTTACTACTCAATAGCTGTTTATCATCTAAGCCCCGTTAATCCAACCAGTTAAGAGTTGATTGAAAACCTATAAAAGCAGCAGCACTAAATAATTGCAATCAAATTCCGAGAATGCAGAGAACTTTAATACATCGTGTGGGTGTCCTGGCCATATGGCTGGTTATCCTTGCCCAGCCGTGCTGGCCGTGCGAGACCACAACGTCGGCCACAGCCACAAAGGACTGGTGGCAGAATGCCCAGTTTTACCAGATTTACCCCAGATCCTTCATGGACTCTGATGGCGACGGCATTGGTGACTTGAATGGCATCACCAGCAAGCTGGAGTACCTAAAGGATCTGGGCGTCACAGCTGCCTGGCTGTCGCCCATCTTTACCTCTCCGATGGTGGACTTTGGCTACGACATTTCTGACTTTTTTGACATCCAACCGGAGTACGGAACCCTTGATGACTTCAAAGCTCTGATCAAAAGAGCCAAGGAGCTGGATCTGAAAATCATTCTGGACTTTGTGCCCAACCACTCGAGCAATGAGAGTATTTGGTTCAAGAAGTCGGTGGCTCGCGAGAAGGGCTACGAGGACTACTATGTGTGGCACGATGGGAAAGTTAATTCTGCGACGGGAGCAAGGGAGCCACCTTCCAACTGGCTACAGGCATTCCGGGGCAGTGCTTGGGAGTGGAACGAGGTGCGACAGCAATACTATCTCCACCAGTTCGCCGTGCAGCAGGCCGACCTTAACTACCGCAACCCCCTCGTTGTGGAGCAGATGAAGCGAGTGCTTCGCTACTGGCTGGACCTCGGAGTTGCCGGCTTTCGGTGTGATGCCGTGCCTGTACTCTTTGAGATCGAGCCTGATGCTAATGGTCAGTACGCCGACGAGGAGGTGAGCGGTCTGACGAATGACACCGAGGCCCGAAACTACCTTAAGAGCGACTTGATAGAGAATCGACAAGAAACAATTGACATGGCTTACCAGTGGCGTGTTGTCATGGACGACTACCAGCGCATCCATGGCGGCGATACGAGGGTCCTGCTCATTGAGACCTACGCCCCTCCCGCCTACACAATGCAGTTCTATGGCAATCGTAGTGTTGAGGGAGCCCACTTGCCCTTCAACTTCAACCTGATCACAGTCCCGGCCAGCGAGGGGTTCTCAGCAAGTTCCGTCAAGTTAGCGGTGGACAACTGGCTAACCAACCTGCCCTCTGGTCGCACCGCCAACTGGGTGATTGGTAACCACGATCAGCGGCGAGTGGCCAGTCGATATGGTACGGCCAATGCAGACGCCATGAACATGCTAGTGATGATTCTACCAGGTGCCAGTGTTACATACCAAGGCGAGGAGCTGGGTATGACCGATGGTGAGATTAGCTGGGAGGACACCCAAGACCCAGCGGCCTGTAACTCAAACTCGCAGATTTACGAGCAGTTCACCCGTGATCCCTCTCGCACGCCTTTCCAGTGGACAAGTGGCACAAACGCAGGATTCTCCACAGCAGCCAAGACTTGGCTGCCCCTGGCGGCGGACTACCAAACAGTCAATGTGGAGATGGAGACGGCGGCCGAGCGTTCGCATTTGAAGATTTACAAGTCCCTGGTGGAACTGAGAAAGTCCTCGGTGACTCTACAAAATGGTTCCACAAAGTACTCAGTGCTGGGTGATAATGTGTTCGTCGTTAAGCGGTGAGTGAATCTGATATATTAAAACCTCTCCTACTAAGGCAATGAATATATGATAAAACTAGCTGAATCAAGATTTAAGTACCGAATACACAATTTGAACGAATGCCCCCTAACTTATTACATTTTGCAGTTACCTCTCTGGCTCGCAGTCCATTATTTACGTGGCAAACCTTGCCAGCAAAGGTGTCACAGTGAACCTGTACGACTTTGACCAGACCCTGCCCACACACCTGACGCTCCTCGTGCGCAGCCTGCAGTCCGCCAAGGCGGAAGGGTGAGTGGACTTCCGGGGCTGGACAGTATACGACAATGTTAAGCAATACACATTAACTATCCTTTCAGCTCCTTGTTTGAGGTCACCGGTCTGAGTTTAGCGGCCGGCGAGGCCTTGGTGCTGAGCACTTCCTGATTCGTTCGGACTTCCTCCTATCTGGCGCACTTGAAAAACATACCGATTCGGGCCACTCAATCGGCATTTATCTCCGGCTCAAAGCAAATATGCCGTGGCTTGCATAAATAAATAAATAAATAAGCAAAGAACCAGACAAACAAACCACTCCACCACTCCGGGAACACCACTCACACACACATATCCTGTGCCCCCAGATAAGCTCGAGTGCCCGAGTACGTTCTCTTTTAATTCCCGGTTCGGTGGCGGGGTTCGCCATTTAAAGTGTTTACACACAAATTAAAGTCAAGCACAAGTCCCCGGACCCAGCACCCCGTATTCGTTCGACTTGTGTTCGGTTTGGTAAGTATTTCGTGTTTTATACTCGAAAGGAGGACCCCCAAGAGTATGTGTGTGTTTTACGCAATGTAAATACAGACGACGGCCAGGGACTAGGCCTATAAAGCACCAGCACCAGCAGCAGAAGGAGCAGGAGCGGCAGTGGCAGCACGGTCCCCCAGCATCGCTGACTCTTTGAAGTCGAAACCGTCGAGAGGGGGGCTTGATGAGTTCACGCAGATAGCTCCGGCAATTTTCCCAGTGAGATTTATTAGCAATCTTGAAAATTTCTGAGGCAACCCTGCAGTATTTATTCTCTGTCCCCCCAGAAAAGAGGGCAGCTGAAAGCAGAACTTCAATTGCGTTATAAATAATTAAATTGCGTTTACACATGGTAATTGGCAGACGCCTGCGATACACCGGCATCGAGTATACGCCCCGGTTGCCAGATGCAAGGATTTTTGGCTTATAGAAACTTGTCTCGCCGCACACACACACTCAGGGCCTCTTGTGGCCAACCTGAGTTGGGTCGACGGATGGGTTTTGGGTGTAGGGATACCTGTAGGAGACCCTTCAGAACGGCTAAAATAACAATTCTGTTAACGCTCACTGAAGTCGTGTAATTACCTAACTCGAGTGGATTTCACGTGCGATTAGTTTGAGAACAATAAACAGATTGAAATTCGAAGGCGCTCCTCGTCTACCTTAAAATCTTTACAAATTATTTTCTCCTTTTAAATAATCTCAGACTCCGAGACATTCGATTTGTTCGTTCGGCTGTGGCTTTGTCGGCGCTGAAAAATTAGCAGTCTGCGCCGACCGGGCCACAAAAATGAATAAAATGGAATCGTGTAAATGGCTGCGTGACCCGTCAGGCCCATTAAAAAGGTCACAGACACGGCTTCAGTTCCAGTTCCAGCTCCGGCCACTTTACCCTTGCGCACGTGACCAGAAACCCCAAAAAAAAGCAGCAAGAAAGAAAACAGAAATGCGTATGGAATTGTGGAAAATGAAAACCGCAAAGGCAGGACAGACACCGGTCCAGTGCCACCTGATCGCATGGCCTTCCTTTTGCCTCTTTGTGCATTTTCATTCGAACAGATAATGAAGTTCATTTCCCCGAATAAGCCGCCCAAATGATTACATTTAAGATGATTTTCGCAGATTTACGCAGTTCGGACAAAAGTTTGCTCCCCTTCCGATTGGAAAACTTTTAAAACGCATTAAGCCCGCTGTAATCTGCAGGGGTTCCGAGCTCCTGAGAGCCGGAAGCAAGCATCCCGGCACATCCATGCACATTTAGTTAACGAATTCGTGTTCCCCGACACCGTTTGCATATTAATATTGCGAGCCTAATATTTGAGTTTGATTTCAGGCCACTCTTAACGAGCTCCGCTCACCACCGGTGGCGGCACGTGCCAGGTGCCGAGCCAGGTGAGTCTGAGTCCCGGGCCAGAGAGTCCATCTAATCGCTGGCCGCTCATTAATTGCACCGCAAACACAGCTCATAACTGGCATTCAACGGGTTGTCAAGGTGGAGCCTGGCCAACAGTCACTCATTTGAATGACTCTCACGTAGGTGGTGATGTTTCGGTGTTTTGGTGGGGTTTGGTGAAGTTGTCGGGTCCGTTGACTCTTTCTGTAGGGGGCCAAAGTTGACAACTGATGCCGCAAAAAGATCCCCGGCCGATGACAGACCAATTGTCGCCGATGTGATGAACTGCGGTGGCACTCGCTCAGATTCACAATTCAGATGCTGCGCACAATGATGATGCAGAGTTTGCTTTTAAAGGTAACTAAACAGAGTGGAACGACTTTAAGGCACTCCTTTACAGGGTTAGTTTTTCGGTAAGGAGCAGCCAAAAATAGCAGTCAAGGTAAAAAATTCATCACAATTTCACTTAATTTTTATGAGTAAATTAAAAAGCCAACCAGGGTGCTTTTCGCTGTGGCTGTCTCGACTGTCAAGTGCGACAACTACAACCACATCCCATCCTCCCTGCCGTAGCACTCCCACGCACACTCACGCACCCTTACAGGCCGCCTCATTTCCGAGACACCTTCTGCGGTCCTTCGTCCTTCTTGTGTGGCAGCCAACGTTGCGTATGCGTGATTTGTGTGTCTTATCAATCACGTCTAATGGAATTTCTTTTGCTCCTCCTGCCTCATTCCCGCTGACTGGAAGACACCGCTGACTCTTGAGCCAGGACAAAGTTCCCTAATAATTTATAATAAGTTTGCCCAGCACGCGACCTTAAAATTGAAAAGTTTTCCAATGTCGTTCGCCCCAATGAGTTATACGTCCATATAACGGGCTATCCCATCGATGTACTTTATGTATGTTACGTATATTATTCTTGTCGAACTTATGATTATGTAGACTCCAGAATCAGGGCCGCATAAGGCTCCAAGGACAGATTGCTAAGGTTGACGGAATCCCTGCATGCATACAAAAGGTAACTTGTTAATTATGTATTTAAATTTGGCATTAAGTAGTTTACTTACCCAACGGTGGCCTTGGCCAGCGGATTCAGCAGCTTGATCTTGAAGTTACCAGTGGCGTAAAGGGCACTGGCCACATCCACTCCAGAGACAGCCGTGTCCAGCACGTTGGCTACCAGAACGTAGGTTCTCTCACCACTCAGAGATCTCCTGATGGCCACCACATTGTTTCCCACATTCGCATATCGAGTGGCGCCCAGCTGCAGGGTCTTCTGTTTGCGCAGCACCACCAGCTGCTTGTAGAGGCTCAGGTGACTGGGACTGGTGGCATTCTCGGTCCTCACATTCACCGTCACATAGTTCGGGTTAATGGGCAGCCAGGTAGTCGCGTTGGTCGAGAACCCAGCGTTGGCCTCGTTGCTCCACTGGAAGGGTGTCCTGGCAGGATCCCTTGTAAACTGCTCGTAGATATTAGCATTCGAGTTGCAAGCCGCCGGATCGCGACTGTCCTCCCAGCTAATGTCCAGATCTGTCATGCCCAGCTCTTCGCCCTGGTAGGTGACACTCACGCCAGGTAGGAACATCTGAAGCATGTTCATCAGGTCGATGCGATTCTCTCCATACCGACTGCCCACTCGACGCTGGTCATGATTACCCATCTGTACAAAATTAGTATATTAAAATGATTTAAGGAATAACTTGGGTGGCTTAATCTTTTTAAGGACAGTTAGTACTCACCACCCAGTTGGCTGTCTGTCCAGCTGGCATCTGGGTCAGCCAACTGTTGATAATCTTCACAAATCCCACCGCGTTCAGCTGAGTGTTGTTCTTGTCCCCTGCGCCGCCCACGATGAACTGGAAATTAAAGGGGATCTGGGCTCCCTTGGTGGTGCGGTTGCCATAGAACTGCATCACATAGTCCAGACCTGAGTAAGTCTCCACCATTATTACTCGCGTGTCGCCGCCATGAATGCGCTGGTAATCATCCAGCAGAGTCCTCCACTGATAAACCATTTCCACAGTCTCACGCAAATCCTGGGTGTAGATGTGCTTTAGGTAGGATGAGTCATCGCGATCAGTAGTGTAACCGCTCAGTGGCTCATCGGGATAACGACCATCAGCATCGGGCAGCACCTCGAAGCACCAAGGCACCGCGTCCATCCGGAAGCCGGCCACTCCACGGTCCAGCCAATAGGTCAGAACCCGCTTCATCTGTGCAACCACGGCGGGATTGCGGTAGTTGAGATCGGGCTGCTTGACGGCGAACTGGTGGAGGTAGTACTGTTGCCGCACGTCGTTCCACTCCCAGGCACTGCCTCGGAATGCCTGCAGCCAGTTTGAGGGCGGTTCCCTCACCCCAGTGGAGGCATTAACGTAGCCATCATGCCACATGTAGTAGTCCTCGTAGCCCTTCTCCCTATTTACGGACTTGGTGAACCAGACATTCTCATCGCTCGAGTGGTTCGGTACAAAGTCCAAGATGATCTTGATGTTACGCTTGTTGGCCTCTGCAATTAGCTCGTCAAAGTCAGACAGCGTTCCGTACTCCGCTTGAATGTCAAAGAAGTCGGAGATATCATAGCCAAAGTCCGCCATGGGTGATGTGTAAATGGGCGACAACCAAGTGGCCGTCACACCGATCTCCTTCAGGTAATCCAGTTTGGAGATGATGCCCTGCAGGTCGCCGATGCCATCGCCATTGGAGTCCTTAAAGGAGCGTGGGTAGATCTGGTAGAATTGCGCCACCTGCCACCAATCACGTGTGGTGTCCGCTGAGGTGGAAGCCCTCTCAAGGAGGTCGGGCTCCACTAATCCCGCTCGCCCAAGGGCAGACTGCAGGCCGAGAGCGAGTATCGCAACAATTAAGGTATTGAGACACGCCATGACTGACTGACCACCCGGCTGGTGGAAACCCCCTTTTATAGGCCCGCCTCACAGAGATCTTTTCGACGATAACGTCGAGTGCCTTTATTTTCCACTAATAACTAGGGTGGAGACTCAACGACTGCTCAAATAGAGCGCCACTTGAGCCAGCCAGAGATAAACACCGAGAACGGGAAGCAAGCGGAACTCTCCGTTGGTGGCGTAACCGTAGTAGGACGAAGTAGCCTCCAGGATCAGCGAGTCCTTGGGCTGCAATTGCAGCGAGGTAGAATTAATGAGATCGCTAGAAAATTGAAAAAGTTAGTTCAACCGTAATGGACTGCAATAAGTAAACAACCTACCCCACTTTGAAGTGAGATCGTTCCGTGACCAGCACAACCTTGAGCTGAGGCGGCAAATTCTTGAAAGTCTGCTGCAAATTTATAGTCTCCACTCCATCGAAGATGTTAATCAAGGTCAGGAGGGTTGACTCATGCTCAAGGGAACTGAGAGAAAGTCAGGATTCAAAATCAGTAACTATACTTATGTATAAGAAAAGTCTCCCTCACCGTTTCACAGCTAGCACTGAATCGCTGAGAGCCTTCACTTCGGTTTCACCCCTCTGGAGGGTCCGAGATTGCCGTCTCAATTGCCACAGTTGCTTGAAGACGTTCAGGTGGCTCAGAGGCTTCTGCCGCTCCAGCTCTACATTGACCTGCTTGTAGTCCAAGGCAATGGGCAGCCAGGTCTTGCTGGCATTACTAAACCCGGCATCCTGGGCGTCGCTCCACTGAAAGGGCGTGCGTTCCGGATCACGGGAATACTGCTCGTATATCTTGGGGTTGGTATTGCAGGCGGAGGGATCCACGGTGTCCTTCCACGAAATCCAAACATCGGTCATGCCCAGCTCCTCACCCTGGTAGGTAACACTGGCACCGGGTAGAGTGCTGGTGAGCATGTTGAGCATGTCCACACGATCTGTACCCAATCGAGAGCCGACTCGAGGCTTGTCGTGGTTTCCCAGCTGCAGAAAATATACAGAATTATTTTAGGTAAATATTATTGATAATTAATCTATGATGATTTAGAGTACCTAGTTCTTCAGCTAAATTTTTCTCCAATTTCTATAATTTGTTGCTAAAAGTAAACCCTTATCAGTTTCCATTGCGAACTCATACAAATCATACAAACGTAACCAAGCAATTAAATAAACAAAAACAAATTAAAGCCTTATCAAAACACACAAGAGTAAACAAATTCGATGAAAAACAATAGACACTTGTGACACTTGATTACCCTGTAAGTGGCATATAAATGCCTTATTTTCTATAAAATATTGGTGTAATTCCCTAGCTAAGTTATTTCAAGAGGATTCTAATCGGAAATAATAAAAGAAACTTACCACCCAGTTGGCGATCCGTCCCTTGGGCATGTTCTGGAGCCACTTTTGGATTGTGTCCTCGTAGGCGTGGGCATTCGACGAGTTGGAGATTTCGCTAATCAGCAGAAAGTTAAACGGCAGCTGGGCTCCCTCTGCAGTCGCGTTGCCATAGTAACGCATCACGATGTCAATGGGGGAATAGGTCTCAGCCATCAAGATGCGCTCCTCGCCGCCGTTCTCCCGCTGAAAGGCATCCAGCACGGCTCGCCAAGAGTAGACCAGGTCAATGGTCTCCGGCTGATCCACGGTGTAGATGTGCTGCAGATAGCCGTAGTCCTCGGGGTCATTGTTCCAATCATTGCGCGGTTCGTCGCGATACTGGTTATGTGCATCCGGTCCGATCTCGAAGACATGGGGCACTGCATCAATGCGAAAGCCAGAGACACCCTTGGCCAGCCAAAAGCGCAGAACGTTCTAAGTTGGTATAGAAAATTGTTTATAAAATTGTGATATTTATAAAACTTATAAAGTCACTTTGTAGGATTTGTAATGAACAATTACTAAATTGGTAATTTAATTATTTGAAGCATCTCTAGTGCTAATCGTAAATGGTTTTCAGCTTAAAATAAATCTGAAATGGGGTCAGCTGAGTAGTATTTAAATAGTATTCTCTATATTTAAATAAAACGGAAGAAGTTTCGTTGACACTATAAACTTTGCAGACTTTAAATCAATTTTAACAATTACTTTATTTAGTACTCACATTCATGGCCTCTCGCACTTTCGGATTGCGATAGTTCAAATCCGGCTGCTTCTTCACAAACTGATGCAGGTAGTACTCCTGACGACCCTCGTGCCACTGCCAGGCGCTGCCCCGGAAGACACTTATCCAATTGGATGGAGGACGGCGGTTGCCATTCTCCATATGACCAGGATGCCACACATAGTAATCCTTATACTCCGGATCCCCTGCCGCCGATCGTCGGAACCACTCGCACTCGTCACTCGAATGGTTGGGCACAAAGTCCAGGATAATCTTAATGTCCAGCTTCTTAGCCACCACCATTAGGTTCTCAAAGTCGGCCATGGAACCAAAGATCGGCGCAATTTCCGTGAAATTGGCAATGTCGTAGCCGAAATCGGCCATTGGTGAGGTGAATATGGGCGACAGCCAAGTGGCCGTGATGCCTATTTCCTTGAGGTAGGGCAGTTGCGCCGCAATTCCTGTTCAGAATTATAATATATATGTATTAAAAAAGAAAACAAAAACATTTTCCTTGTTTTTCTCACCATTCAGATCGCCCACGCCATCGCCGTTGCTGTCTTTAAATGACCTTGGATAGATCTGGTAGAAGGCGCCGGTCTGCCACCACTTGAGATCCGTGCCCTTTTCTTCGATGTCCACGAACTCCGCATGGTAGTTGGGAAAGGGCTGGCTCCAAGCTGGACAAAGGAACTGCAGCAGCACCACAAATAAAGCCGCCAGGCGATGCTTAATCATCGTTTAAGTTAATCAGACCGATTAGTCTAAGTACCGATCGGAGCAGACGCTCGAATGCGACTGACGATCAAATGAGAAAGAGATTTATGCAGGGCACTAAAGCTTATGTAAATGCCGGAGAGTATGAAAGAGAGAGAGAACATGGACATGGAAAGAAATATCTATCGGTAAGAGGTAAGAATTAATCTATATATTTTTATTAAGAAACTAACTAAAAATAATCATAGTTACATGTGATTAAATGGGACTCAAACTCATTAAAATTTGTTATAATATGTATAGTAATTTATTATAAACTTTACAAATATAAAATTATTACCCTTCTCATGTTCAGTTGCTTACGCTCCTGATAAGCATGCATATATTTTATTTATAAACCGCGAACCACAAAGAGAGAGTGAAAAGAGAGATCATGAGAGCAAGCATCGCGTACACTTGACAGTTATCACAAGCGAATATGTATATTCATATATATTTAAAAACATATATATACATATATATATATATATATGCATATATATACGGTATATCAGAAACCTGCAGAAAAAAACAATAATATCATTACGGGAATTGCTTATATTAGTACATATGTTTCCATTAACTTTGCGTTCTTGTGTTTTTTTTAACCCTTTTCTGGGTAATCTAATATCAGTCAAAAGCATTTAATGCTGGAAAGGAGTCATTTTCGACCCTATAAATCATATATATTCTTGATCAGAATTAACAGCCGCGTCGATCTTGCTATGTTCGGGCAAAATTTAATTTTTTCAAAAATTTCAAAATTTTATAAGGGGTTACATCGTCAAAATTATCAAAAACCTAAAAAATTTTAATTTTTAAATTGAGTATGTAGATTTCTTGACCTGAGAAAATCTAGCATTACAGTAGTTTCCGATTGGAAATTAATGTATTTTTGACATAGTTATGATCGATTGTGTTAGAATTTTGCTAGAATTTTTTTTTAAATTCTCGGAGGTTTGTTTTTTATAAATAATCCAATATACACTTTAGACTTGCAGAAGTTTTCAGTTTTAGTGATTTAAAATAAATAAAACTAATATAGTATACTACATAAGCTTTTAAAACAATATAATAACAAGCTGCTGCAGACAATCGTTGCATTTTTAATCATTTCAAAGAGCTTGCATCCCGTTTTCCCATTACTTTGTGTTTTTTTAAACAACAGTTAGTCATGAATGTGCAATGGTTTTATTTATCAGAGGGGACATTAACCTAAACCGTTTTAATGGAGCGCAGAACGATGGCCTCGTGGGGCATCAGGGTGACACTACTGGCGGACACCTGATCGCCGACCTTCTTGATGGACTTCTCGGTGACCAAAGCATACTGGAACTGGGCGGGCAGGTTGGAGAACACCTGCGACAGGTTCACATTCTCAATCGAATCGTAGATGTTGAACAGAGAAATGTACACGTAGTCGCCGCTCAGATGGCTGCAGGAAGATATTGGATTTATGCATAAAATATACTTTATATAATTATCGTCTTAGCTCACCGCTTGACGGCCAGGACATAGCTGCTCACGGCCTTGATCTCGGCAGAACCCTCCTCAATGCTGGGCTCCTGGCGCAGCTTCTGCAGGCGCTTGAACACGTTCAGATGACTGAGGGACTCGCCGCGCTCGGTCTTCACATTCCTCTGGCGATAGTCCGTGGACACTGGCAGCCAGGTGGACTTGCCGGTGGTGAATCCAGCCTGAGCCTCATCGGACCAGTGCATAGGGGTACGGGCCGGGTCACGAGAGTTGTCCATATAGTTTGCCTCATAGCCGTTGCAGGCCTGTGGGTCCACGGTATCCTCCCAGGAGACATAGCCGTCGAGCATGCCAATCTCCTCTCCATTGTAGGTGATGCTGCAGCCGGGTAGGGTCAGTAGAAGGATGTTGAAAAGATCCACACGATCGGCACCGAAACGGGAGCCCACACGGTTCTTGTCGTGGTTGCCAATCTATTTAGTAAATAATAACATTAATGATTATCAAGAATTTGAGAGGAACATTAGAAAGTATTTTTAAGTATCACACCTCATATTTAACTTAATATTCATTGCTTTTATATGATAGTTTCGGTTGATTTACAAATCTTTGGGGCTTAAGTGCAGCCCATAACTTACCACCCAGTTGGCGCTCTTGCCCGCGGGCATCAGGTTGAGCCAGTTGTTAATCAAGTACTCGTATTGATAGGCATCGGAGTTGTAATGCAGATTGGTTATCAGCTGGAAGTTGAACGGTATCTGGGCACCTTCGGCGGTCTCGTTGCCATAGTAGTCCATGACGATTTCGATCGGCGACCAGGTCTCCACCATCAGAATACTGAATAATGCGAAAGTAATCTATAAATCCCATGACTTTTGAGCGATTTGTAGCGCAATTACTCACCGCTCATCGCCGCCGTTGTCGGCTTGGAACTGCTCCAAGATCTGGCGCCATTCGTAGCTATAAATTTAAGAAAATATTAATCATACTTTCATGGAACCTGGCCAATTAACTAAACTTACACCAAATGGGGAGTCTCAGGCTGGTCCACGGTGTAGATCTTGTGGGTGTAGCCGTACTCATCTGGGTCGTTGGTCCAATCGTTGCGGGGCTCATCTGGATAATTGCCATTCTCATCGGCCTCGATCTCGAAGGCATGGTAAATGGCATCCACACGGAAGCCATCGACGCCCTTCTCCAGCCAGAAGCGCAGCACATTGTTCATCTCCTCGCGGACCACGGGATTGCGGAAGTTAAAGTCCGGCTGCTTCTTGTGGAACTGATGCAGGTAGTACTCCTGGCGACCTTCGTGCCACTCCCAGGCGCTGCCGCGGAACACGCTCACCCAGTTGGTGGGCGGACGACGGGTGCCATCATCGTTGACGAATCCCGGGTGCCAGATGTAGTAGTCCTTGTACTCCTCCTCGCCGGCAGCCGAACGCAGGAACCAGTCGGCCTCATCGCTGGAGTGATTGGGCACAAAGTCAAGGATGATTTTCACATCGAGCTCCTTGGCACGAGCCACCATGTTCTCAAAGTCCTCCATCGTTCCGAACATGGGATCGACAGCCTTGAAGTCGGAAATATCATAGCCAAAGTCGGCCATCGGAGACTTTAAAAAGGGCGACAACCAGGTGGCCGTCACACCGATCTCCTTGAGGTACTCCAACTTCTCGGTCACTCCATTCAGGTCTCCAATTCCATCGCCATCGGTGTCTTTGAAGGATCGGGGGTAGATCTGGTAGAAGGAAGCGGTCTTCCACCAGGGGCCCGCAGCATCGACGGCCAGAAGGCCAAGGCCCACCAGTAGGATCAGGCTAGTCCAAGTGGTCATTGTTAACTGTAACTGGTGTGATTGGAATCAGATTCTTATATACCTTTGCGATAATCTACAAAGCTTATCGATGTTAGATTTTTGCGCGAAAACACGTATGACCACCTGGGGAAAATATATGGCGGGACCTTTGGCTCCAGAATAAAAATAGAAGATAGTGAGGTTGGTTATGATTTGAAAGTGATTTTCTTGGATTAATGGAACAAGGAACAAGTAAATCACTTTATTAAATTGAATGTTTTGAAATAATTGTATAAATAACAAAGGTTCAAGGCCAAAGTTGATGCTTATCTGAGAGTCCTTGCCCAGGTCTAATAATATTATCCTTATAAGCTTACAAAAGTAACCCAAAACTACACTTTATTCCCTCGCATAAAAAAATTCGAATGTAGCGATAACACCTCATTATCTAATACTTATAATTTGCTAATGACTCTGTATATTTTCTGTAATCAAAACTACAGTAATCACAGGGAAATGAGTTCAAGTTCTATGCTGTTCGGGTCTCTAATGACCTACACTCACGTGATTTTAATTATTGAATCATTCCCAATTACCTTATCACAACCTTGAACCCTCAAGTCTTGCATTTATAAGCACCGAATTAAAGAGGCAATAAATTATTGCCCCCTCAGAGAAATCCAAGAAACGATCGATAAGATTAAGCCATTTATGCAGTTGAAGTTCATTTGCCTGCCAATCTGTCTCATGAGCTCCAGGCGTGAGCCAAAATCAGACTCCACAGCGGCCTGTTGCCAATAAATACCATAACCCGGTATCTTGGGAACCCGTTCAGCCTGGCCACGCACTGGGATCGTAAATCTGCCATCGGCGTGGGGCTAATCAGGAGTACATATTGGGGCTTATCAGGGCCTTATCAACTGGGCCAATGGGCATAAATAGAAGCACTGTCTAATCCCTCTGGCCATTGGCAATCGATCGTTTCCGTGGGAGCCATGTTCAAGTTGCTGGTTCTTTCCTGCCTTCTGGCCCTGGTACTGCCCTCGTTGGCCGAAGTGGGCTGGTGGCGGACCGCACAGTTCTACCAGATCTATCCCAGGTCATTTAAGGATAGCGATGGCGATGGTGTGGGCGACTTAAATGGTAAGAAATGGATAATGAATGCCTTGAAGCAGGCACTTATCCCAGACTCGTTTTGCAGGTGTCACCCAGCAGCTGGCGTACCTGAAGGAGATCGGTGTCACTGCCACTTGGCTGTCTCCGATTTTCACCTCTCCCATGGCTGACTTTGGCTACGATGTGGCCGATCTCTACAACATTGATCCCATCTTCGGTACCATGGCCGACTTCGATGCCCTGGTGGCACGCGCCAAGGAGCTGGACATCAAGATCATCCTGGACTTTGTGCCCAACCACACCAGTGACGAGTGCGAATGGTTCATCCGTTCGGAGAACGGCGAGGAGCAGTACAAGGACTTCTACGTTTGGCACACCGGCAAGGTGGTCAACGGTATCCGCCAGCCGCCCAACAACTGGATCAGCGTCTTCCGGGGCTCCATGTGGACGTGGAGTGAGAAGCGTCAGGCCTACTACATGCACCAGTTCCATGCCAAGCAGCCCGATCTGAACTACCGCAACCCCGCCGTGGTCGATGCCATGAAGGAGGTCCTGCGCTTCTGGCTGCGCAAGGGAGCCTATGGCTTCCGCATCGATGCCGTGCCCCATGTCTTCGAGGTGCCAGCTGATGCCGACGGCAACTGGCCCGATGAGCCCAGGAACGAGGCTGTCAGCGATCCCGAGGACTACACTTATTTGCAGCATATTTACACCACAGACCAGCCGGAGACCCTGGAGCTCGTCTACGCCTTCCGTGATGTGATTGAGGAGCTGGATGCTGAGCTGGGTGGCGACGATCGTGTCCTGCTCACCGAGGCCTACTCCCCCTTGGAGACTCTGATGCAGTACTACGGCAACGGCACCCACCTGGGCTCCCAGATTCCCTTCAACTTTAATCTGCTGGCAAACATTCATTACAACTCCGACGCCTACCACTACTCGGAGCTAATCCACAACTGGCTGGACAATATGCCAGAGGGCCAGGTTGCCAACTGGGTGTTTGGAAACCACGATCAGAGTCGCATTGGATCCCGTCTGGGTGCCGATCGCATTGATGCTTGCAACATGATCATTCTGGGCCTGCCCGGCGTCAGTGTCACCTACCAGGGTGAGGAGACCGGCATGACCAACGTGTACATCAGCTGGGAGGACACCGTGGACCCCCAGGCCTGCCAGTCCAATGAGAATGAGTTTGAGCGTCTTACCCGCGATCCCGTGCGCACACCCTTCCAGTGGAACGACGAGCAGAATGCCGGCTTCTCCAATGCCTCCGTCACCTGGCTGCCCGTGGCCAGTGACTACAAGTTGGTCAATGTAAAGAAGGAGCGTGGTGTGGCCCTGAGCCACCTGAATATCTACAAGCAGCTGCGTGCTCTCCGGGATGAGCCCACCCTGAAGCAGGGCGATGTCACTGTGGTGGCCATTGGTCCCAATGTCTTGGCCTTCAAGCGGTGAGTTGAGATTGTATGTCCTTTCTGAAGCATAGGGTTTATCCTTGACTTTATCTATAGCTCCCTGGCTGGCCACAAGTCCTACATCACTGTCATCAACATCAACGATGATGTCGAGTCGATCAACCTGGACTCTGTCTTCACCTCCATCTCCACTCAGCTGCAGTACGTTGTGGTCAACGACAAGAGTGTGCGTCGCAAGAAGTGAGTACTAGGAAAACCACCTCAAAGAATTCTTAACTCATATCTTCTTCTATTCCTTCCAGCGATCTTACTTTTGCCAACTCTGTCCTGCTGATGCCCAAGGAGGCCGTCGTGCTGAGCACAGTCTAGGCCAACTTAATAGTTTTCTTTAATAAATAAAAATCATAGAAACCATAAAAATCGTACAACTTCTAGGGTAGTGTTACTCAACGGAAAGCTTATCTCAGCAAATGCCCCACCGAGCTGTATAAACACTGATTAGAAAGAGACCCTCTGGGAATTTTGAATAATAGCCTTAATTTATTGGGCAATTAGTACGGCGTATTAGGGCCATATCAGAAGATTCCGGTTCCAATATGGTCGTCGTAAGTGTTTATTTAAAGATTAATCCATGCCTATTATTGCGTAAGTTGAAAGTGCTCAGTATCGAATGTCTGTATCTTTAAGTGGTATTACAATCATGATTTAGGTAATTGGCACTCAAAGTTCACATTGGCATATAGCCCGAGTCGCATGCGTCCAGTGGCTGACATACTCCATGGGGCGGCGCTATCTTTATGGGGGTCCCCAAGGCAGTTGGTATAGATTAAGAGCAAACAAGGAAGGAATTCTTTCTAAAAGTCTTCAAGAATTTAATCGGATTTTACACATTACGCCAGCCAGCGCAAGACGACTGCTTCGTAGGGCATGAGGATGATTCTATCCTTCAAATTGACAGTTTGCCTAGAGATTAATTCGTATGAGAAATGGATATCAATTCCTATATGAAATGAGTCTTACCCAGCATAGTGCGTAGAGTAGGCAGTAACCAGAACATACTCATAGGTCTTGGTGCCCAGACCATCGATCATCTCCATGTTGTTGCCCATGTTGACCAGAATACGGTATTCCTCGCTATGCTTGTTGGTGCTGGAGTGAAAGAAAATTAATACCTTATATACCTTTAATTAATATCTTTTAGGACCTACCGTATAATCTGCAGAACTTGCTCCGTGACCGCTTCATAAGAAAAGCCTCCTTCCTCCTTGAATGCCATGAAGGCGGAACTACTCTTCAGCTCCTGCAGACCCTTGAAGATGTTCAGGGAGGATCGTGAGACCCTACGCTCCGTCTGCACATTGTATCTCTCGTACTCTGGACTTAGGGGCAACCAAGTGGTATCACCCTGAGAGAAACCAGCATTCCGTTCCGAATTCCACTGCATGGGAGTGCGCTCTGCATCCCTATGCTCGCAGTCGTCTCCGGTGCACTGCACATCCACATTGGACATGCCGATCTCCTCGCCGTAATAGGTTACAGAGGCTCCTGGCAGGGCATTCACAATCACATTCAGCAGGTCCACTTTGTGGGCTCCCATGCGATTGGCCACGCGGTCGTTGTCGTGGTTTCCCACCACCCAATTGGCCGTCTGGTGCTCCTTCCACATGGTGTTCATCCAGTAGTCAATGGAGCCCACCACATCCCTGGCAGTGGAGTAGCCACTGAGGTACATCAGCTGGAAGTTCATGGGCAGCTGGGTGCCCTGATGGGTGCTGTTCCCGAAGTAGGCACTCAGTGTTTCCACGGAGGAGTAGGCCTCGGCCAGGAGCACCCTAGAGTCGCCGCCATTCTCCGCTCGATAGGCATCCAGAAAGGCACGCCACTCGTACATCAGATCCACGGTGGCCGGCTGATCCTTGGTGTAGATGTGGTCGTGGTAGTCGTAGGCCTCTGGGTCACTGCCCCACCCACTGATGGGCTCGTCCGGATAGGAGCCATTCGCAAAGCGATACTCATAGATATGAGGGACCGCATCGATCCGGAAGCCATCCACTCCACGATCCAGCCAGAACTTGAGCACATCCAACATGTGCTCCCTAACCATGGGATTGGTGAAGTTCAGGTCGGGCTGCTTGTCCTGGAACTGATGCAGAAAGTACTGCTGGCGCTGCTCGTTCCACGTCCACATGGGTCCGCCAAACACGCTGACCCAATTGGAGGGCGCCTCCCTCTCGCCAGTTTCCGCATTCAGCTTTCCGTCGTCCCACACATAGAAGTCATCGTAACCCTCCTCGCGGTTCACCGATTTGGCAAACCACTCGTTCTCGTCGCTCGAATGGTTGGGCACAAAGTCCAGAATGATCTTCACGCCCAGCGACTTGGCCTCTTTTATTAATTCATCAAAGTCCGCCAGGGTGCCGAAAATGGGGTCGATGTCGTAGAAGTTGGAAATGTCGTAGCCAAAGTCCGACATGGGTGAGGTGAAGATGGGTGACAACCAGGTGGCCGTAATGCCGATTTCCTTCAGGTAACTCAGCCGCGAGGTGATGCCCTTCAGGTCCCCAATGCCATCGCCATCGCTGTCCTGGAAGGAGCGCGGATATATCTGATAGAGTGAGGCGTTCTCCCACCAATCGATGTCCGCACCACCCACCGGGGCGGCGCCAGAAAGGAGGAGGATGAGAGCCAGGCTGAGGCCGAGGCCGAGATGTGCCCACTGCGGCATTTCGATAGCGTTTGAGTGGGCCAAACTCAATTTGCTAATAACAATTGCCGGCCGTGTAGCGATTGACGAGGCGATAAGGCGCAATTGCTCCGACCGACTGGTAATCTGTCAGTGTTTTATCGCATATTTGCTAGATTAAATAACCGCTGGCTCTGGTCTTTTTCCCGTTCCTTTTGTTCTGCCATTGGCTCTCCTTTTATTGGATATTCCACTAAAGCGCGAAATGCCATAAAATTCCCATAAAAATGTTAAATACAACTGTGAAAAGAATCAGCCGGTGACTGGGTCGAGATTTCAATACAGTGAACCAATATCGATAAAAGCCATAAATGGCAGAACTTTATTCAACAAAGTTTGTTTAGAAGAGATTTCAATTTGAACTTGATATAAAAATGTATTTATTAAATCGTTGTTTTCAATCTAATCTATATTTATATCTTTACATTATATTTATGCAATATCCTTCTTTTAGAAGCTTTCAAAACAGTGAAGGAGTCATTTCCGACCCTATAAATTGTATATATTCTTGATCATCATCGAAAGCAGATTCTATCTAGACATCCTAGGGCCACCCCGTCCTGCATTGACTTTTTTATCTACAAATCGATTACAAGTAACCTGCTTTCCATCAGGAACGAGCATGATCTTAGCTCTGATCACTTGCCGCTGGTAGCAACATTTGCGTCTGCTCCTACAACCATTGTCTCTAGATCCAGCCTGCTGAAACCTGGATTTTGTCTCTCCGCCTTCCAAGATTCACTGGATAACTCCCTTGAGCTTTCCACCTCCCTAAACACGAAGGAGGACGTGGATTCAGCCATTAACATCCTTCTTACTAGGATTGGGGAGGCTGCTGCAGTTGCGGCCCCTTCGGTGATTCCAGGCTCTCTTACGGCAAGGCGTCATTGTGTGCTCTCTTCTGAAGTTGAGGGATTGCTGTTGCTGAAGAAGAGGCTTAGGCGAGAGTACATCCGCACATCCGACATGAGAATCAACAGATTGTTCAGGAGGATTTCCAACAGAGTACGTAAAAAATTGTCGTTACTCAAGGCTGAAGCTACGGATCGCATGCTGGAAACCGTGACAGCTGATGCGAGCTCCAACTATTCCCTTTGGAAGCTGACTGGATCCTATAAAAGGCAAGCTACTCCTAAGTTTCCAATCAAAACAGAGGATGGTACATGGGCAAGATCAACACAAGACAGAGTTGAAGCTTTTGCTCAAAGTCTAGAAGATAGATTTACTCCCTTCGGAACAGCCTCTGTCCGGAGACAACAGATTGTGGCTGACAAGCTTGCGATTACACACCAAATGGAGCTTCCGGTGCCACCTATAACTGTGCAGGAGGTTAAGGAGGACATAAAAAAGTTAAATGTCAAGAAAGCCCCTGGAGATGACCAAATTGATAATCGTATTGCACGAACGCTACCTCTTAGAGCACTGCTATACCTTATACTCATCTTCAATGCTTCCCTGAGGTTGAGCTACTTCCCAAAGGCTTGGAAGAGTGCTCGGATTGTAATGATCCTTAAACCTGGGAAACCACCCGAGGACCTAAACAGTTATCGGCCTATTAGCCTCCTTTCCACATTTGGTAAGCTGCTGGAAAGATGCATCCTTAGAAGATTACGTCAGTCTCAGTTGGCAATGAACGCTCTTCCCAAATTTCAGTTTGGGTTCAGACTTAGGCATGGCACCCCTGAACAGCTGCACCGTGTTGTTGAGTATATACTCGAGGGGTTTCACTCTAAACAATACGTGGTGGCTGCCTACCTGGACATACAGCAGGCTTTTGATAGGGTGTGGCATCCAGGGCTACTCTATAAAATCAAGCCATTACTAAACCCACAACTGTTCGAAATGGTTAGAAGCTTCCTCTCTGAAAGGACATTCAAAGTGGTTCAGGACGGTACCCTATCCTCTCTAAGGCCGATAAAGGCTGGAGTTCCCCAAGGAAGCGTGCTGGGACCGACGCTGTACAGCTTGTTCACTCATGACATGCCGAAGTCCACGGGACATGATCATAATTCTATGCTGGCCACATTTGCTGACGATACTGCTGTCCTCTCCAGATCCAACTGTATCTATGACGCCACTGATATGCTTCAGCTATACCTCAAAAGGTTTGAGAATTGGGCCTGTCGCTGGAACATTTCAATTAATCCGGCAAAGTGTGCTGTAGTGACGCACTCCCTCAGAAAGGAGTCGTGCCCTGGACTGTTCCTGCATGGAGAGCTTCTTGAGCAGGTCAGAGATTATAAATACCTGGGGGTCACCCTGGACACTAGATTAACCTTCGCCAAGCATACAAGGTTAGTTAGGCGTTCATTGGAGGATAAAGCCAGAAGGCTGTACTGGCTCCTAAAGGCAAATAATCACCTGAGTCTGGCGAATAAGGTACAGATATATAAGTCCATACTTGCCCCTACTTGGAGATATGGGATTCAAGTTTATGGCATAGCGGCCAAATCTAATCTGAGTTACATCCGGGTCTTCCAAAGCAAGTTCCTGAGGAGAATTACTGGTGCTGAGTGGTTTATTCGGAACACTGACCTAGCGAGGGACCTTAAAGTTCCCTTGTTAGGGGATATTATCAATGAACAAGCCGAACATTACAAAAATAAGCTCATGTCTCACCCAAACATTCTAGCCAGGAGACTTGCGTCTCGGCGGGCAAGGCGGAGACTTAAAAGGATTCATCCCTCGGACCTACCAAGAAGGAAAATTTATTAAACACTAACTAAACTCCCTGCCACTTGTTACTTCTTCACTTCTTACACTTTTGTAATAATCCAATGAACTCCTCCGCTCACTATTGCATAAGTTGCTACACTACAGTAATTTGCAATAATAAATTCAGTCAAAATGGAGAAAAAAAAAAAAAAAAAAAAAAAAAAAAAAAAAAAATCTAGACATCTGTGGCAGAAAAAAATGTTGCAATTTTTTCACAATTTGATAATTGGTTACATCGTCAAAATTTTTCAAAATTCAAATTTTGTTATTTGAAATTCATTAGGCAGATCTGTTAACCTATTAAATACTAGTACAGAGCAGTTTTCCAAATTAAAATGAATGCATTTTTGGCATGCTTGTGATCGATTTAAGATACGATTCCATGATCCCATATTGCAAACTACAAGAATAGTTCATATCAGGGTTTTGAATATTTATTTAAACCCTGTTGATTTAAAACTATAAATTATTATTTACCATATAACTATTTATATACATTTTTGATACAAACTATAAGCAAAACTTCAGTATTTTAAAAGGTCAAATGTTAGTAACCTCTTCATGTAATACATTTTTTTAAATTCCCAGACATTTGACTTTGCATTAATTATGACAGCAGTCTGAATCCCTGGCGTCCACTTTACGACCTGCGTCACTGCTGTCTCTCAAAATAAATATGACTTGTACATTTGCTTTTAAATAAATTAGTCCCCGCCCCGCAGGCAGAGGAGTGTGGAGCACATTTCCGCAAACACACCTAATTAGCCGCTTCTAGCACAGCCCAGCTTGTATCCCCGAAGCGGAGCGCGATTCCAAATAAGTGAATCTATGCAGCATCCTCGAGTCCGCACCAGACGGACCATGGGGGCATATTCACTGTTTTCGCAGTGCACCCGTTCAATAACACTTACTCATTACACCGCCCGTGGCATCCATTCGAAGTGGTTTTAATTTAATTAAAATCCTCACTCGCCAGCTCACCTGCATGAAAGTGAGGTGAGCTCTGCCCCCTCCTTCAACTGGCAGCATCCCGGGGGTGTGATTCTGCAATAATTCAACGTATACTACTTTTTGAAACTATGCTAGTTAACACAAATCAATTGATATCTGTATTGGCGCAGATTGCTCGCTTATTCAGATTTCAATTAAGTTCGTTGGTTGCTGGTTTTGCTCTTAAAAAAAGGTCACAGTTAAAGTGTTAAAGTCTTTTAAAGTGTGATGATAGTATAGATCTATTTGTAATCATACCCAAACGAAATTTTTACTGACAACGCTAAGCTTTGAAAATATAACTTCAAAAGCTTATAAACAAACAAGGAAATACCTGAGCAGCAAATAAACTCCTTGAAAATGTAGTCCCTTAAAGATAAGATATCTATTAAGAATCAATTTGATTGTATCGCCTTAATTACCAGAATTATCTATTAAACTACATACAATAGCTATTATCTGTTCCAAGAACTTTACAAATGAGAAATACTGCCCTAATGTTTTTTAGCTCAACAGCGAATTACTTTACCAGTTAACTGTCAAAACTTATCAAGTGAAACTCAACTGACTCTGATAATAACAACAATTTTAGCAACTTTAGCTGAACTGTTCGCAGCAAATGATTATGTTTTGTCACGTTTGAAATGGCCCAGAGAACTGCGACAAGGTTATCTGGGGGAGAGAATATTTCCACCGTCGAGTGTTCATATTTATTAATCACACAGTTTTTCCAGCTCACCCTCGCTGCTTGTTTTTGCCTGCAGCTGAAGAAGGGGGATTTGTTCTGTTTTTTCCTTCCTATCAGCTGACTAACTGGCCACTTAAAGGCCCTACCATAACAAACCAGGGGAGGTTCTTCAGGAAGATACCCTATAGGTTATTTTCCAGCAATCAAGGTGCAGTGTCGAGAGCGGGTTAATCGCTTTACGTAAAGCTTCGCTGGGAGTGCAAAAACAATGACAATTTGGGTGCGAAAACCTGAGCACCCTGAAAACCCACGAGCACTGTGTTTGAACAGCCATTGAAATGGCCACTCCAAGTGGGCCAGATCTTGATAGGAGCCGCCTTATCGAGCGGTATAAAAGCCAGCTGACGGCTCTCCACAGCGAACAAATTCGATCAAAATGCGACCGCAATCAGCTGCGTGCCTACTCCTGGCCATCGTGGGCCTGGTAGGAGCCACCGAGTGGTGGGAGAGTGGCAACTACTACCAGATCTATCCGCGCTCCTTCCGCGACTCCGATGGCGACGGCATCGGAGATCTCAACGGTGTCACCGAGAAGCTGCAGTACCTCAAGGACATCGGCTTCACCGGCACCTGGCTCTCACCCATTTTCAAGTCCCCCATGGTGGACTTCGGCTACGACATCTCGGACTTCTACACCATCCAGCCGGAGTATGGTACCATGGAGGACTTTGAGCGCATGATCGCCAAGGCCAAGGAGGTGGGCATCAAGATCATTCTGGACTTTGTGCCCAATCACTCCAGCGACCAGAACGAATGGTTCACGAAGTCTGTGGACAGCGATCCCACCTACAAGGACTTTTACATTTGGCACGACGGCAAGGTGAACAACGAGACCGGCGAACGGGAGCCGCCGAGCAACTGGAACTCGGAGTTCCGCTACAGCGCCTGGGAGTGGAACGATGTGCGTCAGCAGTACTACCTCCACCAGTTCGCCATTCAGCAGCCCGATCTCAACTACCGCAACCCGGCCGTGGTCAACGAGATGAAGAATGTGATCCGTTTCTGGCTGGCCAAGGGCGTCTCCGGCTTCCGTATCGATGCGGTGCCTTATCTCTTCGAGGTGGACCTCGACCGCTACAACGAGTACCCGGACGAGCCGCTGACCAATGACCCTGTGAACTGCCCGGATTCGGACGACCACTGCTGGACGCAGCACATCTACACTCAGGATCAGCCGGAGACCCTCGATATGGTGTACCAGTGGCGCGAGCTGGTGGATGAGTTCCATGAGGAGCATGGCGGTGACAAGCGACTCCTAATGACAGAGGCCTACACCAGCTTTGACAACATTATCTTGTACTACGGCAACGGTGTAAGGAACGGCTCGCACATTCCCTTCAACTTTGATTTCCTTACGAGCATCAACAACGCCTCCAAGGCCGGTGACTATGTGGATCACATCAAGAAGTGGATGGATGCCATGCCGGCTGGTGTCTACGCCAACTGGGTGCTGGGCAACCATGACAATAAGCGAGTGGCCTCTCGTTTCGGAGTCCAGCGCACGGACCTCATTAACATCCTGCTCCAGACGCTGCCAGGCCACGCGGTTACCTTCAACGGCGAGGAGCTGGGCATGACCGATGTATGGATCAGCTGGGAGGACACGGTGGATCCCAATGCTTGCAACTCGAACCCGGATATCTACTACGACCGCACAAGGGATCCGGAGAGGACGCCCTACCAATGGGACGCGTCTCCCCAAGCAGGTGAGTCATATCTAGCGGCACTTACCTTAAGGGAAAATTTATAAGTAATCCATTAAGTGTGTTGTTTTGACTTTGATAGTGAATATTTCGATAAGTGTGATTTGTCATACTCTAATCAATATTGTTATAAAACCTGAACAGGCAAATGCCAAGACAATGGCAGATAGACAACACTGGCTGATTAACTATAATCTCAAGAGGCCAACAAGTAGGAATGCAAGATAACTAAGAATAATTTTAATATATTTTTTATTCCAGGCTTCACAAGTGCAGATCACACCTGGCTACCGGTGGCCGATGATTACAAGACCAACAATGCCCTGCAACAGCTCCGAGCTCCTCGTTCCCACCTTCAGATCTTCAAGAAACTGGTGCAGGTTCGCAAGGAGCCATCCTTCCGCAAGGGAGGACTTGTTATCCAGGCCGTGGACGACGATGTGATTGTCTATTCGCGGTAAGTTGTATAAGGTAACAATAATCAGATCAATTATACAATAATATATTTATCGTTGCAGCCAAGAGACCGGAAGCGATCTCTATGTCATCGTTCTCAACTTGGGCGGCACCGCCAAGACCGTGGATCTGACCAAGTACGCCGAACTGGGCACCCAGGCGGAGGTCATCACCACCTCCCTGAGCTCCCAGTATATCGATGGGGATGTTGTTACCCCCTCGCAATTCGTGGCCAATCCTTATGTGGGCACTGTTCTTGTGAAAGTCTAGTTAGGTTAATTTTATTTGACGAAACGTAAAATGTATATTGCCAGTGTAAAAATAGAATTTTTTTAAATTATTTTATTAGCCTAAAAGTAGGCATGGTGGTTGCGATTAGTGCCTCTTCTTCAAGCGCAGATGTAAACCATTCTCCGACTTTAGAGTCATGGCAGCGGACAAAATCGGATCGTATTTATGGATGTGTTCATCTCGTTTTGCCTTCTCCGCCGGAGGAAGTCCCAGGGTAGTGCTAATGTAGCCATCCTTCGAAATAAGCTCATCCAGGGCAGGCAGGACTTGAAAGTTGCGAACGATCTTGGATACCACAGTCTTGATCTCGAGCAAGGCAAACTTCTGGCCAATACAGTTTCGAGGACCGGCACTAAAGGGCACATACTCGAAAGGTCCTGGCTTCTGCTCCTCAAAGCGCTCGGGTCGGAACCTAAGGGGATCCTTAAAAACGCGATCATTATAGCCTAACATCAAAAGACCCAGGTTCAGTGTGGTACCCTTTGGTACCAAATCGCCATCTGAAACAGTAAAATTTTTAACTTAGAATATTTTTTGTGATTTTAAAGCTTCTTACCTATCACATAATCCTTTTCTGTGAAACGGCCAATAAAAGGAACACTGGGATAGAGTCGCTGTGCTTCCTTTATGAAGAGATCTAGGTATTTCATTTGAGATATTTCCTGAAAGGTGGCATCGCGGCCAAGTCCAGATTCACCCATAATTTCGCATTGTTCATCGAATAATTTTTGCTGCATTGAAATTTGTAGTTTTCGATGTGCTTATTGATTATTTATTAAGTTTACCTGTTCTTCTGGATGCCTGGAGAGCAGATAAACGGCAAAGCCCACTCCAGAGGTGGTTGTATCATGACCTTCGAACATGAATGTGGAGACCTCTTCGTAAAGCTCCTGAGAAGTCAAGGGTCGTCCATCAACTGTGGATGAAAGTAGAGTATCCAAAAATGCCATCTTTTTGCGAGAGAACTCATCTCCTTGGGTTTTTGACTCAACACTTGAGTTAAGAGTTTTAATTCGCTTTTCGATAATATCATTGGTGAAGTCCTGCAGAGTTTTCAAAGTTGTGCTGTATTTGGGATATTCGGGAGCCAAACGATAGAGCATATCATTGCGTTTCCATGGACTAAAGGCTCTCATTTTCATATTATAGCACATGCTGCAGGGTAAGAAAATATAATATAAGAAAGGCAGAAATTAGGTGCATAGTACATACTCTTTAAAAGCCTGGACTACAGATGAGCTGCGGTTTTCCATGGCATTGATGGACACACCCATGGCAGTGTTGCAAATAACATCCAGGGTTAGGTAGTGGGTTTCATCCTGAAAGTCAAATATGTTGTCCCCGGTAGCAAGGCCCCTTAGATGCTCGATGAACTTGCTGGAGTTTTCGTTCATCACCTCGTGAAAGTCCTGGAGGATGTTGAAGTGGAATGCCGGGGTGATCATCTTGCGATGCTTGTGCCACTTGCTGCCCGTACTCGTGAGAAGTCCCAGTCCCAGCCATGGGTGTGTAAGGTCGTACACATCTGACTTTGATATCAGGGTCTGACTGCTGAGTATAAACTGTGTGAAAACGTTATTCAAACTATTAATTCTCATCTGATAAGAGACAACCCAAGCAAACCTCCATGTATTTGGGGCTGGTGACCATTATGTTTGAGTAGTAGCCTATCCAATATCGAAAGTTATCCTTGTCATACTCATGCCACCAGCCAAAGAATCGGTTCAGTATCTCTGTGAAAGGGAAATAATATTGCATATAAAATGATTGGTATATATTTATATATATATATATATATATATATATTTCAGAAGTTGTTTCATCAAAGCTTTATATCACGTGTATCGGGTCATTAACTTCCCAATGCCTATAATTAGATAGCTTCCACGCTTGTTGTTCTAGCCGAAGTAATTATACCGAATTGCATTGTAGTAACCTTTGATGAGAGGCACACGAAAATCGAAACATTGTAATCAAAGTCCCAGCGTTATCATTGTGTGTTCAGACACCCAAGGTGCCGTGGTATCTAGGCGGCAGATGAACTTTGGTCGCACGCCCAATTAGTTAATTCACAAGTCATAATGCGATTCGTGCGATATCAGTTGCAGGCCGGATTGCACAATCGCGAAATGCATTTACCTGAGGGCGTCTTGCCCATCTGATGTGCGTTGCCCACCACCGGCAGCATGCTGGGACCCCGGAACTGGTTTAGCCTCCGCTTCTGGCGCAGTGATCCCAGCTCGAAATAGGCCACCAAGAGCAGGGGCAGGGCGATGAAGGTGAACAGCACGACCCACATTTTCAAAAACGAACCGAACCGATCGGTGCAACGAGTGAATCCAATTTGACTGCAGAGTGCGGCCGATGCGTTGCTTAAATACTCCAACCAACCGGTCCGGTAGAGGGTTCTCAGTTCCACTCCTCCTCCGCCTCTCCTGGTGAGTGTTTGGTATCTCTTGATCAGCCTATGACGGCATTAACACATGTTGACGAAGACTATGGGCAGAATCGATCTGTTCAGCATGACTTGGCAGTAACCGTCATCTATGCTGCGAAGATGATACCGAACTGAGAGTTACTTACGAAATAAAGAACTCGAGTATTTATTCGATTAATCTCCATAATAATATGTTCAGGTACTACACAGTTTCCTTACCAAAAAAAATCTCTGTAATTCCTATTCTTTATATTTGGAATTAATATAATGTATAGATTTTATTGCAATTAATTTTTAAACAACAGCACTTCTAGTATTTGCTAGTTTTCAAGTCCAAAGTATAAAATACCGGGACTGTAAACAATGTTTATTTAGATTTTTTTTTTGTTTCAATTAAAATAATTAAACTACACAAAGAGCACAACTATGCTTTTCAATCAAACTACTGATTCCCCCACTGTTTCTTTATGCATGATTTTCATGGTCAATAATAACTGAAATAAATACATATAATTTCAAAATAACTATAATTATTAAGTACATTTTTATTTTAGTATATAATGGTTACGATCCCTGGTAAGACATGTTAATGAACATTTATTTTTTAATTTGTTTATTTGTTTCACTGCCCCAGATTAACAGATTCCTATTAATTGCTTCTGTGGGGCAGACGAAAAAGGTAAACTCCAAGCACCGATCTCACAGACTGCGTAAACTTAACAAAGAGAACTTCGCGAGCTCTCTAAGAGAGTCCCAGAGATTTATACAAGCCCTAATGCCTCTCCTTTAGGCGAATATAAAGACCATTCTCGGACTTAAGAGTCAGCACGGCGGACAGAATGGGATCATATTTATGACGATTAGCATCCAGCTTCTTCCTCTCGGCAGGTGGTTTGCCCAGTGTGGTATTCACATAGCCATCTTTGGAGACCAGCTCATCTAGAGCCGGCAGCACCTCAAAGTTGCGAATAATCTTGGACACCACAGTCTTGATCTCGAGCAGGGCAAACTTCTGGCCAATACAGTTCCGGGGACCAGCACTAAATGGCACATACTCGAAGGGTCCGGGCTTTTGCTCTTCAAAGCGCTCTGGTCGGAATTTGTGGGGATCCTTGAACACCTGCTCGTTGTAGCCAAGAACCACTAGCGCCAAGTTGAGTGTTGTGCCCTTGGGAACAAGAGTGCCCTCTGAAGGGAAGAGAGTCTTTATAGATTTTGGTTTTTAATTGGTAGATAACTGGCACTTACCAATCGTATAATCCTTTTCTGTAAAGCGGCCAATAAAGGGCACACTGGGATAGAGGCGCTGAGCCTCCTTGATGTAGAGATCCAAGTACTTCATTTGGGAGATTTCCTGGAAAGTGGCATCCCGATCCAGACTAGAAGCTCCCATTACCTCACACTGCTCCTTAAATAGTTTTCTCTACATTTTACAAGATAATATTTTGCATTAGAATATGTTTAGTATATATTGAGATTGTTTAATTACCTGCTCTTCTGGATGTCTAGAGAGCAAATAGACTGCAAAGGACACTCCGGATGTGGTGGTATCGTGTCCCTCAAACATAAAAGTGGAGGTCTCCTCGTACAGGTCTTGGGAGCTCAAAGGACGACCATCGATGGTAGACGAGAGAAGGGTATCCAGAAAGGCCATCTTTTTGCGGGAGAACTCATCCCCTTGGTTGCTATTAACTGCTCCCGATTTATGGGCCGCCACACGCTTCTCAATGATTTCGTTGGTAAAGTCCTTTAGGGTCTTGAGGGTCTTGCAGTACGCGGGATAGTCCGGAGCCAGTTTATACAGCAACTCATTGCGCTTCAGAGGGTGAAAAGCTCTCATGTTCGTGTTGTAGCACATGCTGGTGAAAAAGAAAAATACTGTCAGTAATAAAAAACCCGAAATTATCACCAAAGACCGTACTCCTTGAAAGCCTGCACAACGGATGAGTTTCGGTTCTCCATGGCATTGATGGACACTCCCATGGCCGTGTCACAGATAACATCCAAGGTCAGGTAGTGGGCCTGATCCTGGAAATCGAAGATGTTGTCCCCAGCGGCGACCTTTCTCAACACCTTAACGAACTTGTTGGAGTTTTCGTTCATCACCTCGTGAAAGTCCTGCAGTATGTTGAAGTGGAAGGACGGCGTGATCATCTTTCGGTGCTTGTGCCACCTGCTGCCAGTACTGGTCAGCAGGCCCTGTCCCAGCCAGGGATGTATCAGATTGTAGATGTCGGATTTTGAGATAAGCGTCTGACTGCTGAGTATAAACTATGGAATAATGATTAATCATGCTGACACTTGGAACTCGCAAGGCAAACTCACCTCCAAGTACTTCGGATTCGTTATCAGCAGATTGGAGTAGGTTCCTATCCAGAAGCAGAAGTTATCCTTGCCAAATTCATGCCACCAGGCGAAGATCTGGTCGAGAATCTCTGTAGAGTAAGGCGGATAAAAGCCCCATTCATTAGCCTGGTCACGTATTAGCCGTATCAGTATGTGCTAAAGGTATGTTTGTTTTGGCACGCGATTTTCTGTATCCGAGATACTACACTTGCATTTCATTTTCCAAAGCTTGTAAATCCTCAAGGCCAGGTTACGCAACGCCCAAATCAAAGTCTCTATATAATCTCTGAATCTGGAGTATCTCACTGCGATATCTTCAAGTGGCAGTAGCCTAATTAGCCCGAAGTTAACACACATTTATTCCGGTTGTAAGGTGGCTGGCCCAGAACGACCTTACTTGAATACCGCTGCCTCTGAGTCAATTCGAATCGCAGTTACCTCAGTCACAACGCTATTCGAGATGGGTTGTTCTGGGAAAAGGTGTGTCCTATGCTTTCCCTCTCTCTGGATCGGAACTCACCTGAGGGGTTCTTGCCCGTCTGGTGGGCATTTCCAATGATGGGCAGACCGGTAGGGCCATTGAACTTCCTCAGCACTCTTCGGCGGCGGAAGGTGCACAGCTCCAGATAAGCCACCACCAGCAGCGGCAGGGCCAAGAAAATATACAAAAAGAACCACATGGCGATCGTGACCGCCCAGCTGACGGGTCTCTGGGAATATGAGCGGCTGTCCGGACTAAGACCCCACTTAAATACGAGTTCTCTGACACTCTCTCTTGATTCTCTGACAAAAACTATGCCTCCCAAAATATACGTAAATGTTTTGGTGCTTTCAGCGTGACTTGGCGTTTTTAAATCAGGTTTTATTTTCGTCAAAAAGATGCTCTTTTTATATTTCTAACAGGTAAGCAAGATTACTAAAAGGGGGAAATATTAAAGATTACATCAATAATTTGATATCAGCTAGACATTTGGACTTGCATACATTTCAATTATTTTACTGATAAGCCACAAATCACTCAAAGTTGTTCAAATCTTATAACAAAACAAAACGTAAAGCAAGCGAAATGTCAACAGAGAGTAGAGTTTTTAATGTTTACTCTTTGGAAACAATAAGAGAAGCAGGCAAAAGAGTTTAAAAAAGAGAAAGACTATTTTTTTTATTATTTCACTTTATAACTTTGCGTTTCGCTTATCAGCATTTTAGTGGCTCTCTTTGAGTAGTTTAATGAGCATATTTTTAATCGTGATTTCTGCACAGGCTTACAAAAATCAAGAACCACACCAAGAAGGAAGATATTAGTACTACTATTTTAAACTTAAAGATTTATGTATTATTTTATAGGAAAAATCAAAGCTTCAAAAACTCATAACTAAGCCAAAAAAGCTATAAATTCAATTCGGAAAACTGTTCTGTGTTAGTTTTTATTTAATTAATAGATCTGCATATAAAATACACAATTTAAAAATGTATCTTTTTTTCCATTTTTTGAAATTTTTAACGATGTAACCCCTTATAAAATTTTCAAAAAATGGTAAATTTTATTTTATTTTATTTTTTTTTTTGCAAAAAAGTCCAAATCGATTTGGGTTTCAATGCTGATCAAGAATATATACATATGTATGATTTATAGGGTTGGATATGACTCTTTCACTAAATTTCAAGCTTCTGACTAAAATTATGATACCTTGCAAGGATATGGAAAGGTAGATCATTTAGTTAAAGTAAACAGTTTCCCGAGGCCTAATATTATTATATTTAATAAAATGAGAAGCTTAAACTAAAATTACAAGTCTCCAACCACTTCCAGATTAGTAACCCAATCTAAAAAATAGTTTGCTGACTGTTATGTGTCTATTCTTAAAACACTTAATCAGAAGCTGGTTATTAATTATCGCCTTGTGATACGAAAACAGCCTTTAGACCCACACGTCATTACCTGTGAGTGAGTCAATTAATTGCTTTCCAGCAGGCAGAAGTAGTAGCCCAATATAATTACATTTATCAATTATTAGCGGCGACACTCAATAAAACGTATGTTAATTGCTGGGTTGATAATGTTATTTGTATCGATTGCCGATTCGCAAACACAAAATAAAAATACAAGCAAAAAGCTGCACTAGATAAGCAATCGATGGGGTTATCGGCTATGAAATTGGCCAGTAATAATAATCTACTTAAGTTCTTGGCCCAAACCAGTCGGGATAGAATAGTGAACGAAAACAGTTGGAGTGCACCATGTTCCTGATAGCGATTGGCATAATTTTGGCCACCATTTTGGTGTTCAAGGGCGTGAAGATCTTCAACTACATAGACCATATGGCCGGGATAATGGAGATGATTCCGGGACCCACACCTTATCCCTTTGTGGGGAACCTCTTTCAGTTCGGCCTCAAGCCAGACGGTGAGTACACACCCCTGCCTATATTTATGAACTCTTGAAAGCTCGATACAAAAGCCATTTGTCTGATCAATTCCCGTAGAAGCAGGAGTATCCATTGTGCCACGAACATGTTCCAATTTATGTACATAAGTACTCATGCTTATGTTTGCTGTGATTCAATGCATTCGATTCCCGCAGGCATCGAGCTGCACATTTGGATTTCATCTCGAGTTGTGCATCTGAATTCCCCGATTTACTTATTGTAATATTTGCTACAAGTTTCATCAGGTTCTGAGAGCATTTCCCCAGTGCTTTCTTTTTGCACAGTTGAATAAATTCGGTCTTGTTTTTCCCCCTTATCCCTTCCCATCCCACTCCCACTCCGCACTCCTCATGTGACCAAAGTAATCATTTCAAATGCACAATGGCCATGGCCAGGGGAAAACTATGGTGCACTGTATTTGTCGATGAGGCCATACTTCGTCCATGCTCGGATGGTTCTGGATAGCATAAGCGGGCATTGTGTTTTTGTTATTATTTTATTGCCATCGTAGGTCAGCCTAGGGGGCGCATTATCATAGTCAGAAACAGAGATTTCATGTTTTGTATTGTGTTTACAATTTTGTGGTGTCAGTTCAAAGGTCACAACCATACAAAACTACAATACATTTTACTAAAAGGACAATTGGTTTATTGCTTTATTTTAAGCAATTTTTTTATAATTGTAATAACTGTCTTAATTTTGAAAAACCTTTAAAGTGAGTGTAAACGAATAAAATTCAAAATTTTTAAATAATTCAATATGCTAAGCCGCATTTCTAATTAATATTTATTATTAATTAACTTTTATAGCTCCCAAAATAAAAATTAGGTAAAATTGATTAAGGTTCTCAGTGAAATTAGCTTATGTCCAGAAACTAATACCAAAAAAGCCCAACCTGTCCCCAGAGACCGCTCAGCTCTTCTCGCAGAGCGACTATTAATTAAATGGAATTTCCCAGACCAGCTTTCCCAACCCCAAATTGAGTTCCAAGTCCTTCAGAATGAAAACAAACAAGTGAAGTAGCCGAATCTCAACTTTAAATGGATATATGGGACATCAGCTTCTGCAATGAGGCTTTGCAGTCGATTGCAACTTCCGAGAGTTAACTTGAAATTGCATTTTTCGGCCAACAGTAAGCTGTTGTAGTGCTCTGTAAACGTGGAGAAGTTGCAGTCAGGTTATTAAAGTGGGCGTTGCTAACCAAATTCTCTGCTATATCCCACCTCTCCCATACAGAGTACCCCAAGAAGGTCCTTCAGTATTGTCGAAAATATGACTTTCAGGGATTCCGCTCCCTGGTCTTCCTTCAATACCACATGATGCTGAGTGATCCGGCGGAAATCCAGGTGAGTGTGCCCCATGACCCCACCCTTGAAATCCCACTTCAAGCAGTTTATTGTGTTTTGTTTCGGGTAGAACATCCTGTCGAGCTCATCTCTGCTGTACAAGGAGCACCTGTACTCCTTCCTGCGACCCTGGCTGGGCGACGGCCTGCTCACCAGTTCCGGTGCCCGCTGGCTAAAACACCAGAAGCTCTACATGCCCGCCTTCGAGCGTCCGGCCATCGAGGGTTACCTGCGGGTGGTCCACCGCACGGGCGTGGAGTTTGCCCAGAAGTTGGACAAACTGGCGGAGTCGCAGGACATGTTCGATGCCCAGGACCTGGTGGCCAAGTGCACCCTGGATATTGTGTGTGGTGAGTGCTAGTCGATTCATTCATTGAACCCAAAGCTACGCGCAGATGAACAACAGCCTGGAGCGTATTCTTTTGGACAAACAAGTTCTAAATGCACTGGAAAAAACTTTAAATTAACAACTTAAACACCATAACGATTTAAATATTCTTAAACATATACATAGGTAAGGTTTCACAAAGAATGAAAAACGAAGTAGTGTTTCTATTCTAGTTTTAGCTCATGGTTGTGAAGCATGCTTTAAACTTGATTTTAAATGAATAAATAGCTTTTGATAGGAAAACTCCTAAAACTATTTAAAAATATTTACTTCAACGATAGAGAAAATATCTTTTCAATAAGTTCAATATTTTACTAAATTATTTATCTAACAGATTTTGTATTTCCTCCGTGTACGACCGCGAAACTTTACACATTTGTCTTGTCGTTTTTCGGGGGCCGAGTTTCGCACTTCGGGCGGTTTCGCTCGTTTATTTTTTGTAATTTATTATGAGCGTTTTATAAATAAGATTTATTGCATAGAAAATGGCTACAAGTGCCGCAGATTGTGCGGGCGGAAAAGTTTCGTTTCGTTCCGTGGTCGAGGAGGTACTTGCCCTCGTCGCGTCGCTACAACATACTTTTCTGAAAAAGAGGGGCGCGCTGGATGATTTGAAGAATTTCCCTGTTAACCGGCTGTAATTTATTGAGAATTTTTGCGATTCGTTCAGGTTTATTTGGCCGGATTTAACCAGTGACTTTCTAACGTCATCCATTTCCCACAGAAAACGCCACCGGCCAGGCCAGCAGCTCGCTGAACGGAGAGCCATCGGATTTGCATGGTGCCATCAAGGAGTAAGTTCAGCAAAACCACAGACCTGCAAGTGTGATTAAGTTCTTACATTTTTCTTTGACTTTCAGTCTGTGTGATGTGGTTCAGGAGCGTACCTTCAGCATCGTCAAACGATTCGATGCACTGTTCAGGCTCACCTCGTACTACATGAAGCAGCGCAAGGCTCTGTCCTTGGTCAGAAGCGAGCTGAATCGAGTAAGTTTTAAGTTAATGGGGAAACCATTGGAAATTCTTCTTAATCGTTATATATAATAAACTTTTCAGATTATCACACAACGTCGCCACCAATTGGCAAAGGAGACTGCGGCTCAGAAGGGCGAGTCACTCAACAAGCCCTTCCTTGATGTCTTGCTGGCTGCCAAACTTGATGGGCGAGCCCTCAAGGAACGCGAAATTATCGAAGAAATATCAACATTTATATTTACGGTGAATTAAGAAACTATTAATTTATAATTTAAATAATTTAAGATTCGCAATCCATAAATCAGGGTCATGATCCTGTCGCCGCAGCCATATCCTTCACGCTGTACACCCTCTCTCGACACCCTGAAATTCAGCGCAAGGCCTTCGAGGAGCAGCAACGCATCTTTGGCACCAATGTATCCGGAGATGCGGACCTGGGCCGTTTGGATCAAATGTACTACCTGGAGCTGATTATCCTCGAAACACTGCGTCTATATCCTTCAGTGCCTTTGATTGCTCGAACCAATCGCAAACCCATCGATATCAGTGAGTCAATCTGGATTATATATTCTCGAAAATCATTCTGTATCTAAGATTTACCTCTTTCAGATGGCACGAAGATAGCCAAACGCACCACAGTGATCATGTGCCTTATTGCCATGGGCTACAACGAAAAATACTTTGATGAGCCCTGCGTTTTCCGACCGGAAAGATTTGAGAAGGCTAATTCGAATAAGGGAATCGAGGCCTTTAAGAGCGTTCCGTTCAGCGCAGGACCAAGGCGTTGCATTGGTAAGTTTTCAAGAGGATTCAAGAATTATAACATTATTCTAACAATATAATTTTAGTCAAAAGCTTGAAATTTAGTGAAGGAGTCATTTTCGACCCCATAACTCATATACATATATTCTTGATCAGCATAAACAGGCGAATCTTTCTAGGCATGTAGGAAGGATAATACATTTTTGCAATTTTTTTTTTTTTAAGTTTTATAATAATATTATATTATCGATTCCGATATTAATTTACTTTCTTGTTTTAATTATTTTTTAGCTGAAAAGTTCGCCATGTATCAAATGAAGGCTCTACTGTCGCAATTGCTGCGTCGCTTTGAAATCCTTCCCGCTGTCGATGGACTTCCACCTGGTATTAATGATCACTCCCGCGTGGATTGTACACCCCAAAGTGAATACGATCCAATTATGAATATCAGAGTTACCCTCAAGTCAGAAAATGGCATTCAGATCAGGCTGAGAAAGCGTTGAAGTCAAAGAAGAAGTATACGCAGCTTGACTCACGAAAACTATAATTTATTTTCAGCTTTGTATTATTCGAGAAAAATATATACAATTGTATATACAATTCATCTGACCTCTTAGTTTACGCCTTTTCTTAAAATTCGCAGTTAGCCATTCTGGATAGATCAAATTTAGCTGACCAACCAGAACCTGTTTCGCATAGTTCACATCATTATTTCCCCGCAAATTATCAAAGTTGACTTTGGAAATAATAATATTGATTAGCATATGTTTGCGTATTCGCTGCTAATTAATTTTCATTTGGAGCAGACGATCACCAGTTTCGATTTTATTTTATTGCATAAGACACTTAAATTCCCACAACCTATAAAAAACAGTAGCAGATCACTTTCGATCAAATTGCTAAATAATATTTGAATTGGAGAAGCACAGATTTATTGTCTGGTAAAAAAGAGATGTGTGAATATATTTCAATAACGTTTATTCAGCGGCAAGTGATGCTCCGATCCGATCTGTTTCCCCCAGGAGCATAATGGAAATTATCATTATACGAATGAACTTGGGTAAATGAAAGCCGGGTACCTGACTAAATCAAATAAATATATATACAAGGCAAATGGGTAATATTAAAAATAACTTCACAGTAAAAGTAAACTTACGGGTATAAGGTTCAATATTATTGTGTCATTTGTAACCTTAGCCTGTTTTTGACCGCATCACTTCTTTCCAAAATTAACCAAGTTCACTCACAAATAATGAGGATAATGAAAAATATGCAATCTTTTTCTTTGTTGTTACCTGATAAATTGCTAACTAAACCAGTTTGTTGTGGGATCGGACATCGATCAGGAATCATCCAACAAGAGCGTGACAACCTGGAACAGATTGCTTTAGCTTACTCCAAATAAATCAGCGTGCCCACAATTTGTATATCAACATTTCGGAGTAATTAAATTGTTTTGCCATAGAATATCGGATTTATTAATCAATTCGATAGTCAAACTTGTTTAGTTAGCATGCTGTTTAAATTCTAAGTTTTGGAGGACAAGTCCTCCGTTTCGTAGTGGAATCCTGGGTCGAACGGGTGGCTTATTCCTTGCTAGGGTGGGCCTGGATGTAGGCGATGGCACGGACGATGGCATCTGGGATTGGGGGAGGAGTGGGCAGCAGATCGCTCTGGGGCTGGTATCCGTTCTCGTCGGCCTTGTAGGCTACGCGGACATGCTGACCCTCGGGGGAAACCCACTCAAAGACACCATCAATGTTGCCGTGCACATCGCCGGTGGCCGAGGAAACCACGCCGTTGGCCAGGGCCAGCTTGCTCACAAAACCGTCGTGGCTCACATCATTGACCAGCTCCTTGACCTCGGGATCCTCGTTGGCGACCACCAGGGCGGCGAGGGCGCAGATAAGCAGCTACGGATAGTCCAGGATTATATATCTATCTATATCTATTTACGCTTCTCACGGGTTACTTACGATCTTGAACATTCTGATTGGATTTGATTGTCAGACTAGAGAACTCGTGAGACTGATACCAAATCGGGAGCGAGTCTCGCCTTTTATACGCCCAAGTCATACCCAGTTCCAAGACCCAGGCCCAAGCTGAGACCCGAATCTCATGCAACCCGTTTTTAATTAACATTTCGGACAGCATATGCCTCTTTTGGGTTTTTGCGGACAGGTTGCGAATGACACGCACACCGGCGATAAAAATCGTCTGCTGCAATCTTTTTGTTTCACTGGTCTATGCAAATTGCTACCGTAATTATTCTAAAAAGATTTCGCACAACGCCGAGCTTTCATTCTGGAAAGTTTGAAGCCAGCTTCAGTCGGGAATTGAAGTCATTTGTGGCCAAATCTTATTAATTATTATCCAAACAATAACCGATTTGTGACTTAGATCTGATCATACGGTCATTAATTATTCTCTTTGATTATTTTTAGAAAAATTAAATCTTATTGAACTTGTTAATTTGTAATTAGTTTGTCAATTCATTAACTTTTTTAAAAATAACAATACAAGTAATAAAAAAAATTTTTTAATAAAATTCAAAGACCGAATTGTTAAATGCCACAAGAAATCCAACAAATAAAACCTATAACGTTGCTTTCTTTTATATATTTACAAGCCCAGGGTTAGATTTTAAAATTAAAGGTTGCATAACTTTTAAAAAATAATTTATTTGGCTATTAACATTTTTTTTTTTTTGAATATTTAAAAGTACTAATTACAACAGTGCGTATGCGCAATATTTTGTGACTTTTTGCTATAAGTGCGGCTATAAATGGTGATATAATTGGTGTTATAAATAAAACTTAAAACTCGTTAAATGTCGTTTTGGAATACATTTGGCAGCGGAAGAGCGAAAGAACGCCATGTTTTGGCACTTCCGCCTGTTCGACCTCTCTTAAATATTCCATTGCCAACTTTTATGGTGCGGAAGATATTGCACATGTGTTCAATTGTAGCATAATTATTTGGGCAGTAAAATTAAAAAAAAAAATGCGGATACGCACTGTTTTATTTAAAATCTGAATTAAAACAAAAAGGTTGGGTAATGGAATATACAATATCAGGTACAAATTTCAGTAATTGAACTAGCACAAAAGCAAGTGCAAGACATCCATTTATATATCCCTTAAACTTTTCAATAAAAAAACACTAATTCATCACCAAGATTTTTAGCTTGCAAATTATAAATTTATAGTTTTAATAACAACTCTTCAGTACAACATAAGTGCTAATCAGCAGCTGGAAGTAATCCTAGCCAGGCAGCTGTTCCAAGTCGTGGTGGGTCCTCTTCGGCGGCATGAGTCTTAGTTCTTGCTGGGATTAGCCTGAATCCAGGCAATAGCACGGACGATGGCCTCTGGAATGGGGGGAGGAGTGGGCAGCAGATCGCTCTGGGGTTGGTATCCGTTCTCGTCGGCCTTGTAGGCCACTCGCACATGGACGCCCTCGGGGGACACCCACTCAAAGACGCCATCGATGTTGCCGTGCACATCGCCGGTGGACGAGGCAGCAACGCCGTTGTCCAAGGCCAATCTGGACACGAAGCCATCGGGATTCACCTCGTTGACCAGCTCTTTGACCTCAACATTGGCATTGGCAGCCACCAGGGCGGCAAGGGAGCAGACGAGCAGCTAGATTAATCCAGGATTAGGTGGCGTAATATCCTTGGGTTCCTTTGGTATACTTACGATCTTGAACATGTTGTTTTGGATTGTCAGACTAGAGAGCTTGAGAGACTTGTGAAAATATGTCCACAAATATCGGCTTTTATATGTTTAAGAACTCATCCCGAAACTAAGGCTGATGCAATATGCGTCTCTAATGAAGTCAAGATGATTTGGCATCGTCTGTGAGCAATAAAAGTCGTCTGGCACATTGTGTATTTTGCATATGTTGCATGCAAATTAGTTCACTTTAAAAAATATTATAAGACTGGCTGTGGAATGCGACATTATTTAAAATTTTGAACTTAAACTTGAACACTTTTCCCTAAATAGTTGATGTGGTTAACGGAAATGTAAGCAAACCTTTAATGTATATACATAAATCATGAGATAATTAATCGTTTTATATATTTGATATAAATTTAAAGTTAAATTTCCTTTAGCACCTTAATCGCGTTGTTTGTAGCCTAGTTTTTGGTGCCGGTGGCATTAATTTTACGGACAAATAACTTAAGTCCGCAACTCTGGCTTAAAGCTTTAACCGCTTGATAACTTTAAGGGGGAACGCTTAAATTATACAGTGGCTTCTTATATATTGAAAGGCTTCTTTCTCTTAAAAATAATCAATTATTGATTATGTTATGTATATTTTATAAATTCCTATACTGAAGAATAGGAAATTTGTTTGTTGAAATAAAAAATATTTACCCCAATCGCTTGGCATTTCCGTATAAGCTAATACCTTCATTATTTTCTATAAAAATCCCTACAAATCTGCCATGAAACCATCCCTTTCCACACTTGGTAATCAGCTAAAGTCCCGTCTAAGACGAAACGTCATCGATGGTCTCGGAGTCCCCAAAACCAGTACGGAGCCGCCCCTCGAAAAAATCTGCTGAAGCATGTTCCATTTCGGATTCAATTCCGAGAGTCAGCAGAGACTCGTTTTTTGACATTTTGTCTGGCCGTGTCAAGTGGCGAATTTATGGGCTCTGGCTTTTGTTGGCATTATAATTATGAGCATTTTGTGCACCCGATAACTTAGCACTGGCCAGAAATATAAGTAATTCGTTTTTGGGAAGCAACTGGATCAAGAATCATATAAAAGGCCTGCCCGGGGCCACAGTCAGTTATCAGTCAACGTTCGTTCTCGACCAGACAGAAATCAGCCAAAATGTTCAAGTTTGTGAGTACCTCACAGCGTGGCATGGAAGTCTATTGGTCAACTAATGATGATTCCTATCTAACCAGGTGATGATCCTTGCCGTTGTGGGAGTGGCTACCGCCGTTGCCCCCGTCTCCCGCTCCGATGATGTCCACGCCGAGGTCCTGCACCGCTCCGAGGATGTCCGCGCCGATGGCTTCGACTCCAACCTGCAGACCTCCAACGGAATTGATCAGTCTGCCAGCGGTGATGTCCATGGCAACATCCATGGTAGCTTCGCCTGGATCTCGCCCGAGGGCGAGCATGTGGACATCAAGTACGTGGCCGATGAGAACGGTTACCAGCCATCGGGAGCCTGGATCCCCACTCCCCCACCAATCCCAGAGGCCATTGTCCGCGCCCTTGCCTGGCTCCAGGCTCACCCCCAAGCCCCCGAGCATCCCCGTCATCACTAAGGCCCCTCGCCCTGAACCCGGATCGTTCCACGGACTACTGTTCTCTCGACCCATATCCCCCTAGTTGTTTAGCTGTACTTCTTGACTTTCAACAAAATACATGCAAATGCTTACATAAGTAACGAAAATTATTTGCTTTTCAATTTTCTGACGGTTGAAGTTTCTTGTGGGGATTTTATATATATGAGGATTTGTATACTTCTTCATCATACTATAATTTTAGTCAGAAGCTTAAAATGTAGTGAAGGAGTGATTTCCGACCATATAAATCATATATATTCTTGATCTGCATTAAAATACAAGTCGATCTGCCCTTGTTTGGAAGAAAAAAATTTTTTGGCATTTTTTGAAAATTTTATAAAGGGTTACATCGTCAAAATTGTCAAAAATTGAAGAAATATTTAATACTTTAAAACCTTAAATTCAATATACAGATTTGTTAACGTAATCAAAAGAATCTTAGAACAGCTTTCATAATTTAAATTTATGCCCTATTTTCTTTGTTATGAGTTTTTTAATCCTCGATTTGTCAAAAACAAGGTACTTTTTAAATTTCGATTCGAAAATTTAATTACTTAACTTGCTCTTTGACTCGAACTACCTAAATTTATAAACGTTTAAACTATTCTTCTTTAAGACACACATGGGGTATACTTAATTTAAGGGGTTTCACATTAAGTATACGCCATGTATGCTATATTTATCTTGTCAAAAATTCACAATAAATCTGATTTTTTGTATTGTAAAATGGATACACAGATTTATTAGCCAAATAAGAACTAGGACCCAACAGCTCTTTAAATTGAAATTGATGGATTTTTGTCTTAGTTTTTAACGTTTATATATATATATATATATATATGCTTCAATACTATGCGATTTGACTAACAAAATTTAAAATAAATAATATACATTTCTAAAAACTGCGCTATAATTTCTGAATTTGCAATGCAATTTTTAATTAGCGAGCTAAGTATAACCGCTACATTCTACTTTCCTTCTCTTTTAACTGAAATGAAACTGACTCTTTGCATCTCTTAAGAATGTAATAATATAAATAAAGAGAGAAGATGGGCGTTTAACATTAAAGTTATTTAAATATCTAATCTAAAACGCAGTAAAATACTAAAGAGAATAAATAGCAAAGGTGGTAGAAAATAAATAAAACTTAATGGGCGACAAGACATTTCCTCTAAGAAGCCGCTGATTATCTTTTAAAGTCGATTGAATTTTGAGAGAAGAATTGTTGTAGTGATGACTACAAAAGTGGTTCACGGTTTGACAATGTCAATTTGAGCCACTTATTCATAGGAAGAGGGGTTACAGGAGAGAGGGAACTCGAGCTGAACTCGTTTTGGGGCTCGAGATGCCACTCGACCCGTTTGCCCAGGCTTTATTGATGCGAGTGTTTCATTTTAGCATCTATTAAGCGATAATATATAGTACTTATCCCGTTGTTCGGCAAATGCCATGACGGTTCTCCAAATAGAGGGTGCGGTGCGGGCGCATCCCATTACTCAGATCCGGAGTAAAATGCAGCCATGTATCGATTTGTTAAGGCCTGGCTTCAGTTCGGTTCTAAGATATAAAAGGCCACTCTGAACCGAAGGCAGTTATCAGTCAACGTTCGCCACCAACCAGACCGAAATCAGCCAAAATGTTCAAGCTTGTGAGTTGGATAATCCGTTTCGCAGGACCCTCTCTGACTTGGCTATATAATCCCTTCCTCCTCCTTCGACCAGGTGATGCTCTGCGCCGTTCTGGGACTGGCTCTGGCCAGCCCACTGTCGCCTCATGCCCTGGAACATGTTGCCGGCCGCTCTGAGGATGTCCACGCCGATGTCGTCGCCCGACATGATGACGTTCGCGCCGATGGTTTCGATTCCAGCCTGCAGACCTCCAACGGCATCCAGCAGTCGGCCAGCGGTGATGTCCATGGCAACATCCACGGTAGCTTCGCCTGGATCTCGCCCGAGGGCGAGCATGTGGACATCAAGTACGTGGCCGACGAGAACGGTTACCAGCCATCGGGAGCCTGGATCCCCACTCCCCCACCAATCCCGGAGGCCATCGCTCGCGCCGTTGCCTGGCTGGAGTCGCATCCCCCGGCACCCGAGTACCACCACTAAGCCACCATTGAAAGCGGATCGCACCACGGACTGTCCCCCGGATACCTTACGACCTAGTTGTTTAAGCCTCTAACTGATTTTTCCAAATACATGCAATTTGTTTACGGCAGTAACCAGAACGTGGGCTTGTTTTTTTGGCTTTGACACTCAAAGGGAGTAACGGATTTTTTTGTTTAACTCGTTGAACCCGTTTTGACGCTTTTGAATTTCGCTTTCAGTTTGCTTTTTAAGCGTTTTAGCGCATTGAAGCAGTACGGGATTAGAGGACATCAAGATGAGTCGATTTAGGTGTAAATAACGAAGTTGAAACTTGTTTTTTGATTTCATAAAAAGAGGGGCACATATATGGGGTAACAGATTACTGTTTGATTTAACTCCATCAACAGGGATTGGACTTGTTTTTTAGCAATGGAATCATGGCACAAGTTAACTTACTTTTAAATTATAAATATGTTTTTACAGGATAAGCTCTTAAAACTCATATCCACATATCCAAATAGGTAAGGGATTAGCTCAAAATATAAATAAAAAATAGTCTATTTATTAAATTTATAAAATTTAGGCAATGACTTAATAATATAATTCAGGTTCCCGAAAATATATAATCAGCGTCCATTAACCTTTACATATTAATATGAAATGAATAATAATAATATATTTAATAATCAGTCAACAAACTTCCTTGACCTTTATTTTAAATTTAATTCAATTCGATTGATCAGATTTTTGCATATAAATTTCCTTCTCAACAGCTGATCGAGAAAACTTGTTCAGCATAAATTTAATATGCCCCAGATTTTAATAGACCCTGTCGAAAAGGCAACATGAACACTTTTGATAATTTGTCTTTTGAGAACCCGGTTACTAATGCAGATTAAATGGGTATCAAATTAGAAATTGAATGCCAAAAAGCGCGAACTCACAAAATCAAAGCCATAAAGATGAAATTTGTCGCCAAGCAGCTACGACAATAAGTTAAACTGTTTTTATTTTGCAATAACAAATAAATGAGTGAGGGAACCGGGTTGGGAACCAGTTCTAAATATTCCACAGCGCTACTTTCTTAACATTTGGGGTAAGTCACATCTTCCGACATATAGCAGATGGCGTAGTAAAAGAGGTCCGGAGTGCAGTTTAAACTTAAAAAATAGGATTCCTAATGTCTAACCTGTAAAGAATCTATACAAATATTTGTCATTTTAATTAACAAAGAATAGGAATACATTTTATTTGATAATCAGAATGTAGTTAAATTTTCAACTGCATCTAATTAATGTTCAAATGTAAAAAGCTGCGTCTAAATAAATCTTTGCTTCCACCACCATTCAAATGATATAAATGAAGAGTTCTCAGCTCGTAAGTTTACCCCAATAATGCGGTTTCCATTTGCCGGAAAATATGCTGTGGTTGCTGCTAGCTTTCTTACTCTGGAAAAGCAATGACTGGAAATGTAATTAAGTAATTGCCAGCAGACATGTTGCAGCTGATGGGGGAAGTATTTTGCACAATTAACAAAATCGCTTATTGTTCGCACTTTCGGTGCTCTATAACTTTTCCCCCGACACTTATCTGCTTCTCTAATATTTGTGCACAGATTTTTCTGTTCTTTAGAATTATAATGAGCAGAGTCTGGCCAAGTGCAGCTGATGATATCTTTTATGCAGTGAACAGCAACTCCAGAGTCCTTCTAATTAATTAATAAAAATCATATTGTAAGACTGTGGGAAATCCCCACCTGGCACTATAATTCAACGCAAATATTTCGAAAACCCATCAACCCAAAGTGACCAGAATAATGGCCATCAAAGGTTGAATTAGTGAATTCAATTTGCTGCAGGTAATTGGCCACAAATAAAATGAATAGAAATATGTGCTGACAGACCGCAGCACGCACAGTTTGGATTTGTGCACATGTTCCGAATAAACATTTGTCTACGCCCTAACTATTTTGACAATAATTAAATGCTCATTTAAGACGGCATTGCCACAGGCCAACCAGATACACGGACACACTATGCGGCGGCACAATCCCGCAGTTGTGGATAAATAAGTACACTAATTAATAGGCGCTTTGATGCATAGTTTCTATTATTACAGGCTTTGTATTTGTTATTTGTAAATGATCAATTTGATGCTAATTATGGAATCCATTTCGCGGACAGCCGACATTTGTTTGTTGATTAGAAATGAGTTGTGTTTTCGATTACATTTGGGTGAAGTGTTTCTCCGAGTGTCGAGCGTTATGGGCGGGTCAATCAAGTGCCGCGCGGCATGGCAAGCAACCGAGAGTTCCAGCTGCTCACGTTTGGACCAGCTCCTGGCAGCTCCTCCTCCTTCTCTTCCTCCTCCGCTCGACTAGCCACCACTCACTTTCCGAACTTCAAGCCGACTGAAAACGAAATAAAAAGGAAATGGACGGCAGACAGGTGAGAAAAAAAGGAATTAATGAGCAGTCTTATAATTAATAGGGTTGTAATTAAACAGTTTGCGTTTCCCAAAGCGATTTTTCTCCTTTTTTACCTGCCGAACTGCGTGGATTCCTCAGCTTGGAGGGCTTCTTGCGCAGCTCTGAGGGACCCAAACCCAAGCCACCGCTCGTGCCGGGTCCATGGGTGTCTATTTGCATGCTCTCATCACTGTCCGAAGCCTGGCTCTTCAGCACCTTCTTCAGATTAATGAGCTGTAAGGGGTTTCATTTAATTTAATATAATATTCAGAAATGGATTATAGTTTAACTTACATCCTGTTCTACGCGCTCCTTGTTCAGCAGTCTCTTGGATTTCTCGGCATTGGCATATTTAATCTGCATTTCAATGCAGTTTGAGACGCTGTCGCAAGAGTTGACCCAGGCCTGAAGGGTCTCCACGATCTGGCCGGTGTAGCCGGGCGGAATGTCCCGCCCCTGAGCATAGTCCACCTCCAGAATGCGAGTGTTTTGGAACAGCTTTCCATGAATAATGTCTGTCCAAAGAAAAAATGGCGAGAAAATACGAAGTTTTCTAGAGTTTTACTTGTCAAATTTCTTCTGACTAATTGCCCAGAACGAAGAGTTTCTGAAATTAACCAAAGTGTTGCCTCAAGTGGCAGTTTTGGAAGCAACAAGTTTATGCCTCCTGCCTATGCTCAGCGGCATAGGTGTCGCAAAAGCCACTAATAACTGACAGGAATATCAATATATGAAATAAATAAAACCAAATTCCACTTAAAATTATTTGATTTAATGATTGATTACATTTTTCCTCAAATAATATAAAACCAACCCAGTTAGATTTGCTTTTTAAATTGTAAAAATTTCCGAAATTCCCAACAGAATTATTGATAATACCTCCCTCCTGTCCTCCAGCTTTTAACCAAAAATACTCAATCAATCCCCGGTAATGATATCCATAAAAGTTAACGTAGCCAACGCTCCATCAATTAAACTGATTAGAAAATGGCTAGATGAGCGCAGAAACAAACAGACCACCGGAGATGGGAACAATTAAGCAAATGGATGCTGCAGTTCCATAAATACATATATACGCAACAAAACCCTCACCGCAAATTCCTAAAACGTTACCAAAAACATTGCGGTGGCCAGAGACACGTCCGTTGTGTAATCGGAAACAAACGTTTAAACTTTTGTTTTGGATATATTTGCGGCCATCGCAGTAAGCCGAGTCGAGTGGCTTAGGGGCGATTAGCTTTGTAGCCACGCTCCCTGACTCCTGCTCCTGCTTCTGCTCCAGCTTGGCTCCGACTCAATTACTAAAATTCCGCCCATCGAGCCTAATCCGCCAAATGCAATTTGATGCGACGACACAGACGACGGTCGACAGCTAGAGTAGTTTGGGTAATTAATTTGAAATCGTTCGAAACACTTTGATACCGTTGTTGTCGCTCTGCGGGGATTAGAATTTATAACAGGCGGATTTGGGGAAACGACTTCATACGATGCTGACAGGATTGTGGACTGGTCCCAGGATGTGCAATGCTGCTCCCTAGCCGGGAGTGAACTATGGCCCCAGGCCCAAAACTTTCCCGGGCTGAGCTAAGTGACAGTCCCCAGACTTTTGGCCGTGACTTGGCCCAAGTTAAATCCTTGAGCACTTTTTGCCTTTGACTTTACGACCGCCTGTGTCCTTGAACGGCTGCTCAGGCCCAGGACCAAGTTTCTGTGTTTATGGCACACCGTCTTTGCTTCTTTAAGTCATAAATATTCAGTCAAATATGCTGGGAATCTCCGCCCGGAGATTCAATTCCTTGCGATTTGGCTCGGCAATTTGTCAAACACTTTTCTAATTAGCTCGAGGGGCTGCCGCAAAAATGTTTATTGATTTGACGCCTTCAAGTGCGGGTCGGAATAATTGGAATTGGAAAACGTGGCGGAATTTCCGCATTCCAGTCTGCGGCCTAAGCCACAGCTTCTGTAAAATTCGTGCGGCGTTGACATGTGTCTTGTATTTTCACCCATCTGTGCGCCTGCTGTCGCGTGCGTGAAATTCAACGCCAGAGCAATCAATCATGCTTACAGCTCCCGCTGCCCGCAAAATTGCGCAAAAAGCTGCTGACGGGCAGCAGCAGGATGAATGCACGGACCGGCGGGCACGAGGCGACGATGTCAAGCCGCCGACGGCTGTGGTTCCGTGCCTCTGTGGACTGCTGATGAAAACCCAATGGTCGCGGAGTCTCCATGAGATAAAACGTTGAATAAATGCATGCTCAGCAATGGAAATTTCACGCAAATCTGACCACCCAAAACAGAAACCAGTAAATCCGTAACTGAGATGTCTTTTCAGTCATAGCAGGTACCTTTAATTCAGAGATCTGCATTAATATGCCTTTGCTTTTGCTATTTAACCTCTCAAGAAGTCCCAAAGTCTCGCTCTCCTTTTCGTTTTGTGCACCTGCCTCTGACAGCTTTGGCAACTCTGCAGACAGTTCCCTTACCTGGCCCAAATAACATTAATTGAAATTTTACACAAAAACTGAACGACAGCGGCAGGCAAGGACAATGGCAGAGGGCCAACTTGGTTGAAAGAGACGTGTCACCCTTATAGTTTTGACCAGATAGCTGGATATTAATCATATCAAAGTTATTATACGTGAATTTAATTAAAATACTAAGTAATCCTTCAGGTATAAGCACTTGATATCCCCTTTGAACCTATATTAATCCTATCCAACTATTTGACCCCTAATTTGATGATTGTTTTTGTTAATAAACCGTAGTTTCTATAGTCAACAGCTGCCAACAGTGGTCACCACACCCACTCCGCTGTTTACCGCAAGTGAGCGGACTGGAAACTTCTGCCATCAATATGAGGTGGTGCAGAGAGAGCTGCGGTAAAGTTTTCACCTAAAACTGACAAAGTGCTCGACACACCCACGCATTCGGCGCCCTCGGAAAGTTTTCCGGGGCCAAGTTGGTAGTGCAGCAGTGCCTCAGGCGCGGAAAACGGTGCAATCAGAAACAGCAGCTGCACGAAGTCCAAGGGTCCTAGAAGAGGGCGCGCGAGAGATGAGTCCTGATAGTCCTGATAGGGGGAAGTACGCCGAAATTATCTCGGAGCTGCTATTGAGCTTTTGAGCAGGCAACTTTGCGGCCAGAATGCCGGCGTTAGCGGTTTTTCAATTAGGTAAACGGGCTTCGCCGCCGCCTGAAAGCCAAAATCTGTATCCTGTTAATTAACCGATTGCGAAAGGGTTTTCCCCCGTTTTTTATTTTTGTTAAAGAGTGTTATGTACAAGTGGAAATGCGCTTAACCTTTTTCCATAAGCTACGCCACAAATCGTACTTCTGCCCCTTTCTGAATTGTAAATCCCCACGAGAGCCGCTTTTGAGCACCCTGAATTATGCGAAACTTTCCTTTGACACACAAAAGAAATTAAAGAACTGTGTTGCCTCCCCCAAATAAAAAAGAAAGAAAAACTACAATAAAGCCGGCACATTCCGCGACACATTCTGCAATTTTTTCTGCAACACACAAAAATACCAAAAAAAAAGGAATAACCTACACACACTTGGCAACCGATGGGTGGAAATAGAGGAAAAACTCGCCAAGGGTGCGTTGCTGGGGTTCATGAAAATGTTTTGCTTATTTTCTTGGGCTTCTTTGAATCCTGCTACTTTTTCCAAGGCAGCTGGGAAAATATTTTGGAAGTTGTAAGGAAATTAAAAACCACGTAGCTGGCAGGGAGCCGTATCTGGAAATGGAATGCTAGCACAGCCCAGCTAGTTATCCTTGGAAGATGGGTTCCTGAATGCAGGCGAACTAGCTAGCTGCATGTCTATAGAATTTTTCTCCCGCCTTACTGGCGCACGTACTGTCCTTTCCTTTCACGGAACTTGGACAAACTTGGTGAAGAAAATAATCAGGCGAGGTCAGGTGTTAAAAATTGAAAACTTGTCACCGGATTCTAAACTATAATTGAATCAAGCCTTGCTTGATTTAAGGATATTATTTCTCAAATCAGCCCTGAGTATACATAATTCTCTTGAATTTTCCCAGGCTTCTGCACTCTAAGTCGAATCAATCACGATCCAGGACACTAATGGAACCAGTCGAAATAAATTTCAAACGAATTTCAATTATAGAAGGCATTTAATTACCATATTCCCAGCCCCAGACGACGCCCCGCGAGACAAATGATGCTCTAATGGGATGACCTGGAATCGCGGACAAGAAGCTTCTCCACCTGCCGCCGGCTAATGGCGGCCCCGTTTCCAGCTCCACCGCGCAACTACATTAAATTGCGATGTCAGATTACGGCGCCTAATAGAACGCAATGATTTCGCATTCCGCCGGGCTTCAGCATCACCATCACCCTCACCATCAGGAGCAGCAGCATCGGCATCGGCATCAGCATCTGGCAGTTGGCCTCCCTGCCACTCCCAGTGATGCCCTAATGATGGCTATCATAACATAAATCTTTGCTGGTGCGGGAGGGAATTTATTTGTCTGTTCATCGCCTGGATTTGGAAAGCAATTAGGAGGAGGGTGGCCAGGTGGCCAGGTAGCCCCATTTCGAGGCGAAGTCCTAGATGCTGCTCCTGGGGAAATGTTATTTATGGGACAGATGGCGTTGAGTTGTCACTTTATTTGCTCGGATAATGGACGGCGATGGGTCCATTAAAAACTGCTGAACGCTATTTGCTTTCTGGCCCCGCCCTGAAATATGTTTTCGGCCATGTTTGGCTCTATACTTCAAGTGGACACTTGTCGGGCGCCGCTTAAAACCCCAACACTTACCGAAAATTCCCCCTGAAGGGCTCTCTGCCCCGCCCTGCTTCTGTTTGTTTTCGCTTCTGGCCATAGATCTAAAGCTAAAGCTCAAAAATCAACAGCACGAACCAGCTTAGCACCACATTCGGGGCTGAGGAGTATGCTTACACGCTCTCACAGCTTGCCAGCTCGCCAGTTCGCAGCTCCCCGATGTTTGGGCCCCAGCTTCCGGGTGTTGCGTTTGATTTACGGCTTTGAGCAGATATGCAGAACGAGTCCGGAAGTACAAGTGGAAATTGTGTAAAATATGCAGCTCCCAGTGCCAGCGCAATATGATTGATTCGACTGAGAATTCAAGGATGCCAAGAGGATGCACAACAGTGTACAACGTGCCATTAACAATATCAGCTACAAATAGTAGGCACAAGTCCCTCATTTGGCAACTTGGAAGCTTGTAGTTTGCACAATTTGATCAAAGGATTGAATAGGAAATGGAAAGTTAACAAATCATTTAATTTCAGTTAAAATTTGGGAGTTGAAATCGATGCTTATATGAGCACTTTTTTGGGAAACACAAAGTTTGAAAATATCATAGCTTAAGCTTTATCTTTAGCATTAATTTTAATTTGTAAACATTTTCTATGCTTGTTTTTTAGGCTAACAAATCTGTAATAAAATATACAATTTAAAAATTGTAAATATTATTGCATTTCTTGAAAACTTAAACGATCTAACCCCTTCTAAAATTAAAAAACAACTTGACAATTTTTTTTCTGCCGAACATGTCTAAATCGACTCGGCTATCGATGCTGATCAAATATATAGGTTTGTGGGGTCGGAAATGACTTCTTCATTGCCTTATAATCTTTGGACTAAAATTAAATTTCAATTTCAAAGCATTTACGCAAGTTTTAAAGTAACTTCACTATGTTAATTTGAATTCCTGATCTTCATCTTTAACACAAGTGTACTTCCAAGCACGAAGTTTAATATTCTTTAATCTGAATACCCACAAAAAAGGCAACTTAAAAATAAAAGTGCTCTAAACGAAAGCCCTCTCAATAGCCAGCCAACTTTTTTATGTGGCAATTAGGGAAGTTCGACTGTGCAAGGTCGGTAAGGCACAATTTCAGAAAGGAAATCATCGAGGCAAAAGTGTTCATCCAGCTGACGACGCCAAGGCTGGCGAGAAAAAACAAAAACAGATTCACCCGCGGGAACGAGCGAGGAGAATCAACTGGTGGCGCATTGGAACGAGTCGCTTAATGAATCTGGCTCAGGACCCGGCCGCCTGCTTCTTCGGCCCAATTGTGTTCGCTTGCCAGGATGCGCCAGCTGTCCCGGCTAATCAAGTGCACTGCCCCAAGCGGGTGGTTGGTGCTAGGTTTGGCGTAGGCCCAACCAGACGGGACTCTGGGAGCGGAGCTGCTTTCACAGCTGCTGGGCTCTGGGCGCGGATGCAGAAGCGCTCAAAAATGCTAATTGAACGAAGGAGTCGCAGACGACTCAGTGGGAAGCGGGAGAAAAATTAGCATTTGATTTAATTATGCAAAAAGAGAAAGGGAGAATGTAAAATCGAGTGACTTGTCGGACAGACGGCAAAGTGGAGAGCGTCTATCGCACTCAGCTTTGACAATCATATGTGTCAGCTTTGTTGCTTCGATTGAGTTTAAGTTAAGGAACAATATATGGTGGTACACGGAAATCCCTTAAAAAAGAATGAGTGCATGTACTTCAAAAATAGGGAACACTTAAAGCAATTCCCGATGTCCCAAAAGCACAAGTTTTTGTTTTTTTCTTAATAATATACCCTTACGGAGAGCCTTTAGATACAAACTAGTGTTGAATGCATCAGAAATTGGCTTCCTATTAGGCTTAAAGTGACTCAAAATACCTAAAATACCCTCAAAACTTTTTTAAATTCTTGATTAACTTCTGCCAATCTTTGTGAGAGCTCTCCAGATACTATATTCCACGCTAAATATAGTTACTACTTTTCAAAATCAAGTTAAAATCATTAAACAACAAACAACAAATTAGAACAGTTCCTCTCAAGCAGCTCTAACAATAAAAACCCTTTTCAATTCAACGCACTCACCTGCATAGATGGCTTCGATGATAATGTCCTCCAAATGACGCACGTTATCGATATCCAGTTCGCTGAGCAGCAGAGCGTAGGGAATGCTCTTGGCCTTAATGGCCAGGGAGACAATGGTCAAGTGCTGCAGCTTCTTCTGCATGGCGGGACTGAGTTCTATGAACTTTTCAGGCTGTGCGCGGTACTCCTTGTATGTTCCATAGGCGAACAGGTTGAGGGTCTCCAGATATTTGGCATCCGGACCACCCTTTAGCTTTGTTTTGGGTTGCACAGATAGATTATAATGTCAAATTGGATGTTTATACAAGGCAAACCTGTGCAACGTTGGGTTCTGCCAGTAATTCGCCGAAAACAAAGACATTTGGTGCTTCCAAAGCCTGGCGAATCACGTCCAGCAGTGCGGCTCCATTTGCCGACTTGGCCAGCACGCAGAACTTCTCCAGAAAGGTTTCCTTGCTCTTGCTAGGTTCCTCGTTGCCGAGCAGCATGTCCTGTGTCATTTTTAGTACAGAATATGTCTTAATTTACGCCGTTTTTCCGGATTGTTTTGTTTTTGCACATCAGTATGACCGTAGGTAATGTCTCGCAAAATACCACAACGCTTTGAAAGGCTGTGCCGGTATGCAAGGGTCTGGTCACATTCTATTCTATTTGAATTTTTGTTACTATTTTATTTTTTCTAGGTAAAAAGTCAAAAGTAATCAATCAGAAATAGCTATTTTTATTTTCACAACTATGAAATCCAGCTTGAATTTGTCAGCATTTAACGTCAGTTTCTTTTTGCCACGGCAGCTGGTAACACTGATGCCAACCACTGCTTGCTGCCCATCATAGCTGCTTGCTATGAAATTCGGCGGCACATTTGAATTCCGTAAAGACGAGCTAAATATATTCTTTTCGCATCTCATCTGTTTTTAGTGTACTTTAAGTTAACCTTTTTTCCCTCATATCATTATGTTCATTATTATTTCATACTCTTCAGGGACTTCACGCTCCTAACTCCTTTGTTTAAACAGACGCAGGCTAACCCATTTACACGCACCTTGCAAAATGTTTCTACATTATCCTCATTTTAAAACACTTTTCGCACCACATTCGCCCCGCAAACACACACAGCCACGCCCCCACACAGCCACCCTGGGGCAGTGGGCGGAGGAAATGAGAGGAAAACCGTAAGAAACCAAAAAAAAAAGAAGGGAGAGGGATGAGCCTAAAGAAAATATATTCCTTGAGCCACTTTCGGCTGCCAAAACTTTGTGCCAGCCACACTTGTTAATATTGCTGCGGGGCAGGGGGTGGCGGGTGAGAATATAAAAAAGGCGCAGGGTCAAAGTTGAAAACCCTTTATGGTGTCTGGGGGTTGGCTTGGCCCAATGCCACCCCTCCCCACCGTATGGGATTCGCCCGCTCATCGATTATGAAAAGTTAACTAAAGGTCAGGGCATCTTTGGGGAAAACACGCTGAACGAGAGATCTCCGGAAAAAGGTGAGCCAACAAGCATCAGAGCTTTAAAGCCACTTTGTCAGTTTTCGGGAAATGCAGACCACACTGTATCCATTACCCTGGGATATTTTCCCCACTCCAATTTTCCCTTTGGCATTGTTTTTCCAGCATCACGTGCCACTTGCAATGCCGCCACACTCGGACAGGAAAATTGACCAGACTGTTTTGCAATTTTTCCAATTGGATGCGCACGCCTACTCGCCTACGCCTCGCACATTTTATTGGATTTGCCAAATTTTCACAGGACGCCGCCATTAGAAAATTGGTTTTGATTTTGATTCCAATTCGGATGCTCGGACGTTCAGCTGCAGCAGATTCCCTCGGGGGCTGGGATGATGGTGCATGCGGTCCTTTTTCCTGCGGTCTGGTGCGTGGAATTGCATCCGTGATTAGTTTGCCGGGTGCTTTTGAAACATTTTTGGAATAATGCTAGCGAGCAGCACTCTGCAGCTTCTCTCACTCGCATTCTGCGGCCTGCGTGCGGAAAGTTTTTTCCACTCTTGGGTTTTCGGCATCGCAACCGCCAACACCCTGTGGGGTCATTCTTGCGAGCTGGCAAAGGTATTGGGTCGATAAATGATGTTTAGGCCATTCAGTCTCTTGAAGCCTAAATTCTGAGTGGAAAAAGGGTTAATGTTTGTAAGATGTATGTGTATACATGTGGCAAGATAAATAGGAATGTTCAGCAACATTATCCAAGAAGGTTTTGGCATCGAACTAAGGAGTCATTATCTTTATATAAAATTCTTAGAGAGTCAAACTTTAAAAGAGCTTCAGCCTAAACTCTTCCAACTGCAACTACCTTTTAATTTTGTGGTTTTTAGCCTATAGTTTTCCTTCAAACAGGGTAACCTATAGTAGACTTTTCTCTCCAACGCCTCGTCGCTTTCCCACATTTTCGTAAAGCTCTTTGTCATGCTGGCAAACTTTGCTCGCTCCGCGTCGTGTTCGGCGTTTCCTTTTTTCTTTGTGGATTTTACTTTGTCATTAATTTGACGCACAATGAATCGGCAGTTGGCAGGTTGTTCAGTCGTTCAGTTCGTTCGATTTCCCGGAGTTTCAGTCCTATTTCCGAGATTACACAACGCAACGCAGCTAAGGCTTTCAATTTAATTTGCGGCTAAAGCATTGCCATCATTTGCCGAATTCGGCTACCAGTCACCAGTCACTGCTGCCACCTCTATGCCCACCCCACCGGAAACCGGTTGACAACTAAGCTTTAAAATTAATTACACTTTTTCACTTTCGAATCCATCATCGGCTTGCAGTGCACAGCACATGGACTTAAATCCTCCGAGCAGGCCCAGACCCAGGCCCACGCGCTCCGACAATTTGCTTACTAGCCCATAAAAATGTATGGAAATAAAATATCAAAACAGCTCAGGGCGTCCAAATGGCCACATAAAAGCGCTCGGCCCGCGAACGCGCCCGGCATGCAAATACTTGGCCCAAAGACAAGCTGTTCTACCGTATAACAGTGTACTAAAACTTGGCCAAAACTTAACCTTTCCCCTGCTGTGGCAGCAGCTGTTGTGGCTGGCTTTGCCTTTGGCCGCTGACTTGGGCTTATCATTTTTTATCGGTCGGCCGGACAAAGACTTGACCTTCCCAGTGAGTTTGTCGCTCTGCTCATTAGGACTTAAATTGCTTGCCCCCTGCCCCCAAAAAACTGTGTGTTTCTGTACAGAAAAAAATAAACAAGTTTGAATCTAGCAAAGTAACCATGAAATCCTTGTATAGTTGTCAGAACAGGAAATCATGGTAAAAACTGTTTGGTTTTATACAAAAATATATTTAAAATAGTTTTTAAATAATTATCTAAATAATTATATACCCCTTACTGTATATTTTTATTCGAAGTTGTAAGTTTCTTTTGCAAAATTATTATTAATTGTGAAATGATTTTATTCGAAGAAATTTATAGTACTTTACTTGCCCTGTATAGCTTTTAAAGTGTATTATTTGTTATACAAGTTATAATATTAATAAAAGTCACAACTTAAATGTATTACCTATATATGAAAGAAAATTTTTTTTTTTTTGCTTTATAATATAACATAACTATCTTAAATTTTCCCTCAGTGTATTGGTCGCGATTATTTGGCTTAGTGAACGTATTGTTATTATGGTTATGGCACTGGGCAGCACGCTTATCGATGCAAATGACAAGCGGACGGCCGGGAAACTTTGGCAACTCGGCCCATTTTCCATTTCCCACTTCCGAAAGAAGGTCAAGCAGTCTTGACCCGGTTCAGGGGCTTGGCCGCGGCCCACCGCTGGTCGCTGGCTTAAAAACATGGCCCACAATCTGGCCAGAAATAAGTTGTAATAAAGTATAAAGCGCAGGGATGGTGGCAGAGACGGGAGCGGAAAGCGCTTCATTGCGACGAGTGCAGCGAAAGGTTGCACAAAAAACCGTTGAAACTGATAAAAATTCCCCTGCTTTATGACAATTTATCAAGGATTTCCTTTTAGAAGCAAACTTTGTTGCTGAACGAACGCCCAATGAAAGGAACCAAATTACTTTGGCGCAATGGAATGGAGGAGAGTAAAAATGCAATTTGGGTCAAGTTCCACGGACATGAAAGGCGGCAGGGGAATGTCCGGCATCGACTAGGAGATGGAAAGATTGTTAATTTAAATAACAAAGTTCCAGCGGACCCAAAGCGGAATAGAAAAATAAGTTACGGGGCTAAGAAAAGTTTTCAAAAATAAACCAAGACTCAACAAATGTTCAGTGAAGATATATAAAAGATTTATTTTATGCTTTGCTTTTTAACATTTTAGTTATTACTTTTGATATTTTTGTTATAGTTGCTATTAAAACTAAAACAAGACCTTTTAAAATCCGTTGGTTATCAGTCCATTTATAATAATAACCAATACCCGTAGAGCTGTGAAATTTATATTTAAAACTAGCATTTTCATTCGTGTATATGGTAATCTGTGAGTGGCATTTCCCAGTCGCAACCTCAATTAGTCGCCAGTCGTCATTCGGAAAGCAAACTGTCAATGTTTCTCCAACAGAGGAAATAACCGCAGCGATAACAATGTCAAATCAAATTTCGTCACAGAGCGCACACACACAGGAGCTGGCAAAAAAGCAGAGCAACCGCACAGGATATGGTAAACTCGGCAGCACAAATGCCTTCCCTCCCGCAGTTCTCTATCTAGTCGAGCGTGGCGTATTATTATAACGATTTTTGTTTATTTGCAACCACCGCCGGGCGAAAATCGGGGCAAAACTACTTGGTATATATATGGGAGAGGTGGCAACAAACACAACACGGATATAAAGCGATGTTGACATGTGCCAGGCGCAAGGATAACGGCCGCTGGCACTCGGTTGGGGCAGGACGACGAACAATCGATGAACAATTCAGGGTATTGCGAAACCCACTTGTTGCCAAGTCCCAATCATTTCAGCGTGTCGCAGATTATTTAGAGTTTTATTACGGATGCAAGGGCAAAGTGTAAAAGAATGAAAATTGGGAAATGGATTGGAATTTGTGCACTTTTGAATTTTTTCTACTACCTGGGTATAAAATATCACATGTTTGTGGCAGTTTTCTTTTAAAATTTATGTTTCTTTGGCAGAAAAATATATAGAAGAGATAATTATCCTTGAGTCACGCCTTTAACAGAAATCCGCTGTAAGCCATTGCCTTTCCCGTGGCCAAGACTTCTCAGCCGGGTTTCCCAGAAGGCAAGTAAGTTGTAAGACATTCTGTAAAATCTCTGTACCTTTCTGCTATTTAGCCTCTATCAGCTTAGCCCTTAAGTGGCTTTGAATGGCTGATGGCAGGCCACTATGTATCTGCCGAGGCATCTACCGATAATAGGGGGAATTTCTTGTTTCGAATTTTCAAGTGCAACCCGTAAGCACTTTTCACCTGTCGAAATGGGTAAACCTGAAGGGGAAGCCTCGGTAAAGCGGCTTTCGTCGTGTAATCGAGAACTGAAACATTTGCAAAGTTTAGAGCCGACGATGGCCTGAAGGGGGAATAAGCCGAAAGCCGGGTCATTAATTTCAATCTGCATTCGTCTATTTTTAGGGCGCCAACCATTCATCCATCCAGCCATCCAACCACCTGACAATGTCGATGGAGGATTCTGGTTACTGGGCTGGGATAACGAATTTGATGAATGTTTCCGTTGCCCAAACAACAAACAGGGGCGCGCTGGCTGGCGGTCATGGAGCAAAAAGCCAGCGTGTGTGGAGTATTATCCCATCGAAGGAGCGAACAAAAAACCTATCAAAACAAACGATAATGTTGCTATCCTGACTGCCGTGCCCTCCCCTCCTGATGATGATGATGAGCAGGATACGGATAATAAGGACGTCGGTGCCATTAGGCGATGCCGGGCCGGGCTCGATGATGATGTGTTGATTGCCCCCAGATGAGCCGAGTCGATTGGTCAGTTGGTAATAAAACCGGACGGCGATTGCATGTGCGGATATAGAAATCAAATTAAATCACGTTTAAATGGAGACAGTAAAGAGAAGGTTTTTTATGGAGTTGGCCAGATTAAAGAATCGACGCTGATGACGACGGCCAGCCATCGATTTCCATTTCAACGGCAACGGATCCTAATTAACGTTAATTAGTCAGTTTCGATATACTTTGTAGCTGGGGAAGTTTTAAGTTCTTTGCAGAGAGAAAGAGAGAGAGTCCTTTGTCAGTTTAAGCTCTGTTTTGCTGAGATTTTCAGGAACCATTCAGGACCCGTCGTTGCCATTCATCGCAGCTCATTAGGCCGCGCAATGTGTTGCCTACATTTCGGGGAAAATTAAACTGGCCAACTCTCCTCATTCATCTTCGTTTCATTGTGTGCCGTGTTCTGTGTTCTGCGCCAGATAACCCCGGCGCCTTTATTGACAAATTTATTTATTAACATTCGAGTTCATTAAACCAAGAATTTGCTACAACATGGCAAGCCAGCGACAGCAGCTTGGCTCAAAGCAGCTCAGCTGGCTTTCGCACGCTTGGCTGGAAGTTTTTGGGCCAAGCGCATAAATCACTCGGCCGTCGATGGTCCCCCTGTAGGTCCCTCTACCTCTCCCCCCCATTTTCCTCTGCTGATTTTCCCGGACAAGGTCTATCATCTCTGGCTGCCTTACCAAAAACAAACTTCGGCCGGCTACAAAGTAGTTTTTAAAGCTCCTGCCCTGAAAAATTCTTTGTTGCCGCTTTTGGGGTCGAGGCGGGAAGTGTGGGAATTGTTGAAGGAACAACAACAGCAGTTCGCTTAATCCATAAAGATTTATTTGCCGCGCCGCAGAACAAACAGATTTCCCTCGTTTTCTCCTCGATTGGCCAAAAGTTTTTTAATTAAATCCCCGCCAAAATGGTGGATGTGTGGGTAATACGAGGAATAATAAGTTAAAGTTTTCCCTGATTTAAGTTGGCCTTAATAATCTAATTAAAGGAGTCCTCTTCGTGTCATCCTGGGTGACTCTGCCGGATTTAAGTTTACAAGTTTTGTGAGCGCCTGTCCCCGTTTTTGGAATTTTCAATTAGTTTTTGTCCGCTTAATTGCATTTATCGTTGCAGCTTTAATAATATATTTTACACAGCAAATAGCTCTGATGAAAATGCTTTCCTCGCAGCAGATTGCATTTTCTAACAAATATTTCATTAGGCTCGTGTACCTACACAGTCGATTTAAATTAATTGGGAAACTCGTAACTCCATTGCCACCGAGTAAGGATTTTCCCACACGTGGCCCAATGTCAGGTGCAACCACTAATTGTCACTGGCAATTATACCGAATTCGATCCGCATTTGAATAATGGAAGGAGCAGCCAGGTGCACGGGTTTGAATCCGTAGCTCGGCCCGGGGCGGGCCAGGTGAAATGGATCCTTGACAGTTGCGCATAATTGGACTGCCATTATTTGAGTAATGGACAAGTTCATTAGCATGCGAACTGCATTGTTAAATCAATGGCCAAATTAATGGATCTGTGTATAGGAAAACACATGCACAAATAATTGAAGGGTTAAACACAGCATCAAGTGGCGGCCTGACTTGCTCACACGAAGATTGATTGCCGAATACATTGCAAGTTTATAAACTAAATTAATTTTGTGTTATCTGCATTGCATTCGAATGGTTGAATTGTAAGTCCATTAAGCATTTATATCTTGAAAATGAATGAATAAATTAGTTTTCAGTTAGCAAATCCTCATTATTATTACTACAATTTAACTGATTGGTTTACGGTTATAATATTTGTTAAAGACTTCATTTTAGCCTTAAGGGGTACATTCATTTTAGTCAGGAGCTTCAAACGATGTGAAGGAGCCATTTCCGATCAGCATCTTAAGCTGAGTTTATCAAGCTATGTCCGGGTACAATTTATTTTTTCCAAAATTTTCGAAATTTTCAAAATTTTATAAGGGGTTACACTGTAAAAATTTCCAAAATTTGATACAAATTTGAATTTAAATTTTTTAAAAGTTTAAATTGCGTATGCAGATTTTTTAAGCTAATAAATACTAACACAGAACAGTTTTCCGAACTAAAATTAATGCATTTTTGGCTTTGTTATGAGTCTTTTCGTTTTTGATTTGACGAAAGTTTAAATAAAAAAGTTTAAAGTTTATGTAAAAATATTTATAAATATCGAATATTGAAAGCTTAATTTTGATCGATATCCGATTCGATCTTATAATTTAATTACCAAACTTACTTTTTAACTGAAACTACCTACCTTTATACATTTTTAAAATTTTCTCTCTTAAACACTCATGGCGTATACTTAATATAAATGGTTTTACGTTAAGTATACGCCATGGTATCTCTTAAATCCAAGAATATATTTATACCCAAGCAGGGAGTTATAATTGGACCTTATTACGTTTAGGGCAGTCTTTGTTTATTAAATATATAATATAATTTAAAGTCCAATTTGATTATTATTTAATTTAAACTTGTTTTCCGTAGCTCCAAAGCTTGAATGAGTTACGATAAGCCTAGAGCTTTGTCCCAAAATTGTGGCTTGTGTCTCAGATAAGCTATAGCTTTGGACTGTGTGGATCTTATGTTAACTCCATTTAAACTGTTCGAAATATCTGCCATGGCTTTATGTCTGTATAAATCCAATTCAAATTTTATTTCATTTTTTAAGACAGTTTCTTTACCTTGCCTTGAAGCTACAAGATAATATGAATATAAAAATAGCAACAAGGTCAACAAATTCGATTTTAATCTAAGTCTTAAGTCTGTCAAGAATTAAGCAGCTCTTCTAGATATTTACTTCCAACTTTCCGCTTTATTAGAATAATAAATGCTGTAATTAATCATGCAGTAAAAAGGCAGAGTCGGATTGTGCAAAGAACCATTCAATTAGTTTAATGAGGCACAAAATAAACACCTGCAAGTAGTCGGAATGCAAATGATTTGAAAATAAAACATTAAACCGATTTAATGATTCTGACTAGATAAATGCTTGCAGCGGATAAACAGCTGCAACAACATAATATTGAATCCTACTATTTTGTTTGTAAATATTTTAATTGCTGATGTCCGAATGAGCGGTTTAATTGTTCAGTCACAGTTTGGAATTAATTAGTAACAAAATAATTGTGCCTAAATCCATTTGTATTTGTGTAAATTTCAAAAGAAATTACAATACTAATTATTAGGACTTTTGAATTGTATTTATATAACATTTTAGTTGGGTAAATAGATGAATTAAATTAAATTACAGAAAACCAAATACTTGTCGTAATTGCTTATTAAATTAATACAAGACAAGTCAGCAAAATTGCATTTCTTACTGCAGCAGCATCAACTCCATCGAAATCTATTAAAATCGCATTTACTCCACTTGACAGCTAATGACATGCGTCACATACATTTGTATTAATATAGTAATTCAGATGGTCAACTCAGAGGCGCCGAATTCAGATCAGATCAGAAAAGAGGTGACCCTGAGCCAGATTTGCGATTTGTGATTCGTCTGGTGAAAGGTGACAGCTAGAGTCCAGCTCGAGTTCGAGTACGTGATGTTAGTTACTTGGCCACAAGCGCCATGGCACCGCACAAACCGAATTCATGTTTGGATTTTGGCTCTCCCTCACTCGAGGTTCGAGCACATAAGCCGCTTATGCAAAACGCTCGTAGTCGCACTCGAAACCCAATCTGCCACTGAAGCTGGCCAATTTAAAATCAAGTGTATCACTTGCTCGATGGCTTGCAGGGAGCGCACAAGCGTCAGTGTAAACAAAAACAGACTTTAAACCTGTTTTTAGTTGGTGGTGACGCACCAGGGGGAATTTACCTGTTGAACTTCCCCGATTACCTGGATTCGAATTCAATTCATTCCATTTTGGGAGTCAACTAATTGACAGACTGCGGTCGATGTGGTATTTGCGTCGATCAAAATTGCACTAAAATCGAAACAAATTAGAGTAGGTTGCTTGACGCTGTTTATTTGTGTCGAATTCTCTTAATGTTATTCAAGCTTTATCTGTGGTGTATTTCTGGCAATGTTTCTCAAATTGTATCTCGCTTTCCTAACAACACCTTTTTCTGTTATCATGTCTTATCTGGGGAACCAATTCGATTCAATTGAAGCGAGAGTAGGGCTGGCAAAAAATATCGATAACTAAAGCCTTCATATTTAATATTATTATTTTGGCTTTAGCATCAATGTTATACGATAAAATATAATAAATAGAAATTAATTTGCTAAGTTAGATTTGCGATACAATCCTTCCCGAAGACAGTTTCCTTTCTTGTTATAGTTCATTTGCTCATTGAGTTCAAAGCAATCGATTATAACAATAGGCAATATGTTCTATACCATACATCTAAATCGATTGAATGACTTCTCTTATCGCTTATCGCAGGTTCGTTGCATCGCCAGTTCAGTTGTGGTCTCCATTTATTACGCCTGTCCGGGGCACTTGCTGTTAAACACTCGACAAAACCACACTCCACGGGCCGGGGAAAGTTAATTAATGTATCTGTTTAAAGACAAGCGACTATCTAAATTGCCAGAGTCTACAGTGTTTGGCGTTCATTACACTTCCTCGACAACATGCAAACGAGTTTGCTTCGATAATTGAATGCCCGCCGAGGTACAAGTGAATCAGTGAGCAAGTGAAGAGTCAACCGCCAACACGGCGTATGATTAATAATAATTATCGAATATCTGCGAACTGAAGGTGCCATCCGAGTTGGTGGTGAACCGCAGAATTAGAACCTTGACACGCCTCCGCCGGCGTCAAGTTTCTTGTAAGACTGCAATATAAAAAATCAATACTATAGCCAATATTGGCGGGATCGGAAACATCTGAATGTCGGAATTATGCAAATCCATCGGCATCAAACCGAGAGCGGAGTGCTCAAACCTGTTGTCGCTGTCGCATTCATTTCATTTCCATTCCATTTCATATTTAGAAGTCCGCCGTTCGAGATTTTAGTTTAGTTTTAATTGCGCCCGTAAACGGTTCACTTCGTGCCCTTCAATTTGAAGAAAACAAATTTGTAAAACATACTTAAAAAATCCCCAAACATCGATAGAATTCCGTTGGCCGTGTAAATTAAATTCTTTCAGCAGGTAAAAATTCAGTGACAACTGCAATTCAGGAATTGCTCCTGCATTTGCATAAAGTTTTTTTAAAGGACAGACCTGTCAATAAAAACCTCAACATGAAGTTTAATTAAGAGTCAAGAAGTGAACAGTCAATACGCAAAATTGGACCATCAAATATTATCATAAAAAAACAGTTGTAATAAATTATTTAATCAACTATGTGTAACTTTACTGTGTGTCACGACTTAACGATGCCCATTGTGGTTCAATGACGAAAAACCTGAAAACCTCAGAACTCTAAAGCTGTAAAAGCCTTGTGTGTGTTCTGTGATTTTTAATAAATGCAAAGTCTCCTGAAGATTGAGATATGTTTATATTAAGTATATGAAATATACATACATACATATTAATTTACCCGTAATGGGGAAAATCAAGGAGCCTTTATCGAACATCGCGATTTCCCTTTTATTTTTCGCAACCAGATAAAGAGTGCTGGCATTGTGAGGCAGAGACACAGATATGAAATTTTAATTAATTATTCCCCTTTTGTATGACGCTGTCCTGGCTTGGCTTGGACATTAATTAACGAATTTGGCGTACACATTGGCTTTTATTCCCAGTTTCCCAGTTCGATATCCGAGAAAGTTTTCCGTTGGCCACCCTGGTTAAACATTTTCCACAAATTAAACTCAAGCCGGAGGCGAAACTTATTCTCGTACGGGAAAAATATTGAACTGAAAAAAAAAAGCAGATTCCATGGGAATGGTATACACTGATACTATGTTAATTGAAATCCGATGGCGAGAATCGAAGTAAAAGGCAAATGGACATAAAAATTTTATCTTAAGTGGACCTCCTTGGCCAGGAATCGAATTTCGGTTCGAGAAAATAAATTATGGGGCTTTAAGTGGCCAGAGTCTAATTACTTTTTCACTTGCAAAGCGTAATTAGGAAGAGATTTATGCGAAAAAATTAGGATTAACCTTTTAAAGATATTCGTAATCCGCTTTAGTTTTTTTTCTATTGTTGCAGCGTTTTTTTCATACTTCCCATGAAATACACAAAGTAACTTAATAAATGTGATTAATTAAAAAATGTATAAAACTGCATTAGCCCGGTTTAAAAAAACGCGCGGGCACCCACTGCATTGCTCGCCTTTTCTTTTGCCGGAAAACTTATTAAAATGCGCAGCCAAAGAGGGAAATTGTGGGTCCGGAAAAACACTAGCACACATGATGCAGGGGCGTAGGTGGGTGGTAGAGGGGAGGGAGGAGGAGAGGGTTCGTGGTCTGCCAGACACTGTGACTGTGACCTCACCCAGCAAAGTCCCCTCATCAGGGCTTTCAGCGGCCGGCAGCATGTGCCAGATATTTATGTTACGCTTTTGTGTATTAAATAAATTATGGTGAGTGAAACTGTCACTGGGACGGCAGCAGCAGTGGAGCACAAATTGCATTTGCAAACTGGATGGAGTCGTAATGTCGTGTTTAGCCAGCCTGCCTGCCTGCCTGCCCAGCGAGTCGTGAGAATGCCGGAGTTCTGGGGTGCTGGAAATCGCAGAGTAAATTGCATCATCAAATGCCGGCAAGGGCGGCACTTCCCACATTTGGATTTGCATGCCATTCATGTCGATCGCTGCATATTTTACCATTAATCCCGAGCCGAATCGAATGGAATCGAAGGGTGGCATAAGCTGGGATAGAACTTGCATTGGCTCATTTATAACCATTACTTGTGGTGTCTGCTTATTGGCATTTGGTTTTTGCCGAGGCAAACTTCATTATTAATTGGAACTTTCCTCGGGGAAATGGGAGAAAATGGCATTGAGATTAGCTGGGATTTCTGCACGCAAGGAATATTTGATTAAAGGGGGTAATAAATTCTATGTAATGTAGTAATTTCCGCGTCTTAAATTTGCCTAGACAAAACTACACAATCTCTTGCATAAATATGCATTCGAACGTGACCTTCACACTCTCAAGCTTAAATTCCTTTCAAAAATGGAATCACTACTTTTGTACTTAATTCCTTTTTATATAACAAAGGTGGAACGGAAGTAAGCGTCAAAGAACTATGGTTTATGTCATGCAAATTAGACTATTTCTGAAAAGGAGCGTTAGAGCGGCAGAAATATGAAAGAAGATTCATTCAAATTTTAACGAGGTGAAAAGCAAAGCCGTAGCTTAAATCCGTGATGATTGTGAATGTCAAGATGTTACCCAAGGACTTTGCCTCCATTCATTCTGCAAAGTGTACTAAAAAGTACACTTACTTGCGAGAAAAACTCTGCCTTTTAATCTGAATAGCTGGCCGAAAAAAACGAACTATTTACACTCGATTACAAAGTTAAGCACATGCCCTCGAATACAACAGCCGGAAAAGTGGAAAATCGAGTACATCAACAAGTGCACACGCACACACATACACAAACCCACTTATGAAGGGCAGTAAGCGCGTGGAAAACGGAAAACGCAAACGCACTCCCCCACTCCCTCTCTCTCTCTCTCGTTGAGCGGCAAAGCGGAAATGGGTGTAAAGCGGGGCGGCAGAGCGGAAATGAGCGGAAAACTCGACGTCCCAAGAGTTCTGCCAATGGAAAGTGAATAAATATTTAAAGATTCCGAAGTCAGCTTGCACTGAAAGGGCGGCCTGTCACAAGATGACATTTAGCCGCACCCGAAAGTTATTGGCCACACCACCTGTGCACGTGTGTGGTGTGTGTCTGTGTGCCCACTTCATTTCCGTTTCCGTGCACTTGAGCTTCAGCTGTGCATTGCGTTGCCTTACTATTTATGAGTGCAGCTCTGGCTCCAGCTCCTCGTCCTTGAGTCCTTGTGTTCGCACTTTGTTGCCGCCTCTGTGTGGCTGTAAAGCGTGTGAAAATTAGTTGCGAGCTTTGAAGGCATCAGTCAGCTGCATAGATGTGGCTCACATTGTTGCAACGCATCTGCTTGGGCCGGGTCAAAAGTTATGCCACCCACACGGAGGGAAAATTAGCATACAAATTCAACAAAACATTAGCTTTATTTTCAGATGAAAGTGGATCTGTTTATAGTTCTAGAAATTATGAAATGTTTTCATTTCTGGTTCTGTCGGTTTTATATTATGAATTAGCTTTTAAAGTTAGCACAAATATCGTTTAAAAAAGGATTTGTAAGCATTTTAAACTTTAAATTTACGCATATTATTTTTGTTAGATTTTTTTAGATTGGTTTTAGTATTTATCATCATTAAAGAAACTAATCTTAATATTTTCCAATAAAGATGTTGGCTAATCATTTGGATAATTTTCTATTCACCATTATAATTATAAACATCTATTAATGAAATGTAGTAGTTACTAAAAACCTAATTTTCAAAAACTTTTTTTTCTCCCCGTGTAAGATCCTTTCTAGGAGCTTCTTAAGCCACGTAAAATGGAAAATTTGCCAATTATAAGACGCATATTTAATTCCCATCTCTCCCAGTGTCCCATCTAAATTTCTCGTTTATCTCATTGAGTTGACCCAATCAATCAACCTGATGGATGCCTCAATATCCTTATCAGCAGGATGTCAGCTACAGTTCCTAACAGAGCCGCTCTCTTAAGCTGTTAACAAAGTCTCCTCGTTGACAGAGGGAAATTTTAACAGCGCAAATCACAGAGCACGACTGCCACTGTTGAGGCATTAAAGTGAAAGTAGAAATGATCTGATTGAACAGGGTCATATATATATGTATATATAGGGGGAGGCAGGAGGAGACTCCGCTGTTATTATTGTCATTTTTATTAGCCCCAAACTTCCGCTGGAGTAATGAAAACGTTTACGTTTGCATTACCCGAGCTGTGCTTATTTTTATATGACCCCGGCATCGAATTTTAGGCCAAACTTTTGACGCACTCGTCCACATAAAGGCCAACGTTGCTTTGAAGGAACTGGAGGAACCGGAAGCCAAAGTGGCAGAAGGTGGTAGTAAGGATTCGGCGGCATAAAATACCCGCACTTATTGGCCCTGATTACGTTATGAATTTACGAGTGACGGCCGCCTGAATTGATTTCTGTCTGCTTGTCGACGGTGCCTGTATGTGTGTTCAATCGCATTTAAAGCTGTTTTACATCATCAGCGATCATCAGCAGGCTGGTTTATGGCTCATTCCGCACTCTATTGTTCTGATTTCGACCTGAATTTCATTCACTGACATTGCCAGGACATCGGAATCCCTTTCAGGTGGAGAGACATCAATTGTTATGCAGGCATCCACACACACACACATCCCTCTGCGTAATGCCGCAGTTTTTATTAATTTAATATTTTGTTCTGGGAATCTAGCTAGGACTCTGCAGGGTGGGCCATAAAACAAGCTCTCTCTCCCCTGTCTCTTCTGGGCCATAAAAATATATATTTCCTGCCCTGCGGTACTCCAGATTTATGTATCTTCAGTGGAACCCCGACATTAATACTGTATTTCATTTCCAGAATCGAGCAATATATGGCTTTATCTCGCACGGTGCACTTTCATTACATCTGCTGATGCTGCTTTGTTGCATTCGGGGCGTTCTGCTCAAAGGATGCAGGAAGTTCGGATGGCAAAAAAGTAAACCTATGCCTGCGTGTATTGTTAACCCATTTTTTTGAGGCGCCATAAAGGCCAGGTGCTGTGCTGTCAAAGCCATTGAAATCCGAGCGGGACAATCAAATAGTTTACGACAGCTTCGAGTCAAAGCATATGTGCAGTCTGATCTGGCATTCGTCACAGCAATTGTTCTCGCTTTCTATTGTCGCCTTTGGTTTTTGGTTTTAGTTTTATGGCGCTGATTTGATTTGGTCCATTCCGAACACATAACCTTATAATTCGATTTTTGTTTTGTGACCATGGTCAGAGTAGCTAGGATTCTGGTCGAAATTCTGCTAGGAACATTCTTTTTAAGCTGTTTCTAAAATAAAAAGCATCATTAAAAGTCAATCTATCATTGAAAAATATATATAGCATTTTCCCGATTTATACAGGAAGTCAAGCCCTAACAAATTCGAAAATTTCTGCCTTTGGTTAGTTGATTTTTCCCCTTCAATCCTGGAAAATACAACCAACACTCATTTGGGCTTTTCGGCCGGCTTGCTGCCTAATTAACAGGCAAAACTCCAGACTCTCCGCTACATAATTGATCTAAAGTTAATTGCGGGACATTAGGCCCTGATGGGGGCCAACAACATGTGCGGCTAAGTGCCAAGTTATTCCGGCCAGGAGTTGCTCCGGCCACTCGCACTCAAATTCGGATTCAGTCGAATTTATTTGCTGTGTGTCAGCGCCATAAGTCAATCTTTTTGTTTGGCCCACATACGCGCACTCCTCCTCCCTTTGGGTCCCTCCACCAGCCCTTATTCACTTCTTTTTTTCGGTCAGTGATTGATTAGTTCGTGTGGGCGAAAGGAAAAGGACGAAAGGTGTTTTTCGAAAGCTGCTCCTTTTTTGTGTAAACAAGAACCTCAACATGTGCTGGAGTCGATTTATCAAATCTAAACAAATGTAAAACAAAGTTGAGGGAATACAAATTGAAGTTTTGAATGGGAGATTTATGGGCTAGCATCTATCCGAATCTCATCTAAATAATTCCGCAACACTTTCTCCAGTTCTCCTGACTGAGTGCTCTGCCAACTGTCTAAGTTAACTGTCTGTCTGTCTGTCATCTGCGGGGCAATAATTTAACTAAATTACTGGTCAACCACATAAAGCGGAATACAAGCCTGGGCGGGAATTGCTGTGTTATCAGCCCCAGCCCAGTGGACTCTGTTTGGGCATTTTATGTAAAGCCGGAATGCTCTTTAACGAGCCATCGCCATGTCCCAATGTCCTGGAGCCCTGCTCCTTGCCAGGATGTGCAGAGAGTGGAGTGTGAAAGGGGACCAGCGGCTGTGTTGTGCATAAAAAAACAAATGACCGGCCATTTCGGTAGCGCCCATTTTGATGATTATGCCAGATTTTCATTTAGATGATGAACGATGATGCTCCTCGTTGACCCATCCACTGGGTTTGGGTTTCCTATAGAAACACCTCCTGCTTGTGGCCTTTGAGCTGCTGTCCATTTTAATGGGACCTGCTTTCAGGCTTTAAAACTCCCATACATTTCCTTGTCTGTTTTCCAGTTGATAAAAACCATTTGAAGACCTGCATATGTGCTGCTCCTCTGGCTGGAATTTGATTAATGTTGAACTGCAACTACCCAGTTGCCACTTGTTACCACTTGGCAATTATGCATACTTGCCACAAGGCTCGCTGGCATTCGGCCCACACTGCGTATGAGTAATGTGCAGAGAAGTAGGCCTATAAAGCCGATTTGGGGCCACAAATCGAACGGAAAGCCCATTAAAATCGGTGGTTGGGCTAATGAGGAACTCAACTTTGGCCAATTAATTCGGTCACGCTCCGCGAGATGCCTCCAGGTATATAAAATCAATTTCCACTTGAGGCCCCTCTGGCTTTGGGTGAACATTTCAATCGGTTTGTGTACAGCCAGCGATTTACATTAAATCAAGACAAGCACAAAGACAAAGAGAGGTCATAGGGAATGGGCCAAGGATAAGGGTAGCTGTAAGGGAAGCCGGTGTGAAGCCACTCAGAAGTTGGCAAACAAACCTTTAACTTTGTATCAAAGGTGTAAAATTTCATAAAGTGTCGCTGTGTGGCACGGCCCAAAATCAAATGCAAACAGAGTCACAGAATCGTTTTACGCCGATTTTTGGGCGTAGACGGGCATAAATTGTGGCTGCCAGACGGAGTTCGTGCTGTGAGGCATCCCAAAGGATTATGAGTTTCCCCCAGTGTCCTTGAGGATACATATATGTGTGTGGAGGCGTGGCAGCATGAGCAGGCTTATTGCCCAAAAAAGCGAGACCCAAAGCCCGAATATGTATGGCCAAGACAGGGAAAGCGATATGAATAACTTAAAGCTGATCCTGTGAAGTTGAGGGAACAGCCCGAGCCACGGGTGGCCCTTGTACAAGGACTCGACTTTCAGCTCGAATGGGTTAGGCATTGGCATAAAAGTGCTGATTTCGAAAACGGTGCACGGCCTTCGTCGGCAAGTAATCCAGGTTTTCAGCTGCAGCCCACAGAATGCAATTTCAATTAGGCCCAGGCCCAGGCATTGTCTCGAAGGGCTCCTATGCAGTTTTTTTGCTAAGAGATTAAACATATCGATTGGATTTGGTACTGATTAAGATGGGTATAGACCATTAAATACCCCTTGTATGAAATTTAAGGGGCTGAATACTAGAAATTCCTCACGTTCTAGAGTGACGTGCACTTTATATTTTTTCGAAACTAGGTATTTTGTGGCTCTCACTAAACTATGGATTTGGGGGTATAGCAGTTAAACAAAGGCCTTCTTTCCATTGTTTGCCAATTGAATTTTTAATGATTTTGGCCAACAGCAGTCTGTAAATGGTCAGCAGTAAATGAATCAATAGGGGAATTAGGCCTGAATTTTATTGTCTTTCAGCCTTCTATTGTTATGCAAGCTGTTAGCAAATCGTTGCATCGTTGCCGCACATCCCGTTCTTATGTCCAATTTGTACCAGAGCTTTTGTTTAACAGTAATATTTAGACATTAAGTTAGCAAATTTACAAAGGTATATTATAAAAGTCAAAAGCAGGAGAAACATATAAAAGTAGTCATCGATGTTAGATATATCTAGCATATATGGCGTATACTTAATGTGACAACATTTTCGTTAAGTTTACGCCATGTATTTCTCAATGGAGAATAGCTTAAACAATTACAAAGATAAGTAGTTATAGTTTAAAAGCAATTTAAGTAATTAAATAAAAAAATCAAACCGGAAATGTATGATAATTATGTTTTAAAAATTTGATATTTATTAATATAAGTTGATATTGAGAAAATGGCAAGCCAAAGTCAGGGTCAATTTTCAACCTAAGGCTTTGAAATTAATATTGATGAATCATTTATAATTAAGTTAGGCTGTTTACTTTGAGTATACGTTTAAATATTGCTGCATCACTTTCAACTAAAATTTTAACTAAATTGGCTAAGACTTACCGCTGTAGAGGACACACTGGTATCCTTTCCCGTCATTGCTTAACTCCTTCCAGCATAGTTATATTCTTGATGACTCATTGAAGTAAGGTTCTTCCTCGTTAGCCAGAAGTTTTACACTCACCAGGTGATCTTTTGGGGTTGAAGGGTAATCACTATCACTAACAATATCACTTATCACCATAGATGTAAACAGCGGGCCCCCGCGGACAGACTGAGATCAGCCCACCGTCATTCCCTGTATTTATAGTCTGCGAGTGAAGAGCATAGAGATAGTGGAGCAGGAGAGCAAGAGCTATGTTACTAGAGGGAGGCAGAGAGAGATGGAGAGTAAGAGGTGATCTTTTGGGGTTGAAGGGTAATCACTATCACTAACAATATCACTTATCACCATAGATGTAAACAGCGGGCCCCCGCGGACAGACTGAGATCAGCCCACCGTCATTCCCTGTATTTATAGTCTGCGAGTGAAGAGCATAGAGCTAGTGGAGCAGGAGAGCAAGAGCTATGTTACTAGAGGGAGGCAGAGAGAGATGGAGAGTAATCCCTACAGGTTCACAGGGGGAGCAAGAGAGCTGAGAGAGGCAGAGAGTTAAGGAATTCAAGAGTTCGACAGGTCGAGAGTGGAAGAGTTAGGGACACGTCAGCCGAGGTTTGTTTACCATTTGGAATTGCAATTTGATCATTAATTAATGTATGTAACGATATTTATTCAACATTCTTATTTGACGCAATTAAGGTTTATATATTAATCTTTAATTACATATATTTCAATGCTCTCTTTTATAAACTAAAAGTTTTAAAGTGAACTTTAATGATAAAAACATGGATTAAAATGATCTGGCTTTCCACAAAAACAACTCCGATTAAAGCCACACCATCTGCTGCTTCTTTGCCGCACGTTATCATATCTGGCGAGTTTTCGGTTTTAAAGTGCCAGCTAGCAGGAAGCTGTCTTGCCACATTGCCCACTTCCGCACACTTCCTCGCATCCCCCACTTCCGCCTGCATTCATCTTGATGTTGCTAACAGAATACCAAACGAGAAAGAGCAATTGTTTCCTTTCAGGTCCTGCTGACCCCAGAGACCCCGCCACACAGACTCCTCCACTCGCCACAGCATTCAGACCGAACATGGTTTACCCGAGTGACACGTCGGACACCAACAACGAGGAGCTGGCATTGGAACACAGTGTTGCACATGGCAATGGAACCACCATCGCGCCCAGACCAGCCACCGGACCAGGACCAGGACCAGGAGCTAGTGACGACAACAACAAAGTCAATCAGCGCCAATATGAGCCGCGAGAGCGCTTCATTATCACCAAAAACGTGGTCGTAATAGGCCTGGCCTTTATGATACACTTCACGGCCTTCCATGGCACATCGAATCTGCAGAGTTCGGTGAATGCGGACAAGGCCCTGGGCACCACCACCCTGGCGGTCATCTATGGCTCCCTCATCCTGTCCAACATCTTTCTGCCCATGACTGTGATTAGGTGAGTGGTCCTCTAAGTTTAACTCAGTTATTTTTGCTGCCGGAAAGTGGCTGACATTGGCACTGCCAAAGTTTAACGATAAAGGATTTTGTAGTATGGATTTTTCTTGTGAAGTTTTTAAGCAAATAGGACGAGGATTTGTCGGAGATATTTTCAGTAGGTATTTCGTTTATAAGTAGACTCTGAATATTTCATTTCAATTCAATAGTGATTTCATATGAACACATATTTGGCTTACTTGCAGAACTTAGTTCCCTTCTTGCTATAACTAAAAATACGTTTGGCATATATTGTAAAAGTCTCTCTCTTTTGTCCACCTATTTCTAAAACCTAATTAAAAGCAAAACAAACATTCAGGACATTGGGAAAATCCTGCCAGAAATATTGTTTTTAAGGAGAACATAATGACAGCTATTTGAATTTTGAGGCAGAACAAGTTGCAAGAAACAAGATGGATAGCTTCGACAAAATAATGGCAACCGCTCTCGAGTGCTGCCTCTCAGCTTAATTGCCAATTTTTGTTTCGTCGCTTGCCTTTGTCTCGCGAGGGGGTGAAGCTCAATGCGCGTAGACGTGTGGCATGCCATAAAAGTTTCGGTGATTGTCTGTCGGCGTTTTTTATGGAAGTTTTATGCAGATGTGACAACATGCCGAAAGCGCAGTCAGCACGGGAGACAACGCCCCTACAGAAGAGACTCACTCTATGTGTGTGAGCGCATTTGGCTGTAAAAATGTCAACAGGAAGTCCTTGGATTAGAGTCCCTTTTTGACGCTATCCTGCTGCCTTTGCCCGAAGCTATCCCTATTCCCAATTCGGGGAAGATCCGCCCCCCGTCTGACATTTAAACAAATCGCTAATTTATAGCGACGGCGCCGCTTCACTTGGCTTATTCGAGGCACGAACTGCTGGCGCAGGCAACTTTAATCAGTTAACTCGATTTATTTAGATTTATGGCCTTGGGCCCCGAAATAAATGACCGCCTGCTAAGCATGTGCCACTTGCCACAGCCACTCTCACCCACACCTCTCCTTTCTGTCTTCCATCAACAGTTGGTTCGGCTGCCGGCTGACCATGGCCCTGGCCCTGTTCGCCTATATGCCCTACATTGCCGCCCAGTTCTTTCCCCGCTTCGAGACCCTCATACCGGCTGCCCTTATGGTGGGCTTTGGTGGCGGCCCGCTGTGGTGCTCCAAGTGCACGTACCTCTCCACTGTGTCGGAGGCCCTCACCCAGGTTCGGGGCAACAGGTCACGCAAGGATGTCAATACGGTCCGATTCTTTGGGCTGTTCTTCATCTTCTACCAAATGGCCCAGGTGTGGGGCAACCTGATCTCCTCCTCGGTGCTAACGCTGAGTGCGCCGGTTAGCCAGTCGCCGGCGAATGAGAGCCTGGATCTGGAGCTAGAGAGGAGCAGGGTGGCCGAGCTGTGCGGGGCTCGCTTCTGTCCGGGAGTAAGTGCCGAAGCCAATCCCAATTTGGTGCCACCAGCTCCCGAGCAGATACAGTTGCTCAATTCCATCTTTCTGGCCTGCATGGCAGTAGCCGTGGTCCTGATGATCTTCGGTGTGAGTTCCCTCAAGCGGTGAGTAACCTAATCTGTAATCTCTTATGATACCCCTATGATTCCTCTATGATATCCTCACCCAGCTATGGCATGAAGCGCGGCGACACTGGGGATGGCATGTCCGGCCTGAAGCTGCTCACGGTGACCATTAATCTGTTGAGGAAACGTCGCCAGATCCTGATGCTGCCCATTACGATGTTCATTGGATTGGAGGAGGCCTTCCTAGCTGTGGACTTCACCCGTTCCTTTGTGGCCTGCGGCTGGGGCATTTCCAGGATAGGCTTTGCCATGATCTGCTTTGGAGTGGCCAATGCGGTGGCCGCTGGCATTGCAGGTGCACTGGTGGAGCGCATCGGAAGGGTTACCCTGGCCGGCCTTTGTGCTGTGCTCAACATTTGCCTGCTGGCGTATATGTACGGCTGGGAGGCTCGGGAGGGTGACTACCTGAGATACTGCACCTTTGCCGCCGTTTGGGGCATCTGCGATGGAGTCTGGCTGGTTGTTGTCAACGGTTAGTTCAGACTCAAGCCAGGTGTAGAGTATATAGTGTAGAGTACAGCTTGATATATTCGTCCCCTTTACAGCATTTTATGGCATCTTGTTTCCGAACCATCTGATTGCCGCTTATAGCAACTTTCGGCTGTGGGAGAGCACGGGCTCGGTCATCGGCTACGTGATAAGTTCACAGCTTTGCACTTCCACCAAATTAATGATTCTGATGGCCGTTATGGTGGTGGGTTGCGTGGGGTAAGTTTGCAGTTTAAATTTCAATTTAAAATACTCTATATTTTTTTTATATGTTATATCCCCAGATATGGCCTCATTGAGTACCGCGTGTGGCAGAAGCAAAAGAATCTGGAGGTCATGCTCAGTGACTGATGATTAGCTAGAAGCAAAGCCACCTCTTGCCTTAGTTATAATTAAAATTAAAAATTATGCAACAAAGTCACACCTTGCTTTATCCGTATATTTATATCCTCATAAATCCCAGCTGGTTGCCCCATGTGATATTTGCGAAGATAGTCAATAAGTCCACAGTACGCCTTAATTTTTTAAATAGTATTTTTTTATTACAATCATTTAAATATTTTTGTTCAGTTGTAGCTGTTTTGTTGCTATGTACCATTTAAATTTCGTAGTTTAAATATTGTTTCTTTTGTGTTTCTTTTCATTCATAATTTTTGTTGTCTTTTAAATTGCTACATAAAGTTGCTTACTCTAAACACACTGTCTTGCTTTTCTTTTGTTCTTTTTTCGAGGGGCTACCATATAGAGTTTTCTTAGTTTTCGAACTGGCTAATTGCTAGGATTATAATTTGTTTTATGAATGGTTGAAATCAGATTCGTTTCAGTATACAAGTTTAGCCAACGCATTAAATGCAAATATTTTTATCCATCATCATCGCTTACGAGCTCTATGAATTTCTTACATCGATTTCTCTTAATGCAGTTTTGGTTTGAATGGTGTTTAAACATTTAGTATTTAATTTTTTATGTGTGTTATGTCCGCTTTTTTTGTTTTTGTTTTTTTGTTTTGTTTTGTATAGGTTTCGCTTGGAATGGCACATCAATGTGATAAAATTTGGCCTAAAACTGCACAAGTCTGCCTTTGGGGGACTTTAGACTACTTTTAGGCTATTTGGGATATGATATAAGTGTTAAGTAGATACTTAATGGCTACGTATTCAATTGGATTGGGCTCTTGGGTCTCGGGTTCTCTTCTTGTGGTTCGCTTGGTTAGCCAATGTCCTTTTGTAAATGCTATGACACACAGTATTACTTTACATGGCCTAACTGCTAAATTCTAGGGTGTTTTACAACTATCACACTGTAGTACACTCGCACACCTGCACACGCACACATACACGCTTAAGCACCTAGCTATGTACACTTCAGCCAGCTATTTACATGGGATCCTGGCCCTAGACCATGCCCTTGGACATCATGCGAACGGTGTTCTTGAGGGCCTGCCGCTTGTTGCAAAACCAAATTCGGATCACTTCCCGCTCGTAGCCCAGCTGGTGCGCCAGTCCAGTGATCTCCGTACCTGTTGCAGGTGGGGAAAGAGAACTTAATTACTCTGCTCTGGATCTCTGATTTCGTTGTAACTGAAAGTTACCACTCACCCGATGGATGCGTATTCCGCTCAAAGTGCGCATTCAACAGCTCCAGGGCTTGTGGGGTGAATGAAGTGCGACGCTTCCGCTTCTTGGAGGGCTCCACGCCTATATAGTCGGTGAGGTGATTCTGTCCCGACTTGTAGCGATTCCAGTGGCTAAAAGAAGGTGGAAGGAAAATCCAGTTAGTAAGTTCCATCTTGACATGGGCTAAACGTCGCGTGGAATCGCCTCCATACTCTCACCTCTCTTCGGCCTCCTTCATCCAACGCTCCAGCACAGGTTTGATCTTCTGTGCACTCTTTGGTGTGATGTCCAGCTTCTCGAACCTGCGATTGGGGAGTTGGATTTTGTGGGATTAGAAACGCGTCACTCTCGCTGTCGATGTCTCATAAAGCAAAAGAAACGTAACTAAAGTGCCAGGACATTGTCAATTAGCATTCATTCTCGATTTTGGGTACGATCATTCATTTCATTTCATTTCGTTTCTAAATAACATTTGCTCATTGGCAATGCCCTGGGCCAATTTGGGGGAGCGCATTCGTGCAAATTAAATGTGAAATAAAAGAAATATACATACATATGGCGAAATGAATAGGTTAATGAGCCTTGCACTTTAGTTAGGTTTCTCTTGGACACATACACCACACACACACCACACACCACACACACAGCACACACACACACAGCCAAACAGAGGCACACATACATGTTCTGCTGCTGCGTCGATAGTTGAGCGGCGTACATCTGCGCAGCGAGTGCACTGCTTGCATTCGATAGTTGATTATTGATTCGATAGTCAATATCCGGTGGTGGCATTTCGATAATTGGCATTCGACATTCGATGTTGAGAGAGAGAGAGTTAGATAGAGTTGGCGTTTGAATCGAAAATAAATAAACAAATAAAAGAAATAAAATTAATTTAGCATTTAACTTTGTTTTGTTGTTGTCTGTTTTTCGTGGTTAATTTTTGGTTCGTATCGTTTTCTTTTTTTGATATTTTTTAGCTTTGTTGGAAAATGTCCTGGCACTCTACGAAAAAATTGGTTCCAGAAGTTTGACGAAAAACAAATGAGGGAAACATAATATGTGGACTTAAGCAAAAATATTGTTGATAAAATATAATGAAACATATTGGCTAATAAGGGGGAAAAAGTATCCGATAAAGTTAACTTTTATATTGCTTGCACTAGTCTCCAAACTTTTCCTTTACCACTTTTGTATTAAGGGATTTTTATACTTTGAAATCTAATAGTTGACTAAAGGTAATTAACTGAACCCATATTACAATTTATTGAACTCAATTACTTAGTTATTTCTTGAGAGTATCTTAGGATAAGGACTTGCCTCTGGTATCTGGTATCTGGTATCTGGTATCTGATATCTTGTATCTTATATTATTTAAAACTCGTATCTCGTCTATGCATATCTCACCTGCAAATGGCACTCTGGCTGTAGGCGGGTCCCTCGGTCACTGACAGCGCCTGACCCACCTGGGTTTGGGTGAGGCCCAGCGATAGGCGGCGCAGCTTGAAGGCCTTGGCAAACTCCTTGATCTCGTCCAGATCGATGCCGTCCACCACATTGGTGGTGGCCTGATTGATGGTGGGTTCATCTGGGTGGGGGGTAGAGATACACATTCGATTAATGGATAATCCCCTGGCTGTCAGGCATTAAGTACACACTTAAGTCTAACTTATAAATGTGAAAATTGGCATAGCTCCCTGGCGTAATTAACAATGAAAACGACACCGTAAATTGCTGCCCTGTCGTGGTCTTAATTACAGCTAATTGCGGTAATGGCAAAACATTATATTATGGCAGTGCATCGCAGGTAAAGTGATAAAGCACGCGGAAGACACTTGGCGGTACAAGTTGTTCTTGTCTATTAGGCAGGTGCGAAACTCACGGCTTTTATCTGCCTAATTTGTTTTTGCCAAGACAAGACAAGGCAAGGCAAGCATGGCGAAGGATAGTAAAGGATGCCGTAGGATGCAAACTACTGGCGCAGAATTTTGATTTATTTATTAATGATATGCAAGGAGGGAGCGACAAGGGTCCCGGATCCGGCAGCAGCAGCAAACTCGATGCAACTCGAGGCAGCCTTGTGCTTTGGCGGTAATTAAGATGCGAGAACGGATTGAGTTTAAAAGGGAGGAGCGCCGGAAGAGGAGCCAAAGGATGTGGCAGCATCCTTCGCCGGGCCGTAACTCAAGCTGTCGTCGCTAGCTCGCTAGCTGGCTTTGTTTGCCTAGTTTGTTGCTGTTGCAGCAACGTTTGAAATATGTCATTAAATGCGGAAGACATCTTAAGTTTTTGTATGCATCAATTAGTAGTAATTAAGCCGCATATTGTCTGCAATTTGTATGCGCAAACGATCCGAGATGTGGCAATCGAGACTGCTGGTGCTGCTGCTTCTGCTGCTCTAGGTGGCAGTCTCATCCTGATGACTCTGCTCGGAAGCTCCTCTAATGGCTGCTACTCTGGGGGCTTTGCCTTGATTTCTTGTCGTTGGCCGGGCTTGTGCTGATTGCATTTTTAATGCATCCGAAAGTTTCAATTAAGGCCTGTCGAGCGGGTCGGAATCTAATCAATTCAAAATGCTCAAACAAGAGAGAGAGAGAGAGTGAGAGACTGCCACTCTGCCTGGGTGCTAGTGCCCATAATCCGCCCTGAGCTAATCCCATCAGGACGGATGACATGGCTCGATCCTGGGATGCCGTCTTGGCCCCGAAACCTAATCCAATCCCGGAGCAGATGCGGAGCGTGACAACGTCAACGCCGCTGCTAATTTGCCCAACACTTTCGGTTGACATCTCTCAACTTTCGGGGCGGCATACACTGCATTGGGGCAAGTTTTGTTTAGCAGCTCACCTAATCCCCCGACCCGGAGACAGGCCAGGACCTCCACTGGAAAGTCTGCATCAATTATGAATCCTTCGACTTCGTCTCGAGAAGTCGTGTAAATGCACGGCGAAACTTTTCGCACACCCACTCACACACACGGTGACAGACGGCGCGGAGTATATCACTTTTGGCAGGATAAGGCAGAGGGAAGGGTGTTCACAGATTCTGGTTGATTTTCTTTTGCAAAATTACATAAAGTGCAGTCAAGTTGTTAGGGCTTTTGGCATTGCCTGAAACGGAGCAGCAGCCGAAAAGTTGCCTTTCGCTGGAAATTTCGTTAATTAATGTTGGCCCAAAAAGTTCATTCCTCGCCCAAGCCTTTATGCATATACATATGTACATATCACGCATACGCCGTGTTGCACACGAGTGCGGCTCTTAAAATATCAAATCATCAACAGCCGACTGCCCGGGACCCCAATTATTCATGTACATTTGCGGAAAGAGCACTCGAATTTCGGGCCTCCGGCTTATTGGCATCATTATGCCAGCTGAAGGATGCTTAGAACTGTTTTTGGGGAATTTGTGTGTGAAATTATTGCTACGCTAAGGATAACTTGGATGCTTCAAAGTTGGAATGCAAACCGAATGAAAGAGTGGATATTATAATTTGTACTATTTGTACACCTTTAAAGGTCAATATCCTTGATATTTCAGTGATTTGCATCCCTGCCTTAAAGTATTTATAGTTAAGGGAAGAAAGAATCGATCTTTACTCACTCGGAGAGTCCATGAGCAGGTCGTTATCGTTGTCATTGCCATTGGGCGACATGTGCGGCGGTTCACTCCGCGACGAGGGGCTCAGCTTAAGTGGCTGCATCAGGGATCCAGCGGAGGTGGAGGGTCCAGGACCCGGCGAATCCTCACGCGGCGAGGCTGACGAGGCTCTTGTGGCCGTGGCCGTGGGTGCTCCCAAAGACTTGGTGATGGTCAGCTCGCCATTGGAGGCATTGAGTCTGGAATAAAATAATTAATAACTAAAATCCAAACTGGAAAGAATCAGGATTCACTTACCTGTTGATGCTGCTAAGTACGTTGGCCGTCGCACTTGAGCCCGCTGTCGCCGATGGCGCCCCACAACTGCTGGTCGAGGTGGCCACAACGGAGTTGGGTCCGTTGCCCAGGTAATCCCGTTCCAGACGCGGAGATCCGCCCAGCGAGAGGGCATGGCCCTGGGGCGAGTGCGTGCGGAACAGTGGGGATGTGTAGCCTCTGTCGCTGATGCTGTTGGCCGCCGAGCTGGAGGGCAGGGAAGTTGGCGGCGAAAGTCTGCCTGGGGCCAAACTGCCTACCAGATGACCTCCGCCCGAGCTGGACGACACACTGGCTCGGGTGGCCGTCGCCGTGGGCGTGTGCGAGCGTCGCTCGTGCCGCTCCTGGCGATCCAGACGCTCCAGTCGCTCCAGCCTCTCGTGCCGATCGTGATGCTGGCTGAGATTCATGCCGCCGGACGTGGGCCTGCCCTGCGGACTGTGCTTGGGCGAACGCATACTGTGCCCAAAGTGGTGTCGCGGTGGCGGTGCCGGCGGTGAGCTGCTGGCACTCAGCTCCAGCGGCTTTATATCCATCTGCGGGGCTGTGAGCTCATCCGGATGCCTTAGGCTGATCTGAGGCAGCGAGGAGGAAACCGTGGAGCCAGAGGACTGCGGCTGCAGGTGATGGTGCAGGTGCGTCTGCGTCTCCGGCTTGATGTGCAACTGCTGTTGCAGCAGGAAGGCGGCTCCGGGTGGCGCCTGTGGCGGTCCCTTGACCGGCAATCCTGGACTGCCTCCCGTTGGTGAGCTAGCTGGCGGGGATCTCTCCGCAGAGCGCCTCAGATCGGCAGCCAAATGAGAGTGTGGCAGGTGACCAATGCCCAGATGCTGCTCCCGTTCCCGCTCCCGTTCTCTCTCTCTTTCTCTTTCTCGCTCTCGCTCTCGCTCCCTTTCCCGCTGATGCTGTTGCACCTGCTGCTGTTGCTGTTGCTCTCGCTGCTGCTGATGTGTGGCTGCTGCAGCCGCAAAGAGCTCCGGATGCAGAGCCGTGAGTAGCTGCTGCACACCCGTGGAGAAGAGATTGGGTTTGAGTAAATTCGTGGGTGTCTGAGCCAGTTGGGGCAAAGCAGAGGCATGTTGCAAGGCGGCCAGCGAAGGCGGTAGCAAGTCCCGCTGCTGCTCGCGTTGCTGCTCCCGCTGTTGCTGCTGCTGCTGTTGCTGCTGGTAGCTGGCGAAGGCTCCAAAAGCATTTGGCAAGAACTGCTCCGAGGTGGGAATCTGCGGACTCACTGGAATGGTGAGGATAGTCTGAACGGCAATGCCTGAAAAATGGAAGATAGGGTTATTATTTAATGTATATAAAATAAGTAATTAAAGCCTCACAGACTGAACCGTTTATATAGAAATATTCACGAATCCAAAACCCTTTAAGCAATTCAAAAATCCCGTTAAAACAAACATGTGTGTATTTCCCTTCCACTATTCGCTTTTCTTAGTTGTTTTTGTCAGGATTACCTGGCATCCTTTTTCCCACACACACACACACACACACACACACACACACACACACAAAAGGAGAGGAAATTGGAAGTTACCCTAATCGCTTTATGGGCTCTATTGCCCCGCGACTCGCTAAAAGTCAAGCCAAGTCAACTATGTTATTGATACCCCAACTATTACCCAGCACTCACCTTGGGCCGTGGGTATGAGCAGCTGGGCGCCCTGGACGCCCTGCACCAGCTGCCCGGAGGCCAGTATCAGCTGGGGCATCTGGGCACTTGCCGGCGGCGCCTGCAGGCTGGGCGGGGGCGAGGCGGTGGCCGCTGCCAGGACATTGGCCAGCGTCGAGGCGCTGAGGGGATGCGGCGAGCTGCTACTGCTGGGATTATCCGGCTGCTGCTGCTGCTGGGCGGAGCTGCTGGTGCCGGAGTTCTGGCCAGATCCCCCAGAGTTGTTGCCCGAGCTGCTGCTCCCGCTGCCGCCGCCCTTGGCCGTTTTGCTTTTGCCGCCGTTAAGGGTGGGTGAGGCGGATGTGGCTCCTCCTATTCCTCCGGCTCCAACTCCAGACCCTGAGCCTGCTCCCACTCCTGCTGCTGCTACTGCTGCAGCTCCTGTGGTCGCCGGGTCACCGCCCACGCTGAGATTCAACGGCGAATTGAACACGGAGGCAGCTAATCCTTGAAGACTTGCCAGTGCAGCGGCCGTGGCGGGATGGTGATGATGATGCTGATGCTGGTGCGGATGCTGGTGGCCATGATGCGGATGCGGATGCTGCTGTTGCTGCTGCTGTTGCTGCTGCTGTAGCGTGGCCAAATTTTGTAATTTTTGCAAATTTATCATGTCTTGCACTGTGGGATTTTGAACAAGAGTCACACAAAATGTTGTCATTAGTTTTTGTTGCAAAACTCTTTGCCGAATTAGTGGTGGCAAAAGGATGGGGGACCAGCACTAATTGCCAGTTTACTTTGGCAGTGCTGGGTTTTCGGGTTTTTGGGGGGAATAAATGACTGTGTCGGTGTGTCGGCCTTCGAGGATGGAAACTCGCCGTGCAGAGAGAAGTCTTAGATAAATTATACAAAATTAGTCTGAGGGAATTAGAGCGTTAAGTAAATGTAAATGCAGCCAAATAAGCGCAGTCGTTAATTACACTCGAAAAGGAAAGCTTTTGAAAACCTAAAACACTGAGAAATAGCACTCTAGATATATCTAGATGTCTAGATATTCAGGACACTAAATTTCAGTTAGAAGTTTCCTAAGCAGTGAAGGAGTCTTTTCCAACCCTATAAATCATATTATTCTTGATCAACATCATGAAGATTTGTTAACCTAATAAAAACTAATAAAAAACAGCTTTCCGATTTAAATTAATGCAGTTTTGGAGTTGTTATAAGATTTTTAAAATTTTTTATTTCGTCAAAATTTTAATATATAAATTTCGAATATTTGAAGCTGAACTTGCTTTTTAGCTGGAACTTTTCATCTTCATACATTTTTAAACTAATCCTTCTCAGACCATATGGCGTATACTTAATTTAAGGGCTCTCACATTAAGTATCCGCTATGTATGCTAGATTTATCTTAAATCGAAGACTATTTTGTTCGGGAATTAGAATGGAAGTCAGAAGCATAAAATTCAGTGATGGAATCATTTCCGACCCTATAAATCAAAAATATAATCTTGATCAGCATCTTAAGCCGAGTCTATCTAGCCAAAAAAATGTACAAATTTTTTTAAAAGCTGTCAAAAATTCGAAAAAAAGATTAAATTTTTTAAAATATTATATTTTTTACTTCAATTTGTTTACCTAAAAAAAACAACCATAGAACCGCTTTCCGAGTTGAAAATAATGCATTTTTGTCTGAGCAAAGACATTTTTAAACGTTGATTTTGCTAAAATTCTGATCAATCAATCATTAGGCAATCATTCACTTTTAGGTAGAAGAAGATATAATATATCTGAGATATATAGATTTGAATTTACTATAATGCATATGTATATTATATCTTCTTCTACCTAAAAGTGAATGATTGCCAAGAGTCATGTATATTCAATTTGCAAACCCAAAATATATAGTCTTTAATATTAATTCCTACCATTTAGTTTCCATCCCCGAAATATATACATAATATTTGCTTGGATTTGGCTTTCGATATGTACTCACTAGTTCCATTTAGATGAGCCGCAAACGCCTTGGCCTGGGCCTGCTCCTCGCGCCGCAGTCGCATCTCCTCCGCCGCCTGCTCTTCCGCCTCGACCTCGCCCTCGCCCTCCCCCTCGTTCTCATCCTCATCACCATCGATCTGCATGGGCAGGGGTAGGGGCAGGGGCATGGGCAAGGGTGGCGAGGAGTGTTGGTGGTTGGCCAGAGAGGCAGCCTTGGCCGCCAGATTCTTGTAGAACTCCAACTCCTTGACATGATCCTTGCTATCGAACGGCGAGGGTGAGTGGGAGTGGTTGGCGTGCGGGGGTGAGAGCTGGATTTCCATGTCGTCATCGTTGTGATTGCTGCGACTGCTGTGACTGTGAGTGTGACTGTGACTGTGGCTGTGACTGTGACTGTGGAGGCGGTGATGTTGCTGGTGGAGGCTGTGGGCCTGGCTGCTGCTGCTGGGGAGTGGATCTTGTGGCAGTTGATCTCCTTGTCAAAGTCCTGGAAGGAAGGAAATTACTTGTTTAGTTTTATTTTGATTTAAAAGTGGTCTTGTCTTCTGAATAATTTTCCCATTAATTAACTGAGCAACTGTGTTGATTTAATATATTTAAAAATCACGAAAAAAAACATAGCTTATTATAAAAGACATCCCATTTGAAATATCTTGAATATATGTATCATTGAGTGCTGCTAAATTGAATTATATTTTTGTCCATTAATGCCAATTGTCAATTGTCCGGCTGCATATATCCTCGTACCCTCCAGGCTAATGACGAGTCCTGAATCCCCGTTCATTGTTTGCTGATTGGATTATATATTTAAGCGTCCAGCGTTGGCATTTTCGGACTCGTATTACATTTCATTTGTGTCTGTCGAGGCGACATTTACATGGGGCGTGTTAATAAGTTAATTTAATTTTTGTTGTAATTGTCAGAGCACATTTATTGTTTGGCATTTTGATCTGCCGGCTCGGATGAGCTGGCCAATTTATGCAAATTTAATTGGTTGCAATTGTTGCGATTCTGTGGAGGGGTCTGGGACGTATCAATATTGACTTGATTAGCCGTTTAAGCGATCCCCATACAATTGGTTATTATTGGGCTCTTTAAAATACAATTTGCCAAACGACTTTTAATTTAAAGTATGGGTAAATACCTAGCAGGACAAAAGGGAATCCTTTTCCATAAAAAGAAAAAAACGAACGGTTGGCAAGGTAAACCAATATAATTATTGGCAATTAATGCTGCCAAGGGAAGTTTAGGGGAGGGAACATTAATGCCATGAGCAGGACCAGCTCCAAGACCCTTCTTTGCGTCGCGGCGGAGCTTCAATTAAATTTTATTTGCATAGGAAATTAACATAATTGTAGTGCAAAGTACAGACCGAAAAAAAAGAAATCGGAAAGGAAAGGAGCTGAAAAAAATGGTAAAATCGGAAGAGGGAAGGTCCAAGGAAAAGCAATAAAAATAAGCAGTAAACGTGACAGCAATCGCTGGCAAAGTGTTAAAAAAAAGATATATTTATTTATGCAAATAAATTGAAATGTTTTTGGTGGGTGTTCCAAGGATCGCAATTAGACAGACGATAAGGCTTTGCCCACCGATTAAATAGGTGAATATTATATGGCAACCATTACGGGGGAAATACCCAATAAATCCATCCATCATATGCGCTTCATCTATTCTTCAGTTATCGAACACTAACTAACAGAGACAGGAGACTGCATACATAGTAGTCACATTAATTAAAGCACTTGATAAATTTCCCGGCAACGTGATGCAGATACATTTAAAATTGACATTTATTGGCGCTGTCACTTGCCACTGCTTAAATAGTGAGCGGGGAAAATAGAAGAAGGTCCTGCCAGGACGAACCGAGTTAATGTCATTGAACAGCAAATCGAACTAAATTTATGACACGCCGAGAACGTGGTGGAGAGTATGAGGAAAAAAAAAACGGTAAAGAAAGCCGGCACTCTGGCAACGTTAATGTCCTGCGAGTGTCCCCGTGCCTTTTTTTAATGCTCCTTTTTTCCTATAGATGTGTGTGGGTGAGTCCATGTACTTTATGCAAACAGGCGGCAAACAGACGGCCGCTGACAGCAACTACACCTCCGCACACCCACCGAGTAGTTCGGCGTCCGTTCACTGATGTGCAATGAATTAACTTTTCAACATATTTACTCACGCTCAATTGAAAAGGACCTCGATGGTGTGTGTGGGTGTGTGTGTGTGGGTGTCCCTACGGCAGCAACGGCATTGCCGCTAAAAGTTGAAGAACAAAACGTGGCCGCCATAATGAGGCGCTGAAGCCGATGGCCGTCCTTTGTTGCCAGACAGCTCTGTTTTTGTAGCCCCGCAAATGAGCGGAAATTAAAAACTGATTTAGCATTGGCCAAGCGAGAAGGCATTGGATTCTAAGCTGATGTACATATATGGTTGTGGGAATGCATATATATGTAAAGTAATAACTTTGCTTTAAATAGTTTGGAACGGGGAAGATTATGCACATGATAGAAACTGGGGACCCAATTTCATTTTATTATGTTTAAAAATTTAATAAGAGACGATACTAAATGGGAAGGAATGTATATTGATTATTTTTCTTCTTTTCTGCATTCTCCCTTTAAAATATTTTTATAGCTTAGCTTTAAGGCTATTAAGAATTAACAGTCAGTCATTCTTTATTTGAAGATTATATGAATATTTTGATAAAAGATAGCTAAAACAAGAAAAGGAAGTAACTTCGGTATGCCAAACTACATATGTGCTTGCAGTTTGCTATTGATCATACCTACATAGGTATAAATTATTTGCGCTTTTTGAGTTGATATTTATCTATATTTTTAGGAGACAAATTTTTTTTAGACAAGTTATAGTGTTAAAAACTCATTGCTATATCAAAAAAGCATTAATTTTAGTTCAGAAAAATGACTCCATTGACTAAAATCATAATCTCCTGCAAGGGTATAATGAACGATGTTGGCAACCAAATCTTTGTGACTTTAAGTTCATTACTAATAAATTTTTATATTTATAATTTCTGATTAAACCCAAGGTTTTTTTCAATACCCTTCTAATATTCATAATTAAGAAAACCTCTTAAAAGAATTTCGAAAGCCTTTCAAGCCCTCTGTAGATATATATAGTAATAAAGATAACATTTATAAATCCAAAGAATGAATGTAGCCATTACTTTTTTCCAGCAAATAGGTAAAAAATAAAAACCATAAATTTATATATACACCCCATCACAGTCTGGACAATCGCCTCTACTCAGGAACTGGACAGTGAAGCCCACTTAAAGCCACCCAACAATCGGCCACATATACGTTTTCCCCTCTGGCACTCCCTTTATCGCTGTTTTTGTTGCGCCACCGACAAATGAAAATAAGTCAAAAAAAAAAAAAAATAGAAAATGAATTGAATTATTGCAAAGAGCAAGAGATGCTCGCTGGGAGGAAAAGGGGATCACGGGGGCGGCACAAACGGGAGGAGCACTTGACAGCCTCGAATGTGATAAGCAAAAGCCCGGCGCGAAATGGAAAACTCGATGGCAGAGCCTTTGCTTTTGCTTTTCTTCTTATTATGCTTCCCAGCCCAGGATCCACACTCCGCCTCCTTCGATGTCTGTGCTTTTTTATGCAGCATGCTTTTGAGCGCGACGCGAAATTATAATTCACACATGTGACCAGCCGAAGGGTAGGAGTGGGTGGTGGGTATTGGGTGGTGGCATTGGGTCCTGCTCGCTCGGCCATTTGCCATTTGGACAGGAGCAAGAGGCGGTAGAGTGCGCTGGGTGGGCTGTAAAAAAATGCAATTGCCAAAAAGTAGCCGGGCCAAAAAGAAAGCGAAAACGCGAGGCAAGTCGACATCGCCGCCGAACGGTTGCGTTGCTTGTTTGCTTTAATTGCAAATGGCATTTTTTCCATGGCAAAATGGGGGAAAGCAGAAAAGGATGTGGAGGACAACCACGTTACAAGCTGACCAACCTCGACCGCCACCACCCCATTTTGCATGGATCAGAGGGAGACGCTGCTCTCTGCCGGCTCATAAATTGTCGAAAAATATTTGACTTGTTCTATTTTTGGTCACCCAACCAAGGCCCACATCCACGAAAAAGAGTGCCCCTGCAATATGCTTTCGTACTCAGCCTCCTGATACTTTTTTTCTTTTCGTTGTTTTGGGGGGGCGTGGTGCAAACCGGGGCCTTGCACTTTTGCATATTTAATGCTTTGTTTAATGCAAATGCACATAATTTCATCACAGCATCGAGTGTGAGTGTGCAACGTAGTTTTCCTTCTCGAAATGTGAAAATATTTTTCAATTAATATTTATGTTGCTTTATGTGTGCCTGAATTGATAATTTCACCACTTGGACACTCGAGTAAAAAGCAGAGATTGCTTTGCTAAAGGTGATTGAGGGAGCTGAGATTGTTTTTGTAGGGAAAGCAGCTCAAGATCTGTGGTTCCATAAGGAACTCCCCTCGCTATATATTCAGCATTTATTTGTAACGATTCTATAGGTTCATGTTTATCTTTCCATTTCAATACCTTCTCTTAACACAACCTGCTAAAAATCAACTGCCCATCAATCGAACCATTAGCTCTCTAAACAAAAATAGAGCAATGTCCATCCAGTATTTGATGTGACGCGGCGATTTCTTGCGCAATTTCCGCCGTGATGTCCATTAAGGTGGAGAGAGCGAGAGAGAGTATAAGCGGCAATTTACAGCCACCCACCGGCGGCGACAAACAAAAGCTGCAAGCTGCAGACATTGCAATTTTCCTCGATACATGCATATATTTCCAATCTATATACACATAACCGGCACGTGGGCATGTATCGGCTGTGTATATATATTCTATATACACATATAGCATAAGTGAGGGGGATTTCCCTTATATGGACAGAGCGCAGCTGACAGTCGCATGGCGAATGAGCGAAAGAAAACAAAAAACGAAACAAAACAACAGCGAAGCACAAAAACCAAAACAAAAATGTGTAAAAAATGATGAACGATGAGGATGGGTGGGGACGAAGAGGAAAATGGGAAAAACGGAACAAAACAAAAACGGCAAAAGGCCTGGGAGCCTGGAGGATGGGCGAAGGTCCTGCCTGCTGCTCCTGGTCCATCAGCAACAGCAACATCAATGGGCGCGCCACTCAATCAACCCCACTGGGCGCTAGGAGGGTGGCTTTTGGGTGGCAACATTGCCCGCTTGACAACAATGAAGGCCAAGCATTGTCCAGGACTACCGGCAACTCAACCCCCTAAAATAAAAATAAAAAGTCCTGTGCCTGTCCCAATTTTTTTACGTTTTTCCGTTTACTCTACTCCACTTTTTTCTCTTTTTTGTTGTGCCTTTAATTTTGTGCTCTCCTCTCTGCCTCGCTTTCTTTTTACAGCCCAGTCGCTTGCTACAACTTTCTGACTGCTTGGTCGCTGGTCAGCCGCAGTTATTCTTTGGGGGCGCCGGGCGCCAGGACACTCTGGA